TCCCTCTTAAACTAAGCAAGTAAGCAACATATAATATACAACTATTATACCTATTATTACTATTTATCTCTTATCTTTTATCTATTCCCCTATACGATCCAGTGTAACCTCTAATAATAATAAGGTAGAGGATTCACGACTTTTAATAATAAGTATTTTCTTATATATTTATTTAAATCTATTAGTTAGATAGAAGCTTATTTAATTACTTTAAATTACTTTTAAAGACCCTACTTTTATTTTAAAAAGCTTTATTAAAACCTAAAAGATTTTTAAATATAAAAGCTTAAACTCACACCTTTAGTAGGATTTATTATTATAATAAGGGTAGTAACTATTACTAGCTAGTCGCCTAGACTATCCGACTAAAAGGCTATAATAATAAATTTAAAGGACCTGTTATTCCTAGTAGTATATAAGAGCTGGTATCTTACCGTTACTGCCTGTGCGCCCAGTCGCCCACCTCAGCCCCCAGCCCGATGCGGCCACAACAAGCTGAATGAAAACAGAACCGAGAAAATGCAGCTGTGAACATTCGGTTTAGAGACTCAAAGCACTATGTAACAACCTCAGGAGATAGAGCTCCTAGAGAGTTTTCATATATAACATATAAGGGTTTACAAACACACTTCCACTATTGATCTGTGCTAGATTCAATGAATCTGCTGGTTTGGTTAAAAAGGTATGGATATAAGTGGAGTGTTTTTAAGAAAGGCTTAAAGAACTTTAAGCTGGAGAGTAATTGAATATACTTCAAGTTCCGAAGCCATATATGGCGCCTTCATACATAGACAAACGCTCAAGACCCAGCGGTAAGAAAACGTATGATGTCGATGACAATAGTAAAACCGCGATAGGTGCACGTGGCCTCAGCCTTGTGACGCACAGACAAGGCTAAGGAGCACCGTTCTTGACAGCGCTTTTAACTAGAATGACGGCGGGCAGGCCTGATAAAATCATTGTAGTACACCAAAATATGAGTAATGTCCATGAATCACTTGAAATAAGGGTGGTAGAAAACATGATGGCCGGCCATGAAAGAAACTAGCGTTCCTTCGAGATATAGATTAGCCATTCGAATGGCAGTGCTCTTGTAGAAGGTTGTACGACATGGCAGCGAGGAAAGTCCTCGGTTCTTGTCGGGGGTGTTGTGTATCTTTTTCGGAATTCTAAGAAGGTTCGAGATTAACGGGACGAACACGTTGACATGGTTACGCTTACGCATTCCCTTGAATCAAGAAGGCATATCGAGTGGTATGCCAACACATGATGAGTATTTGATGCAAGACACCATGAGAGTAACATACCAACGATTCCCTCATCCACACGAGCAATTCTTCAGGTACCAGGCATTGAGCGTGTGATAACGGTAGCACTTGAGGTCAGTTCGCGACTCTTCGCACGACTTTCTTGAGGCACGGAATGTATCATTATACGGCAATTCCCAACAAGATAGCGCCATTCATAATATCAAATTACTCTGTGAGCACGGGACGAAATTTGACAAGAGCAATCTTGCTCTAAGATTGTGTGAGTCTAGTAAGGCTAGCCTACGAATGGACCACCTGGGACCCTACCTAGGTACACTATATAGACCACTGCAAGACTGGTGTTATCATATGAATTAAGAAGAGCGGAGGAGTGTATAACAAACAACTAGGATTTTATCACAAGAATAGAGGCATAAATAGAGATCGGATATTCGCACCCACCAAAACGGAGGGTATACCCAAGCCCCATAGTTTAACCTCTTATAAAACAACCTCTCATAGGACAACTTCTTATAGGATAATCTCCTATGGGATATAACCTCCTATAGGACAACCTCCTCTAGGATAACATCCTATAGGATAAACCTACAAGATAACTACTTATAGCTTTAGTACTCAACCAAGTACTTTAAACTTTAAGTTCCCTAGTATGGGTGTGTCCTCCGTTTCGGCGGGTATGAATATCTGGAGCGCCATGTATGTCCTCGGACGTATACGGAATAGAAGCGAAACCACACATAAATACAATTTGTAAGGCTATAAGGCAGAACAAGAAGTGAAACTATAATCAATGCAATCGGGGACAAGGTGATCCTCAAATCGGACTGCAAGCAGGTCATTAACTATCTGGCCGACCACAGTGGGCGCTGGGGAGCCTCCGGCTACGCCATGCTCGATTTTTCCAGAACTCTCATCACAAGGGGTGCTTGTTCCTTTTCCGTAGCTCGCGTGGACGGCCAGGGGTTGCCTTTCGAGGAAGACTCCTAGAACACAACACCCCTCCTCTTCGAACTTCTATGATACTCTGTATCTTGATCGTGCACGCGAGATGTGGCCGGCTGACTGCTTTCAACATTTAGATTCGGCAACATCGACGTGAAGTATTTGACTGGGCTGGCAATGCGGTTGAGCAGTGACCCTAGCCATATGGCCACAGTCCTTGGGACCGTCCAGTGCGGAAATGCAGCGTTGGTGGAGCGGAAGGTAGGCTCAGCATTGATGGGAGCTTCGTCACAGGTGCGCACCAGCGTCTGGCGATGGGTGGCGGTGGCTTCGGTGGCAACTTTAGTAGTGGTCATCACACGAGAACATTGTGGTGGGTTTGCCCCCCGTGCCAGACTCCTGTAGGGGCACCGTGATAGGCTCCCTGCCTCATACTGACTCAGCAAGTAGGAAAGAATCAACGATTAGTTACAAATTTGCTTCGGGGCGGCTGGCCCACGTGAATTGTCCGTCAGTGCAGCCCCCTTGCAGTCACGACCAAGACAGGCGGCTCGAGCAGCTTGCGACCGCGTGACACCAATCGAATCTCACGAATTACAGGCAATCTAACTGTGAGGCAACTAATCTCTTGCTTAACCTTGTCATCTCGAGTGTTGCCTACGCTAGCAGACGACTATCGTATATCAGCATTGCCCTTAGCCCAGCCCTAGCTGAGCTGAACCGGAACCGAGCTAGCCAGACAATCCTGCCTTGCCTGCCTGGGCTCGCCGAAGCTCCCGGAGGACAAGACCCATCGCCGCATGACCGTTGACAGGATGGAGCCTGCCAAGCACTGATCTGGTGGAAACATGAAAGAGCAGACGATGATTACTGATGGGCTCGTAGCTGCCTCTTACGACGGCGGCTCCCAAGGGCGAGGCCGCCAAGGCTTGTTGTGTGGCCCCCCTGGGGCACCGCCGCCGGCCGCAGGGGAATGACAACAGAGGGAGAGTCACTCGAACCCTCCGAACGGCCTCCGAAGACTCACTCCTTGTGGGCCGAGAGAAACAGATCTGGCATCCAAAGTGACGGCGAGGGTGCGGCCGGCGGGTGACACGGCATCGGACGTTGAAACATGAGTGTGAGTGACTCAGCGGGATCACACGCAGCAAAGCACTTGCCGACCCCTGCTTGCCCTGCAAACCAATGCCTTTCGCCACCTGGCTGAGCCTGGCCAGCTGGCAAAAACCAAACAACCACGGCTCTGGCCTGGTTGGGGCTCACCGCTTTCGCCCGACGGGGCCGGACGGGGTCGGGCTGTCGGGCAGGGCGAGCTTCGTTTTGGGGCCAGGTAACCACTCGATGTTGCTCTTGTTGTTTTGGATCTCCTTGCCGGCTCCGCATTGCTCCAATCGCATGAACGAAGCCGATTGCGATGGGGCGTATTGTCTTCAATGTTGTCGCGAGGCCCGCCTCTTGTCACGCGCACGCGCCGCCACCCGCCCGGCTCGCCTCAACGGCGAGGCCTCATCATCATCGTCACCAAGTGCCAAGAAGTAGGCTGGGCCCGTTTGCATTGGAAATCCGAGGCTATCGTCAGTCCTGATCGCTGCCTGCAACGGGCGTGCCATCATCCCCACGGAACCCGAGAAATGCCGGCAACGCCACTGTAACGAGAGCGAAAAGGTGAGACGGTCAGTAGTTCGGGGTTCGAGACCGAGCCATGCCCAGGTGGCTTGGCGCTGTGCTCCCATCAGGGGCGAAGATGAAGGTAGAGTGGCCCCGATCTTGCACCCGGATCAACAAGACCTCGGCAACCGGCGACACAAGGTGGTGATAAGCGTCGCCCTAGTGATCAAATGGCAGGGTTTGCTCATCTCTTACGAAATACCTCAGGCGAGGCCTCATTGGGCCACGGTGCACACCAACTTCGCCCGGCCAGGCAAGCCATCTTGCGATTTTCTTGCCGAAACGAGAGCGAAGTCGTTGGGGACCGGAAATTCATCACAAATATGGAAAGAATTCACCGGGGCTGCACCGAGGAGAGGGCTGATAGGGGCTGGGCATCAGTACAGGAATCCTCGTGTCGAGAAATAACACATTTGCACATCACTCAACCCAGCAAATCGGCCACGAGGCTCTCCCTAGCTCATGTCGTTGACCCCTGGGTGAGGACATGTGCCGAGTGAGTCAGTCAGCCTTGAGCTGGCAGCGCGGTTATTGTGGATTTCTCATCTCACGAGGCCGACTGCGTGGCCCAACCGCGCGGCAAAGACACGCCCTCCTCACGGAGTGTACTAGTACGTTGCGTGCGCCTCTTTCGGTCACGTACGCACTGGGTCTCCCACCGCGCCTCGCCATTGCAAACGCTGGGTGCGGACACCTCTCGTAAACTGCATAACCCAATGTGTCCTGTGTGTCTAGGCTGGATCTAAACGCTAGGTCCCGTGTGCTAGGCCACCTGGGCAGAGAACTAATGCCTCGAAGGCTTTGTTTGAATGTCTCAGTCGCTTCCGGCCGTGGATTTACAGCGAGCACTGCAACGGAGATCGCGATCGTCTCCGAGGCCGCTCGATATCGGGCCCTGTTCTGCAATTCCTGAAGAGACTGGGCAAAAGTGACCCGTCCTGTGCCTCGTCTATAGTAGGGATGGGAGAGGTTGAGTCACAGGTGAGGCGGCTGTGATAGCATCAAGCACTAAGGGCATGCCTTGAGACTCGAATGACATGTGGACTGGCCTGTTTCGAGTTTGATAGCCGCCTAATCAGGTTCTCGAAGCTTTCCTGGCTTCGGCCACATGGCTCGCACATGACGGCAAGTTGTCTGCCTTGCCGATCACATTTCACTCGGATCTGGGTCGTGATAGAGGCAGCGGAATGCACGGCAAGGAACGGCAACACTGCCAGCCAGCCTGGCAAGGTCTGTCGCTGGGCACGCGGAGGCCGATTCACGTCCAACTCGAGACCGACCGGTTTGATGAATGGATTCAGCTTGGTCGAGACAACTGACGGACCATGGGCCCACAGGTGCACTTTTGGCGAACCTGTGAGCGAAGCCTCCCTCACACCCTGACACCCTGACACCCAAACACCACACTCTTGCACAAGGCAGGTATGCAACCATGGCGGAGCGGGGAAAAGGCTGGGGTTGACATGATTGGAGCACGTGTAACCGGGGCGGCATCTCCAAGTTTCGTGGTGCAGATACCATGTACCGGGTAGGCCGGGGCCACAAATCGGGGACAGCACTCCGGGGGGCCTGGCCGCAGCAGGTTGACGGGCTGTGAGTCCTCCTTGCTCCTGCAGTGACGTTCAAGCCGACGTGGGTGCTGAGCAGGTCACCCGATGATGGATGGATCAGGTGAAGCATCGTGAATCTTCTCGAAGGCGGTGGGGGAGGGCCGTGGGGGCGGCCGCTCCGCTCCTCTGCACAAGCACTCGGTCGCGGTCTCAGCCCACGGTGACGAACACCCAGGCAGGCCAGGCAGGCCAGGCAGGCCAGGCAGGCCAGGCGGGCTTGTGTAGGGCCCCGTCAGGCCCGTGTGGGGCGACCGCTACTGTTAGGACATCTGGAGCATTCCTGCAGCCGAGTGGGCCCATGAATGGCGTTGTGTCTCTGTGGGGTGCCAAACCTTGACTGGGCCTTGACCGGGAGAGACAGACATGCAGAAATGGGCCGAATCGCCCGCCGTAGCAGGCCTGAAGCCGATGTGAATGACTGGATGGCCAGCTGTGCCACAATTGCCTGGCGTCCAAGACACGGCCGTGGACAAAAGTGCCCTCGGTCACGGGGTATGATGATGATAATAATAATAATAATAATAATAATCGCACCATCTGGAGCCCCCAGGCCTGTGTGCTGCGTGACCGATGAGACAGCGGGCCAGGAAGAACAGCAACAAACGTTTTCCATGTTTTGAACATGTCAACAGAGGGACAACATCAAGGAGGCATGCGTAACTGATGCAGGTGCGGAGCGACCGGACACTGAACAACAGCACGTCACCCCAGCACCGTTGGCCCTCTGAGGCCGGGGTGGGGCAGGCGTCGGAAGCGCAGGTTTGTGATCGCCCTCGGGTGTATCACGACCAAGGGCGACTCTGGGGGTTGGGAGGCCATGCATGTGGTGATGAGAGTCGACAGGCAGACAGGCAGACAGGCAGGCCGCTCGTTCACCAGTTGGGCAGTTGGGGTGTGTGTGCCTGTGCTTCGGTAGCACGGAAAAGACCATACGACAGGGCAATAGGTAGTGGATGGCTACGGGGTATGCAGCGTGTGCATCATTGCCTGCACGTATAGACCCATAGACTCGACATGAGCGATAGCGAGGAAGCCATCCAACGGCCCAGTCCCCGACGGCTATTGTATCCACCGTGGGCCAAGGCTGTGTATGTGTGAGAGAGAGTGAGTGATGAAACTGCAGGATCGTTGATGCCAAATTTGGGAACGGATTACGACGATGGATGGGAATCTGCGTTGGAGGCAGCAGGGAGGGGCCGGTTCAGGTTGGGAGGGGGGAGCAGTCCCCATACCTACCTACCTAGGTACCTAGGTAGGTAGGTACAGTAGGTGCGCAGCCTCGGATGCTAACGGGTACCGCGAGCACGGCAGCACGGGCGCGGCGGCACGGCTGCAGCGAGAATTATTATTAGGGGCCGGCTGGGCTTAGACGGGGGCGAGGCGAGGCGAGGCGAGGGAGGGGCGGGGCTTAGGGCCTGGCCTGAGCTTTGGGCCGGATGATGATTATTATGACTACCCAGGCTGCCAGGAACCGACCCAGGTGCCAGGTGCCTAGGTATGTGATGAAAGATGCGTGATAGGAAGATGAGTGATGTTGGTGTTGGACACTCGGTACTCTGCCACTGTGCACCTCGGACAGTGCTAGTGCTGTTGGAGGCCACGAGAGAGACGACGGCCAGCCGCGCCACAACTCGACCACAGCCGACCACAATTCACTGAGCGGCGGACGAGGCTTTGTTTTGCATCTTGGGATGGTTTGTCGTGTGTCTGTGAGTGTGAGAGCAAGCAGCCGCGTGAGGTCATCGCAATTTCGCAGGTCCCGTATTGATGCTTCGTATTGCGCGTCTGTTCTCGTTCGGGTACATGACACATACAAACCACCACTCATCAAAGTCAATGTATGTGTGCTCTCCCGACAGGCGGTAGGCTTTACTCCGTACTTGGGCCGAATCCCACTTGCCCTACAGAGCACAGCACTTGAGGTCGACTGACTGCTGACGGAACAGATGGCTGGCTGGCTGGCTGGCTGGCTGGGCAGTTGATAGCTACCGTGGATGAGAGTGAGTAATAATGATGAGTGAGTGCGTGCCGCTGGTGGTTGGTTGCCAAGGGTCTCGGGGGAACAAGTCGGGTTCTCTGGGGACGGCATCCATGCTCCCTCTCCAACGGCCCCCTTCCCCTTCATCTCATTCTCGTCACCCATGATAACTCTTGTTGCGACCCTGGAAATTTCAATAAGCCGTTTCTCTCATCACCTTGGACGTCCCTGTGGATAAGTGCCCCCCCCCCCTCGCTGTTAAACACACAAGCAGGCGGGTTGATCAGGTACATGCAGAGCACCACAGTAGATGATGAAGCAAGGGCCTGCTGCATGTGTTGAGCGAGCGAGCGAGGCCGTGGCGTGTGCCGGCGCGCGTTGTGTGCTGGCGGCGGGCGTAGGTTTCTGTGCTGGAGGCAGACAGGACTCAGACGAGACAGAGAACAGTAAGAGTCATCTCTTTGTCAACCTTGCCGTCGATGAGATGAGATGCGCCTGCACCTGCAACCTGCAGAGACGGAGCTAGGCAGAAACGGGGCTGGCCTCGTTCTGCAGCTGCGAGCAAGCTGCACTGTAAGAAGTCGAGTGGCAGGGGGGGCTGGCAACCACGGCGCGCGAGAGGACAGGAGGATGGCAAGACGGACAGAGAGAGGTGGCCACTCCACTCCCACCTCTGGCTGCAGCCAATCGCCTGCCAGCTGATTGCGCACGCTAGTCTGATTACGGGCCGCCAAACGTCCATTCGCTCCTGCTCCTGCTGATGAGCAATGAGAGGGCCCCCCCCCTCGGCCCTGCCATGCTCGGAAGTACATGCGATGCACTACAAACCCGGCGGGCGCGGCAGGTACCCAGTCCGTGGATGCGTGGATGGGAAACGTGGGTGTGGGCAGTAATCTTCAAAACTGCTTCAGCGCCCGCGTCACAGCACATCCTGCGCTCCCCTTTCCCTTCCTTCCCCCCGCCATAGAGCAGTCAAGATGCTCGATTCCACCGTTTGAGAGATGCAGAGCGACTCGCTGTAGTCTGCTTGAGCATCTGGTTGACAGGTCGACGACTCTTCTCTCCTCATCATCTCATGGTTTCCGTCTAGTCCTTTGCGCACTGCTCTGCTGTTCGCCTCGTTGTGACCGGGCCCGCTCAGAACCTCTCCTCTCAGTCCTCTTCTCTCCTCCTTATTGCCAAATACCAAATACCCTGTCCTGTCCCTTCCCCGTCTCCTTGTGCGGCATTCATTTGCTCCTGCGAGGACAAAGGAAACAACAACAAAAAAAGTCAGGCCATCCACCGAAATTAATACCTTCTCGCCCGTGTGATCGACTCACTCTTCGCCCGCCTCCCTTACTTGTCTTTTCATTCTGTCCCAGCCGGGGCTTGGAAGCCGAGCCAACAAGAACGTCTTCTCTTTTTTTTCTGGGGGTGCTGCTGCTGCCCGGTGTTAGTCAGTCCTGGAGAGTCGGCCAAGGATCCCCAGCATCTCCTGTTTCGGACTCCCCTTTGGAGTCAGTCACAGCCCAAGGCCCTACGCACGCCCTGCGCACTCGCCACACAAGCCCAGCAAAGCCCAAGCCAGGCCCAAGACCTCAAAGACCCATTCTCAGGCTACCGCCTTCGCCCCCCAGCCCGTGTGACACTACAGGTCACTCTAGCCAGGTAGGTTTCCTCCGCCCTCCCGTTGGCTCCCCCCCTCCGGCAGTACACGCCGCAAGCCCAGCCCAGCCCAGCCCAGCCCATCCCTCGGACAGCCCACGCGCAACACAACCCCTGCCTGCCCTGCCTACCCTGCCTACCCAGCCTACCCAGCCAGCCTACCCAGGTACCAAGGCCCAAGCCTGCCTCTCTCTCCCTCTCCCTCATGGGCGGCAAAGGCCGGTTGCATATCCACCCACGCCGTCTTCGCCACTCTCCCTCCTATCACACGTCCGGAAGAGTCATCGAGAGACACGTAAAACGGCACGCCCACCTGCCACAACCCGTCATCGTGGCCATGGATACCTAAACCTCATCAATGCCCGGAGTGACCAACACACTGCCTGGCAGAGAATACACCATCCCCATCATCCTCACTCATATCCCGTCCTACAACCACCCATCGTCATACTCATCCCGTCTCGTCACCTGCCCTCCTCGCTCAGCCTGGCCTGCCACTGCCTAGAGCTGAGTCTTCCTTCTCGCCGGGCTTGCTAGGCTCCGGTCCTCGCTTTGAACACTCCCTTTCTCTTTGTGCCTTTGCCTCCCGGACAACAAGCAGTTACTCATGATTCAATAACAGCGCCGTCTGATGATATCCATTTAAACCCACTTCTCTTCCTCTTACTCTCGACGGCATGACATCGCCAGCAAACGGCGACTGCAGACGAAATACCGAAACCTTGCGGACCTCTTCATCCTCTCTCGTCTAGTCGGACTCGGCATCCACCGGCCATCCCTTTTGGAACACAGCCTCGCCCACTCACAACTCCACCAATCCTACTACACCAATTCCGACTAGTAATTTTCACGTGGCACACGATGGCTTCCGCATAAGGCTCTCTTGTTGGTTAGATATTGCTTGCGACTGGAAAACCCAGAGGCTCTATTCGCGCTCGAAATAGCCCGACGACGTTCCTCCCTCTTTTCCTCCGCCCAACTCAAATCAAGATGAAGCCTGCAGACGTCGACTCGCCGGTCTTCGTCCCAGCCTACCGAAATGTGTTATATACTTCTTCGCTAGCCTCCTCCGCAACGGCCTCCTCGGTCTCGGTATGTTCTGACGCATCGTCTCAACTATCCGCCGACTACTCCACAGCTTCCTCTTTTACCGAATACTCGGACTCTCTACCTCAGTCCCGGCCATCTCTCTCTCAGCAGAGCTCTTGTGCCTCCCTGAGGTCCACGAGCAGCATCCTGCCCCAGGTTCTGCGACAAAACCCCCGGCGGACTTCCAGCGGTGCGACATCCCGATCCGGCTGCCCACCCCCGTTGGTCAGACAGGTTGAGAGGAAGCACAACTTTGTCGACAATCTTGTCGGTAAGTGGTGATCCAGCACTACTACGCACTCCTCCGGCCCGCATTCTAATTGATCCCGCCTCAGATTCCTCCACTCAAATCGTCGAGGCCATCTGGCCAACGTCCTCTGTGGTATGCCGCGAGGAGACCAGCAACTCGAGCGTCTTGCCCCTGCGAACCTTCATCCAGGAGACCTTGCGCCGTTCTCGGACGAGCTACTCGACTCTGCAGGTCGCACTTTATTATTTAGTTTTGATCAAGGACCACCTCCCAGATCGCGACTTCACCATGGAACAGACAGATGACTGCCATGTCAGTCGCGCTCTGCAGTGTGGCCGCCGAATGTTCCTTGCGGCTTTGATTCTGGCCTCAAAATACTTGCAGGACAGAAACTATTCGGCCCGCGCCTGGAGTAAGATCTCAGGACTTGCCACGCACGAGATCAACCAGAACGAGATGGCTTTCCTTCTCGCGGTCAACTGGAACCTCCATGTCACCGAGGAAGTCTACAACCGCTGGACTGACTGTGTCATGAAGTACACGCCGTCTCAGCCGCCATCGCCTGGATCTGGTGTTGCCCTCGTTGAATTTGAGCATCAATGCGAGGACTTTAAGAGAATTATACTTCAGTTGAATGCCGACCTGGACAATTTGGAAGACATTGTGTCAGCCGGTGGATTTACTCCTGCGCCGTCTATGAGCCCAAGATCACTATCGCCGCGATCTGTCCTGGCTGCAGCCCAGGACAGTCCGAGGCGATACGATTGTGCCACACCGACGCCGAGAGCATACACTACTCTGAACACAATGGAACCCGCGCCGTCACCGGCTCACACTGTCGTGCGACTGCCGCCAACTTTTGGTCTGCTTCCCACCCCGCGTCTCACCCCACAGCCCAGTGCTGCCCGTGAGCCCTCACCCGGACTGGCAAGCCTGTCATACTGCTTTGGCAGGAGCTCTTCCATGAGCCTGGCAATGGGCGCAGCTAGCAACGTGCAGACGGAGCGGTGGCCAAGTACGTCCTCACCGCAGAACTACTACACGGCAACCCGCCGGTCTTCTCTCGCCAACTCGGTCTCTACACCATCTTCACCTGAGTCCATGATTTCGGACACGTCACGGACGTCTCGCTCTTCCTCAATCTCATCGGCGTCATCGCTTACCAGCGCGCCGCACACCAAGCTGGATGTGCTGGCGCGCTGCCGTTCTGCGAAGCTGTGCAGTGAGAGGTATGCGTCGAGGCCTACGATCGCGTCTGTACCCGAAGATTATGAAGAGACCATGACTTCTTCCCCGGAGTCCTACACTGGACCGGTGAGCAATGACTTGAGAGGCATGTCGTTTGAGGCGCTTGCAGCAAAGCGAGAAAGCGAGGTTGATGATGCCACCAACGACGCGGCTCGAGCCCTCCAGGAACTGCATGACAACTGGCGCCGTTCGCATGCTGCGCCTCCGCCGGCGACCTCCGCCCCCAAGGTCGGTTCCAAGCGAAGTCGACCCGTCTCAGTCGATCACGGCCTGCAGGATCATGTCCGTGGGATGCTGCGTGAGCAATATCCTCCGGCAGGCTCTGATGAAAGCTACCAGGTGTCGCTTCCAACGTCGTCACACGATGCCCGAAAGCGGATTTGTTGCTCAGCAGAAGCTGCGCAGTATAGCATCCCGTCTATGCATCCTGCCATGGGGGGTCTTGGAGGACCAGGGATGTGGCAGGGGATTTTGAATTAAATGATGACTTACCAGCTCATCGCCATACTACCATCACTATCACTTATATTTTCTTTTTCTATTTTTTTCCCTCACTAAAATAATGTGGATCATCAAATACTGTGCGTCGGCCGGCTGGGAGGAGGACTTGATACCATCGCCTTTCGCAGCATCCAAATCCATAGATCATTTGGATGGGCTGTCAAGGGCTCGGGGCTGAAAAGCGCGCCGTTGCGTTTTGCATTGGGAAGGTGTCAATTTGGGCTCATCTAGTAGGAATCCTGCATGGAATGGAAATGGGTGGTTGAACTGTGTACGATGAAGTGTGAAATAACTCTTGCTTTTCCTGTTTGAGCAATCATCTATCTGGCGGAGTTGATGGCTTGTAATTGGGAAGAGCAGCGTCTTGTGCGAGGCGTCCGGACGGGGTACGCTCTCTCGACACATTTGTCGGGACACATCCTACGGCAGGGCAAACGAGAGAAGACTGGACGGGAAGGAAGCGCAGAGCTGCGAAAGCAATAGCAAGGCAGCCAGCTTCGCTGACGAACCCCCTGATATCTCGAGTTCTCCTGTCGATACGCATGACGAAAGCCTGCACTGGACAAGATGAGACCCGATCAAATACTCCGCGATTTCCTTCAACAAAAGGCCATCTCGAGAGCGGTCGGTAATCATCGCCATGGCAGCAACAGCATCGATAGCATCGAGCTTCCGCCGTTTGCTACCCAGCAGCAGAGCAGAACAATTCAAGATTTAGGCAAAAGACAACCTTTCAAAACTTGAGGTCTTAATGAGTCCCCTTGAATTCCCAACGCTGCTACTCTCCGCATCTATAACACCGCGGCACCTTCTTCGGAACTGGTTCGAGCAAGCTGATGATCGGAGCCCGGAAGAGACTCTCACGCACCCCCAATGCCAACATCACCAGACTTGCACACAACTACGATGTAACACATGGTAAGCAGCAAACGCAGGTGCTCGCGGCCCGCACTGACAGTCCAGAATTTTGATCCCTACCCGATCATACAAACATCCAGCCTGTGGTCTGTCCGGTCAGGCGGGCGTGCTTCATCCTAGGCATCGCCGTCCGCCACACTTGGTATGCCGAGTGAGTCATCCCGCCCAAAATCACCCCAGCCTCCGTGATAGGACAAGTGGGAGCGCCCACCCCTCACAAACCGAGTGAAAACACTGGCTCGGACCATAGTGGCGCCCGCAACACCCTTGTGCCCTTCTGTTGGTTTCGAGTCCTTGTATCTGAGGTGGTGTTGGAATCAGCTGACCGCGATGGCGCTTCGAATTTATTTGGCTATCAGCACCAGCGGCGCACGAGTGGGCAAGCTCCGGATTCCGCTCGTTTGTCTCCCAAAGTTTCCTTCAAAAAGAGGTATGTTCCCCTAGAAGCTGATCTCCGGACAGAACGCTCTTGATACATTCGGATGAAGAGATCCCCGAATACCGCTGTATTATTCACGTGGATCCCACTGCGTGGGTGAGAATTACGTAGACACGTGAAAGGCTCTTGATCGTCGGAGTATCGTCGCGTCTCTTTGCCTCTAATTTGTCAGCTGATTATTGTACGGATGAGCAGAATGTGTGGGTCCGTCCTCGATCCTCCAGCCCGGATCTCTGGCAGGAGGAAGCTGTTCGAAACCTAAGTCCTCTCGTAGTCGCAGGCAGTGTGGCGTGCGTCAGCGAGACTCGGAGTGCATGTCAGAGAGGCAACGAGTGTTGCAGCTGTGTTCTGCCAGGTTTAGCGCTCTCTTAACCTTGGAATGTCAACATACTTCGATGCGCACACAGTTCGGGGGCGTGATGTACCAGGATAAATGCTTGGCTTCACAATAAGCAACCTTAGTTGGAAACCCTAGCTTGGTCTGCCAAACGGTCACCAGTATCAAACCCACGCCTTCAGGTTGTGGATATTCTCCTCTTGGCTTAACTACCATGGTTCCACCCTGTGCCGTAAGCACGATCGCATTGCGGAGTATCTTCACTTGGCTGCATCCGATGGCCCGGGCATGGCTTTCGTGTGAATTCTACCTGGGCATCCTTATTCCTCCCCGCTGCGTGTCAGACGGCTTGTAAGCATGATCTGGCAAGGTTCTCATCACAGGTTGTGGGGAGGGGGCGCGCAACAGCTCATGGGCCATGCGTGGTCTTCCATTAAATACATCCGCCCGTGCCACTGGCCGAAATTGCTTGGCTGTTGTCAAAGGGCTCGCATATGTCGAATGTAGTAGGTAGGTGGAGGGTAGATGGAAGTAAGTTGAGTCGTCGAGCCATCCATGCGCGATGTGACAGCCCATGTCTCTTTTTTTCTCTTGTCCTGATCGGCAGCTGTGTGTATGATCATATTGGCTCCAATCCTGTACAAGATGTCAGTCATGCTTCTGGCGGAGCAACGTGGGCCGAGGAGGTGCGAAGAGGAACTCCCGTCTGATGGGGTTAATGGAATCCTTGTGTAATGATCCCTACCGCAGGTTATTCCACAGAGATCCCACGTGTACTGTTACCGTACCACCACCTCAACTTCCCTCGTCGAGGAAGGGTGCCCGGAATATGTAGACCGGCCCCGTCGGCTCATCCCGCGCAATCTCTCTGCACGGGGGATTATCTTCCAGCCTCAACACCTTTGTTCGACCAGAATGGTTTCTTGGCATCTATCCAACAGGGCACTAACTAGTATTGCCCGTCTTGTTCGTACATGTAGTCGTGAGTTGCCCCGAAATCAAGTTTCGAAAGACTTACGAGGCCGAGGCTCATAGTTGCATGCTTTTTTCTGCTTCTCCTTTTGGCAGCCAGCCAGCCATCTGGTATCTCGTAAGGCCTGGTGACGAGACCACCTGTGTGTGTTTGCAGCGCGCGAGGGAAGACGTCTTCAGTGATGGAGCAGCATTTCGAATGCCCGGGGAACCATTGCCGGGAACTCCAAGGGCAATTTCTGTAACAGGAAGTTAAGATACTGACCCTGGGGCATCCTCTGGATGACGACCAGCGTGTGTCTGTATGTGCACTTCGTCTTCTACTCAACTGTTACAGAGGCTACCGGGGTAGCTAGGTGGACCTGACAGTACCTAGGTACTTCTAGTGATGAAACACGGCGATAATTCAATCAAATACATGAAGTGACGCGTACGCCCTGTACATTTGAAATCTGTTGACAGATACACGCGCAATCTTCAAGAATGGACCGCGAGATGCAGAGTGCCGCCCAGAAGATTCATTCAGAGAAGCGCAGTATTATTCCGCAAAATTCGGTGCCTCGGTATCATGTCTGCGGTGGCAGACTGGTTTTTTCTCTGCGTCATTATTTAGTGTCAGCTATTTCTCAGTCGATCGAGGTTAAGCGCATTCACAACCTTCGGGGATGGAGTGGAAGTAACTTGTGTGGCCGGCTCACGCAACACAATCGATGTTATGGAGCATCACGCACTTCTAAAAGCCGGAGGCAAATACGGAGGAAAACATACTGATCGTCACTAAATGAAGGACACAAATTGAATCCAGGCTTTTGATCAACTATCAAAGATGCTAGTCTACTTGCAGATGTAAACAGATCTGACCGCACATGACAGGTGACGTGCTGCATGCCGAATCAGACTGCCGACCAGACCGGTCATTAGTATCCTCGCGAAGTATCTATCATCCTCAACAAGCTCCCCGTGAAGCCGAAACCAGAAGATCGGACAATGTCCATCACAAACGAGCCTCACCCATGAAGACCAAGGAATCATCCCAGCACAGTACATGCTGTCATGTTGAGGGGGCAGAAGCAAGACTGACTTCCTTACCAGCCGCCACCGCCAGTGGAGGCACCTCCAGCCTCCCAGCCAGAAGAAGCAGCCGCAGAAGTATTGGCATCTGCTCCCCAGGTATTTCCGGCCTCAACTCCTGCGGTAGAAGTCTCAGTCGCACCTCCCCAGGCGTCGCCGGAGTCACCGCCAGCGTTGTCGCCCCAGGCGCCCGCGTCCATGCCACCCAAATCGTCATCCTGCTCCGAGGGGAACTGAAGGTTCTCAAGCTCCTCGCCCTCAGGCATAAACTGCTGAAGGAACTCCGGGACGGTCTGCTTGGTCTCCAGGAGAGTTCGAACCAGGACCGGAGCCAGGGGCTCATCTCGCTCCGTGTAGAACGAGGTGGCCAAACCTCGGTTGCCGATGCGACCGGTGCGACCTGTAGAATGTTAGGTATCATAAACACAATGATTAAGAGTCAGAGAGCTTACCGATGCGGTGGGTGTACTCCTCGATACCACCATGATCGTTGCTGGGAAGGTCAAAGTTGATGACGTGGCAGACATTGCGGACATCAATGCCACGAGCAGACACACCAGTGGCAATCATAATGGGCATAGTACCTTTGCGAAAGGCGCGCATGGCATCCTCGCGCTCCAGCTGGGTACGGTCTGCATGAATCGAGGTGCAGGGCAGGCCGCGGTTGAACAGAAAATCATCCAGCTCGTCCGCAGTGCGCTTGTTGTTCACAAAGATAAGAGTACGCGCGGGAGGCATCGAGTGAAGGAGGTCATACATGGCCTGACGCTTCATAGAAGGATCAGTCTGCACAACACTCTGGACGATGTTGTCGTTCGCACGTCCTGCACGACCGACGCGGAATCGCACGTGCTCAGTGGCAAGATGAGTCATTGCGAGCTCTCGAACACGCTTGGGAAAGGTAGCAGAGAAGAGGAGGTACTGGATGTTTCCCTCTTCCTGCTCTGTGTAGAGCGTTAGCAAGTTCGGCGTGAGAACATCCAGTTGCGGAGAGACTTACCACCACCACCGAGGATCCGTCCAAAATCCTCCCTCCAGTCGTCATGTAGCATCTCATCAGCCTCATCAATAACCATGAATTTGAGACGACGGAGAGTCAAATTCTGTGGCCGATCGATGAAATCCAGGAGACGGCCGGGCGACGCAACAAGGATATCGCAGCCCTTACTGAGCTGGTCAATCTGGTCCCGAATGGGACCACCACCATAGATCACGCAGGGGCGCAGCATGCTCCGGTAACAGAACTTGCGAGCCTCCATGAAGATCTGGATGGCAAGCTCACGTGTTGGAACCACGATGCAGACGAGTGGCTCGGCACGGACAGGCGGGTCGATGCCTGGCTGGTAGGTGGCCGGGTTGGGACGCGGAGCAGCAAGTTTCTTCGCCTTTCCCATGAGCTTGTTCAGGATGGGGATAAGGTAGGCCGCGGTCTTGCCAGAACCTTGAGACCATGTCAAACCTTGCTGATAGAATGTGTTGGTGACAAGGGAATCTTACCAGTTTGAGCGATGCCAATGACATCGTGACCACGAGAAATAGCTGGAATGCAGTATTTCTGAATTGGGGTTGGCACGTTGTACAGCGACATCTCAATGTTCTTCATCATTGCCGGGTGCAGACCAGCATCGCTGAACTTCTCAATGGGGTGGATCTGAACAGGACCCTCCATCTCAAGGTCCACAGGAGCCATGCTGTGGAGAGCTGTGAGCCAAGTAATAGCGGTCGAAGAAATGGTTGGGAAACGCACCTGTTGAAATCGATGCCCGATGGCAGCTCACGCTTGTCGGCAGGACCAAAAAGCTCCTCCTCGAGCTCGGGGAACTCAGGTCCGATGTCTCCCTCCTCACCGTCCCAGTGATAAACGCGCTTGTTTCCGTCAAAATCGCCGCCACGGGAATCAGCATACTGGTCGTAGTCGTACTTCTGGGATGGCGCCCATCCACCGCTGACGTTGCCCTCGGTAGCAGAGCCATCATCGGCAGCCTGAGCTGCCGGGCCATCGGTATGAGGACCACCAGAGTCAACGTTGGCATCAGGCAGGGCGTTCGCCATGGTGCCCGTGTCGAATGCTCCGTTGTTCTGCTGTTGAGCAGAGCCCCAGCCGGAGCCAGAGGCATCCTGAGCACCCCAGCCAGAGGACATGTTGGGTGACAAGGAGTGGGCTGTCTGAATTAAGGAAAGAGATGAGCAAACAACGAAGGCAGGACGAGAGTTTGGAGCGGGGCAGTGTTGTGATACTGATGAAAGAGTGATGAAAAGGCCAAAGGGAGAAAAGTGTAAGGATGAGCGCGAAGGGAAGTGCAGAGAAAGCGGCAAACGAAATATAGGGGAGGAAGACCAAAGATCACGTTACAAAGTGAGAAGGAAAGAGGGGAGGATATCTTACCAGAGAGTCAACGGTTGCTGAAATTGCAGTTTCAGGCACACAACTGCGGGAAGAGTCAGATCACAGAACTGGAAAGGTTGTTAGTACTGGGCAGGTAGTAGGGCTGGAGTGGAACTGGAGGGCAGAGGTGATCGGTGACGAAGTTGGTATGCAAAGCCAGGCAGCAGGGTTTTACCAAGGGCTTGGTGGAGAGAATGATGGAAGACAAACCAACTGTGGGACTGGAAAATCCTAACAGGCGTATTGTGGGAAAAGTCCTGAAGGAAGGGAAGTAGGACAAAGACTTTGTGGTGTGTTCAGAAGAAGGAGAACCAGGAAAATGGCGGGCTTGTCAAGACAAATGAAGGGTGGGTTTTCAGGAAGAAGTTGACCGGACAGATGGAAGTAAAAGTAGGGTACTGGAGACAACAGCATACCTGGGGAGTGACAGGGGAGACGTCTGATTGTAGGCAATGCTTGAGGAAAGGAAGAGAGCCAGGGCAGTAATCAGCTCCAGACAGGATGGCCTCGCACCCAAGATGTGGCAGTGAAAGGAAGTCGTGGCAAAAATAAGAGGGCAGGTGCCTGGATAAACACAAGGCATCACACGTGCCTGCTTGTTTCGATTCTGTGAAGCAAATGTGCCGGTAATGTATGCACGTACTGGTCTGGGAGCTTCCCTCTTGGGGAGAACTGCGGAGGTCAAACAAGAGCTGCCTCTTTCGATGCTGGTGGATGGAAGAGAGGCAAGAGGGCAAGGTTTGACAGGTCGAATGGGGAGATGGGGAATCAATGGACCAGGCAGACCTTGGGCTGCTGGTGGCTGCTGATGGTGAAGAGGGTTGGTTCCAGTGTTGATAGTTGCAAACCGGGTTCAAGGTGAGGAGGGATGACGAGTGCTTGCCCACAAAGACTAATCACAACAAGAAAACACAAGCTGCTTACCTGAAACTGATGGTCAAGCACCAAAGAACTGTTGCTGGTGATGCTCGGCAGTGTGGACGACCTGCTTCTCGAGGGCGAAGTCAAATCCTGGAGGGGAGTTGGGAAGAAAGAAAGTTGAAGTGGGAAGACACAAGCTGGTGTTGGGTTTTGTGCAAGGCTGTAGCAGGAGGCAGGTCACTGTGGGTCTGGGCAAGAGCTGGCAGAGCTGGTACCTAGTACCTGAACAATAGGTCTGGAGGGGAGGTGGAAGGTGGAAACTGAGTTGGCCTGAGTGAGAGGACGGTTGACTGAGCTTTGGGTGCTGAGACGATGAGCAGCTTTAGGCACGTTCTTGTCCATCCAATTGTGCTTTTAGGGCCTTCAGGTCCTTAAGAAGAAGACCGAATGTGGTAAGGGTGAAGGAGAGGAGACCCGGGTATTGGGCCACAGCAAGTGGGGAGTGTCCAGGGAAGGTGTGTTCCGGGCTGGGACTTACCCTTTGTACAAAACCTGACCAAGCAGACAGCACCTTTGAGACTAATGACCTGATACCCTGCGTAAATAGATGCCGGAGGATGAATTCCCCAATGCCTGGCTAGTGAAACCACGACGCGAAGACGGCTTTGCGTTGGGTGAGGCAATTTGGGACGACGGGAGAGGAAGCCTAGACAGTAACAGGACATTACACAAGTTTCAATTCCTATGAAAACTCCCAGGGCTTGTAAAGTGAGGACTTGTCTAGAGGCACGTACAAAAAAATTCACATACGTCAGGAATAGCGGAATCAAAGATGCATCATCATTGAAATGAATGCTGTATGAGGGTGGATACGCATACCTGACCCTATGAACATTTCCACAGCTGCAAGGCACTATACACGTGATCACCTTGCTGCGTCAACCTTAAAAGCGACCACCGATCACCAGTCCAATTCCTCGAGCTCGTCGTGTTCATATCCCTTGAAGCCCTCCTCCAGGGCCTTAGCCAAGTCCGTGGCCGCCCGTCCTGCTGGTCCACCCTCCACACTCGCCTGCACAGTCTTCTTCTCCATGGTATCTTTCAAGGGCCACAGAGCACGTAGCCTCGATTCTGTGTCTGCGCAAATCTCGCCATCCTGCGGCGGGCCAAACAGCTGCAGATAGCCGAATGGGTTCGGCCCCTCAGGCAGCCTGTAGACCTGGTCCCAGTACTGAGTATCAGTCCATGGCTTTACTGGCGGTGGCTTCTGCAGGCCCAGCTGGATGAACCTGGCCAGGGCTGCCATCTGGTGCGCGTACGCGGACCCGCCCTTGTCCGCCCCAAATGTCGTCTTCGGCGCGGAGCTCCAGCCTTTACCGGCGGCGGTGGCGGATGTCGTGGCAGCGTTCCTCCAGCCCATCATCGCCACGAAAGCATCGAGGGTCTTGGTCCAGCCGCCGGCAAGTTCCAAGAGCTGGTCAACCGCGACATCGAGTAGCCAGTCCATGAACTTGAGCGCGTCGTCCCTTACCTCGGCCGAGAGGTGCAGCATCCCTAGGCGGACCCATTTGACGACCTTATCCGCATGAGGCTGAATCTCGTAGTATGGGATTGCCTGGAACAGTTTCAGGAGACTGCTGCGGATGGCTGACGAACTATCGGTGATCAGTGGCAACAATTTGTCGAGAAGAACGTATGCACCGACTGGGTTCTTTGGCGGTGTTGACGTGAGCTGGCTGACGAGGTGTGAGAGGGCCTCGCGCCGTTGTTTGTCAGTCCTGGAGGTGGCTAACGACAGGTTGTGCTTGAATAAAGCAACATCGTCAGGGGCTGTCTCCGAGAGGGACTGTTGGTTGACCACAATAGCTGTCATCATCGTCAGCATCCCTTCTCCCAGCTACCATCCTGAGGAGTTCTCGCCTGCACACGGCGGGTGATGCGTACATTTTGACTGGAAGCTCGTATCTGTAAAATTTGAAGACTTCGGCTTTGCCTTGCCGACCTTCAACTTGGGTTTCTGCTCAAGATGTTAGGACTGATGGATCCCGTATTTCCTGGATGAGACATGCCTGAAAGTCCTTCTTCTTTTCCTTCTTCTTCCTAGCGCTTGAGCCCATTTTGACTTCATTGGAACAAGGTCAGTCTCGGGCATTTATATCTTGATTGCACGCAACGCGGGATATTCACTTACCTCGTCGGTGCAGAGAAATCTTCAGTGAAGTTGAGAGCAAGACCAAATTGGGCAAAGGCGGTGAAGGCCGAGAACGGGCAGGAACCGTCTTTGGGGAACCCGGTAAGTGCTCCCCGAAAGACCGATTTGGCTGTCTTCGGTAAACAAAACAAGGCCCACACCCTTTCTAGGACGTACTCGCGCAAGACTTGTCCTCGATATACCCGCGAAGCTGGAATCGAGTGCAACTATCTTCCAGAATGGCAGATGTGAACACGGTACGCAGAGAGCTCGGACTGCCATTTCTTCAGTTGCGCAAGCAATGCCTCCGCGCGGCGCTAACCCCTGCCCCCGCGACTCGCAGAGCAACGGCGCCGATGCGCTCGAGGAAACCCTCAGCCGACTATCCAAGAAGCCCGGCGTGAAAGCGACGATTGCCCTTGATCGAGCCTCGGGAACAATTCTCAAGACGGCGGGCCACATATCGTCGTTGCGAACATCTTCCCAACAACAAGACCCGCAGTCGTCAACGGCTGCCGCCACCGCCAGCTCGCTTTCCGCGTCTACCACAGATGTCCCAGCCTCGTCTGGAAGCGCTGCGGCAGCTGGCACGGGCAGCGAGACGCAAGGAGCCGAAGAACTGGCGTCGATGGTATGGGCATTTGTGAATTCGGCCGGCGGTCTGGTGCATGGCCTCGATACGGAGGTAATTACTACAATCCCATGGTCGGGGGATGCGCACAGTGCTGACAGTCAGACCAGGATGAGTTGAAGCTGCTTCGAGTGCGCACCAAGAAGCAGGAGCTCGTTATCGTCCCCGACGCGAAATACCTGCTGATCGTAATACATGAGACTCCGGCGGCTTGAGCGGACGGTTAGCCAGGTCGCCGACACGGCGGCCCTTTCATTGATGCGAGATCGCAGGAGGGCCACAACGCGTCTCCCTTGGCTGAGATGTCACTTGAGACACACCGCTCATTCAAGCTGAATCACCCACTTATGTGAGGACCACAGTCAAGTACCGACAGGACCGCACAGAGAACGAGCATATACGTCCCAGTGGCCGCCGTTGCGTGCATTGCATGCAATGCGTAGACAAGATTTCGGCACAGATTCTGCAGGTCGAACGTCTGATGTGACTGTAGATCTGATAAATCTCGGATCATATATTTGGACGTGCCTAGCCGCACAGCTCATCACAACCGGTGGCAGCCGGCATGGTGTGCATGCCGCATATAGCACGGAGGGTACGTAAGGAACATAAGTGTGCAGAGGCAGAACCTCGACGAGAGCGACAGCTGTTTCAGATCGATGGAACGACGGCGAGTATTGTTGAGAAACAAGCAAATTGCCGACCTCGCAGGTAACACACGCTTATTGGCTTCCGACTTGCACCTGGCTGCATCAATGCCATACGCTCTGCGAGCACGCAGTTGGTTGTTCAGATGGGCTGGGTATTGTCAACCAGGAGGCCTTGCAGGGTAGTAAAGCTTGACCCTGGATGATTGACTGTCGGGTCGGGTGTTGGCAAGTGATTGCTAGTGGAGCACTTGTGAACGCCATGTACGGGGTACAGTGGTGAAGTGGATTTATGCCAATTGGCTGCTGGCATACAGACCACCTGGCCAAAAGAAGAGAATCCCTAATCTCTAATTACCTAGGTAGCTATACATAACAGCTTATAAGCCTATATTATTATTTTCCTACTATATCTATCTAAGAGGTGTTAATATTATATTTTAAATGAAAGTAAAAATAGTTATTTTAAAATTAAAGTTTTAAAATACTATTAAATAAACTTATTTAAAAAAGTTTTAAATATTATAATAAAATTAAGAGGTAGAAAAAAAGAAGAAGTAGTAAAGAAGAAAAAAATAAGAAAGAAAGCTAAAAGTAGGAAGGTAGAATAGTAGGTCAGACGGTAGTAGATATAATGAGCACAAGTTTTGAGATATTTGTTGCCTGGACCCCTGCAGCGCACCGCAAACCATCTGCAGCTGCTAGCGACCCCCAAACAGAAAACCTTGGAAAAGTTGGAAGGCCGGGGTCAAGCATTCCATCTGTGGTCAGTAGTGGCCGACTGGCAGTGACTTGCCATCATCCGAATGGCTGGGATGGGACGCCGTCGCATCTGATGTCCAGCTCGTTGGCCAGGACAGCACCACCGTAGTCAGACAAGAAACACCGGAAACCTGGAAATTGATCTCGAAGTCTCAGGGTCGCATGGCTGCAGGCGGACAGCACACCTAATCTTGCTTTGCATGCCTGCATGCCTCGGCCCTGTGGGAGCTGCAGGGTGAACTCATGGCAGCCCAGCATCGGCTCAGAGATGCCAGGCTTACCAGGGAACACCTGCCTGACCTTCCGGTTGGCGAGAAAACGGCCTGTGTATCAGTTAGACGACATCAGAGCCGGAGGCTAAACCCGAGGGCATGGCCAGAGGGTGTGGAAGACCTGAAGACTACATTTTCATAATTCCTACAGATGCAGCATAATTGTAATTTCCAATTTCCTTCATCCCACCAAAGAAGGCAGCTTACCTGCGGCCTTCCGTTGTATTGTTTTTGGGATCCCGTCGTCCTGCACCTTGTTTCTCTCGGTGCCTGTCAAGTCGTCGTTGTCCTTGTCTCTGCCCATGACGATTGCAGGCCCAGTGTTCCGCATCGCATGACGTCCTTGCTCGCCCTCGTTACTATACTCGTCGTTATTTATGCGTCAGACCTACTGGACGGACCATCGAAACTATCCGCAGTGCAACCCGGACCATCAGTTCTCGCCACACTCTGTCATTGCCATGCCCACATACAAGCAGCAGGTCGACTCATGAATTAGGCCATCTGCATCCAGAGCCTCTCGGTGCCGCCCGACGTGAGAAGATGCCCTCACTGTCGTTTTTCAAGAGGCGAAAGACTCGTGACCGCCAGAACAGCTCGACAGCCTCTGCCCGGGACGACAGCAGACCAGGGGCAGGCGGTGAGGCCCGTGGAGGCGATGCAGCCCACGCAACGGGCGAACCAAGCGGCGCCGGTGCAGCGATAGCGTCGCCTGACGGTGGTAAAAACGTGGCCAGGGAGGATGAGAAGACCAAGGCGAAGCTTGCGCGGAGAGGCTCAACTAGGGAGCTCATCATCCGTGGGTTTCTGGGGCATTCAGCGCGTGGCCACCGCAGGGAGCTTGATACTGGTAGGTCTAGTCCCAGCTGGACGTCCCGCAGTGCTGCCTCGACGCCTCTGCCCGAAAACCACCCACCCCTAATAAGGGGCGAGCATGAGCACGAGCATGAGCGTGAGCATGAGCACCAGCGCCGGCGCCAGCGACAGGACCAGCACCCGCATGGCCCTGAACTTGGCACCGAGCATAATAAGCTTGGCCACGGGTTCGAGCGTGAGAGGGAGCCCGAATCTGAGCCCGAGAATGCTACTCCAGCAGCAGCAGCAGCAGGCGCAGCCGCAGGCGCAACCGCAGGCGCAACATCACCACCAGGGGAGTTGCCAGCACAACCATCACAACCATCCCCGACGCTGCGAGAGAATCCAAGCCGGCGACCACGCCCTGTCAGTGCCGTTGCTGCCACCTCAAGCATTGGCAGCAACCTGCCGAGCCGGTGGAAGTCACAGAGACTCAAGAGGCTGCAGAGCCTCGCGTTCAGGCCTCGCGAGAAGAAGGACAAGGAGAAGAAGACGGATACGCCACAGGTCACGGTAACACCAGCCACAGCGGTAAGCCAGCCAGACAGCCAGACTGCTCCCTCCATTACTCCGTGTCTCTTTCCCCTCAGGTGCCCTCATGCCACCGTCCCACCGTCCCACCCTCCCGCCGTCCCACCGTCCCACCGCATCAGGCAAGACCCAGGCTGCAGACCGACCGGGCCCAGACCCTGGCTCCCGTCGACTGTCTTGAACCCCACATTCCAAGGTCTCTACCCCAGATTATCAGCCCATGCCGACGGACACTTCCACAGCACCACCCTCCTTCGTGCGCCGGCCTCGACGTCCCCGCTGCTGCCGATTGAGTTTTGGAGGGTCTCTTTCCCTCGTCTCCATCAGTCCCCGTCGGGAGTCCCTCGGGAGATGTGGGTTGTTGCCGTCATTTTACATACATACTACTTGGTGTCCATGGAATCTGGCCACCCCATCGCGTGACCATCTGTCTGCCCGACATAGATTTTCCTTTCCTTGTGTTCCTGCGTCCAGCTCTCTGAGTCGTACGATGCAGACCGTCTCGTCCCTTTTGTGAATCTTGCTGCTTGGCCCGCAGCCCTTGGACTCTCCTTCTCGTCAATTGAACCTTGCATCGTGGCTGACGAACATTTCCCCTTTCTCCAACCCGGCAGACCACAACATCTCCATCGACTCACTCTGCGTCGGCTTCCGGCTCCTTCTCCCCTGCATCACCGCGCTCTCCCGCAAACCCAGACAAGCCACTGCCGTCTCCCCCGCCAGAGCATCACGGCGCGCCGGCAACCACAGTCTTTAGCCCGCCCCTGAAGCTCAACCGCATCATGGCAACCCTGTCGGACCAGGACCTCGAGAAGCTCTTCTCGGGTGCCCCGCAGTTTTTCGCGCGGGCTGAGGGGCACTACACAGGCGCGCCACATCCTTCGGTCGCGTACCCATGGGACGAGGCCCTAACCATCAGAGACCTGACCGACCACTCCCAGATTGACGATGCCGCATGGGGCTGCATCACCGCATGGCCCCACATCACTCGCGATGTTGACAGGGGCCCGTCCGCCTCGACATCCGAGAAGATGGCCGCCAAGCGCCGTGCCCACTTCTTCCCCAGGTGCAGGGAGAAGCCAAACATGCTCAGTATGCAGGGGCTCGAGAAGGGCACCATGGGTTATCAGGCCGCCCTGGAGCTCGGTGTCTCGGACGCCCTTAAGGAGGAGCAGTGGGGGTTTGGGAGCTTGGGCGCCAAGGAAAAGGCCGTCGTCGAGGCCAGGCAGGCCGCCCTGACGTCCAAAGACGGACTGAGGAGGATGGATGAGACCACGGTGCTCGACCACCTGATGAAGAATGCGCAGCGGTATCAGGAGCAGCACCAGAAGGACAAGTCCACGTGCCACGAGCTGTTCCAGGAGCTGTTCACTCACATCCTGCACCTGCCGAACCGGACATTGACGGACCCCTACAGCCTGCCTGTTCAGATCATGGCTCTGCTCAAGGTTCTTGCCGCTCCCAACGTGTGGGTTGACTTCTCGCACGTCGAGTGGAGGATACGGCTGGGGCAAATTTTATGGGGAACACCCGATGACGACGACCAGGACAGTGTCAGTGATGGCTCGTCTATCACGGACGCAGAGGACTCGAAAGGCTTACATGAAGAGAGATACTGGCTCTTGCTGCAGATTCTGCTTGCTTGCGAGCTGCTGGTGCGGCTGGACGCCATTACAGAGGGCGACGAGCTGCCCGACGACGTCCGGCGTTCGGATGTCTACCGATTTGAGAGGGATGCCAATGCTTCGGTGAAATGGTCACTGCACCTGGCCCGGGCGTGGTTGGAAAACATCGAGATCACCAAGACGAGACCGTCAGGGGAGCATGAGGCACCCAAGGGCTGGCTTGCGAATCTCACCCAAAAGATGGCACTGACTAGTGATCGCCCGCATTCTAAGCACCACGACGCTCACAAACAACCCAGGGAGCAATCCATATACGTCATGAAGGGCAAATACTGGGAGAGACAGGTCCGCGGCCTGACACACTTCGCGAGGAGGCTTAAATGGCCGGGACTTGAGACCCAGGCATCGCGAATTTCTGACAACTGCCGCGTAGTCACGGAGGGAACGCCCCTCAATACACCACTGGCCACCCCACTGTCAACAAGGACAAACAAAACCACATCGTCGTATTTCACGGCAGTGAATGCAGATGGCTCAGTGGAGAGGAAGCCTTCACGACGGCAGAAGGTTGGCGCAGCGCTGCATCCTGCTGGCTGGCTTTCAAAGAGTTACGTCTCGGGCTTGATGCTCCCAGGCGAAGGCCTCTACCACTTCATCATGTCGACGCTAATCGAGAACGACGTGGCCGCGATGACCAAGCTTGGGCCAATGGCGAATCTTTGCGGGGGGTTCATGTACCAGGGCAAGAGCTTCTGGAGTACGGCGTGCGTGGTAGGACGCGTCTTGGCTGCTGGGAAGGGTGCTGTCGAGTGTATGGGATGGATCTCGAGTGATGTCACACCACTGGGACTGGGAGATGGCTGGGTCGATGTTGACATTGAAGACATACCCGGTAAGTTCTTTCAACATGGCGGCCTCTGCTACACCCCAATGTCATGACGCCGCTCGACATAGAACGGCTCGACATAGATTCTCGTCGACCATTGTTCAGTATTGACCAGAGCTTTGCAGAGGACGTGAAACGAACCGGCAAGCAAGCTAGGCTCTGGGGCAAGCTCGCCATAGAGCGAGAGTCTTCAGTTCTTGGTGAAGGTTCCGAACAGGATTCCGTCTTGCCGGCCGACTTCATTATCCCCTACGAAAACAATTACAAATCACCACCGCCTACAATCAGTGTCGAGCTGAGGTCGCTCATCCTGTCTGAACCTCTCGATTCAGTACAGACCACACCGACGCTAGAAATTGCAACTCCATTCTCCGACTCCACGTCCCCTCAAGAGTTGAGAACATATACGCCCACGATTACGTTCAACATTACAAATTGGGAGGAGGATGATGACGAGATGGTCACAGTTCCCGTGGCAAAGGATGTATACTTCGTGACGGCGCACCCGTGTGTTCCCTCCCAACATGTCAGGATCCTGAAATCGCCCTCCAGCCCTACCATCCAACAGTTCGATCTATCAGACCCTTTCGCGCCGGGAAATGGCAAGCAACCTGGCCATGCCAAGATCAAATGTGAGTTGCCTTGTTTTCGCTAAACAATGTCGAGCAAGCAACAGCGGCTGACAATTATTCAGGCCACCCACTACACAAATACTATACTTATACTGCTATCCACCTCTCCGAGCTTCTGAACAAATCCAGCTGGACCCTGGAGCAGCTCCTCAGCGACTCTTCGTCCAACTTTGGCCCGAGCATTGCCCCAACATCCAGCAGCGACAAAACGCCTCGTGTCCTCGTCATCGACGCCATGACTAATTTTCTGCCGCAACCAGAGGCACACGAGATCCCGCTGTCGCCCGCCATCAGTCGGGCGAGCACGAACCAGAGCTCGTCGAGCCGGCACTCGTCGCTGAGCAGTGCCAGCGGACGGGTCGGGCCGGACATGGATTTCCAGGGGACGTCGCCAGACCGGAGCGGCAAGAACAAGGAGAGAGATCGGGAGAACAGCGCCAAGGGCACGACCGAGCAGAATATGCATTCCGAGACCCGTAGGCGGCAGTTTGGGAGCGACATGGAGATCCTGGTCAGGGCGCTTTGCGCGGAGAGGGGGTGGAACGCACTGATTTCCCGCCGCAGGCGCGGTTGCCTTGCGTGTGCCATCCGCGAGGCGGGCGCCCTTGGGTGGCGAGTTGTCATCCGGGTCGACTGAGCGGCCCGGTGGGGTTCGAAAAGGAGGCTACTGGTTCGGAGTGAACCTCGGCCATTGTACAAAATTGTTTACGATACCCTGAGCGAGCGCATTTGGCATTCAAGGAGCATTGCGTGTTTCGATCAGTATGTTTCGTCTAGAGAAGCCATCAGTCAATCAACAACAGGGCTGGGAAAATGTATAGCTTGAAATCAAGACAATTGGAATGGGGGCTCGCGTAGCAAGGGAGACTTGTCCCATAAAATCCATATTCCTGAGGACTGATACTAGAAATTCCAGAGCCGTCCCCTGCAGTGAATACATGCGAAAGGGGCATATTGAGTGTTACCATGCAATGTCTGTCTCAGCCACCACGGCCTTGCGTAACGTATATGCAACCATGATGAATGCGTGAAACGCCGCTAAGCAAACGCCATGATCCTTATCCTAACCTGTCAAAAAAAGAGTGATGCCATGTCGCCCGCGCCACTACCTCGCAAGATGCTCGCTCATTCCTCCCGCCAGTTTCACCGCATCACAGCTCATCAACACTCCACTCCTTCCAGCCCTTCTCCTCACCGGGCAGCTTCACGGCCTCCCACTCGGCCCGCGTGACATTCTTCCACTCCTCGACCGGGATCCACCCGATATATGCCCTGTCGCCAAACCCACCGACCCAGTACACGTCGTCCACGACGAGACGCACCCACCCGGCCTCGTGAATCCGGTTACCGGGCAGCCAGTACCGGGCGTCCGGGTGGGACCTCAGGAAGCAGTCCTGCAGGTCGGCGGCTTCGGCCTCGGAGGAGGGGCTGATGTCCTCCAGGTGACCAAGCAGGCTAAACCGGGGCAGATTGGCGGCGCTGTAGGGGACGGGGTCGTAGTCCGGCGGCAGGCCCGTCGTGGCGTCGTCGTCTGTGCCGGCCCACCAGCTGAAAAGCCAGGCGAGAGGGCTGTGTGACGACGACGACGACGACGACGACGACGACTTCGACTTTATGCGCTTCGCGGGCGGGTACGGCGGGGCCCAGCCCACGCTTATGGACATGTTGCTACCCGCGGCGACGTTCTTGAAGCTGGTGGCGATCTTGATGGCCAGTATTGTGGGGTTTCCTTGATCCTCGGTGCCGCAGTCGGCGATGTAGTCCATCAGCCCGATGGGCATGCCGCCCAGATTGGGTGGTCGGTTCTCGAGGGCGTCGGCATCTCCGCTGAGGCGGCTGACGGACGAAGGGGAGGACTTTGAGGGTGTGGAGGGGAATACAGTGGAGAGGGTGGCCAGCGGGCTGAGGGCTAGGATGCGCCGGCCCAGCACGGCGGACTCATACGAGGTCGGTATACGCTGGGCGGCGGGCTGGGCGGGCGGCTGGACGGGCGAGGCTGTTGCGGCGTTGAGGGCCGCGAGGGCGGAAACTGAGGTTGTGAACTTCATTGTAGGCTGTGTGGTCTGTGTGGTCCGTGTGTGGGATGGTGAGAAGTCGTGGTGTGGGAGTCAGAGCATCCGGAGGCGCGGGAGCGGGCGGTTGAGGAGGGATCGATGGGCGGTCGTTGGACCGAGGGCCGGGAACCTGGGGACATTTATCTGATCCATCTAATCTCTTGGCAACGGCTTAGACCGGGCGAGTCAGGATGGGCAGGGATTCGGCGAGCGTGATTCGGTCGCATGTGGTCAGAGGTCGGCCGGCCTGCATGGGATGGCGTCGACTAGCTGAACGGGCAAGGAGCAGTCATTCGTCAAGCACCTTGGTATGATGCTCCTTGGTTCTTGTGACCCGACGTTATATACTCAAGTATGTATATATATTTACGGACATCTCTCCCGCAACACACGAGGGCTCTGTGCGACAAAAAAGGGTCACATTTCGATAACACGATTGGGCATTTTTCCCTCTCCAACAGTGTCTTGGGGATTTGTTTCGCACGGTTTCTTCGCGCCAACGGAGCACATAATAGTGATCATGGTGATTTGGCGACAAACATGTCGTGGTACCTGTGGGCAAGGGTTCGGCGCATGCAGCTTCCCCAGCTGCGGGACACAGCAGCGTGCCTGCCTGCCTGCCTGCCTGCCAATGCACGGTGAAGACCCCTGAAAAAGCGCGACGTAAAATCCCCAGAAAATGGCCCGGCAGGGAGCTCTTTGTGGCACCACATCAGGCAAGCTAGCTCTGGCCCTGCTTCTCTGCCGACACAACCACAACGGGTCATGAATTGATCCTCACAACCCACCAAAATTGAATTGAGTCGAGGAGTCACCGGGGGCAGCTAGGGCAATGGAACGCAGGATGCAGGCCCAGGCCCAGGGCTTTTTCGAACACTGGCTTGCCCAAGCCCAGGCGCCCCTTCGCGAGCCTCCGTATGTGCTGCCGTCCTTCGCCCCAGCCCTCGTTGACCGAGCTGACACGTGTGTTGCGGTGGCAGTTTCGACAGCATACCAATCTTTGCCTGGGGGGTCCTCTCGCCTCTGCTCCTCCTCGTCATCGTGTGGTACTTCAGCGGCGAGCACGATCAGCCCATCCGCTACCGCGTGCCCTCTCCAAAGGTCCCCGAGCCCAAGGAAATCCTGCAGAAGCCAAGCATAAAGGTGCGACTGATGCTGCCCGGGCAAAAGATGGACACAATGGCTTACTCGTCCCGCAGGTCTCTGGTGCCAGTGTGATCCAGTGTTATGCCCCAGCCACCGGCCAGTTTCTTGGTTTCATCAACCCCTCCAGCCCGGCCGCCATCGACCGAGCCGTTGACGCCGCCGAGGCTGCGCAGAAGACATGGGCTGGCACGAGCTTCCGGGAAAGACGCAAGGTCTTGCGGTCAATGCTCCAGTATGTCCTCGACAACCAGGAGGAGATCTGCCGCGTGGCCTGCCTCGACTCCGGCAAGACCATGGTCGACGCCCAGCTCGGCGAGATCCTCGTCACCGTGGAGAAGTTGCAGTGGACCATAACCCACGGCGAGAAGGCCTTGACCCCCAACAGGCGACCTACGAACCTGCTCATGGTGTACAAGAAGAACACTGTCGAGTACGAGCCCTTGGGTGTGGTCGCTGCCCTCGTGTCATGGAACTACCCCTTCCACAACCTCATCGGACCCATCATCTCGGCCATCTTCTCCGGAAACGGCATCTTGGTCAAGGCTTCTGAGCAGACTGCGTGGAGCTCCAGCTACTTTGCTAGTATCGCGAGGGGCGCCTTGATTGCCCACGGCCATGACCCGGCCCTTGTGCAGACCGTCGCCTGCTGGCCGCAAGTCGCCAACCACCTCACCTCCCATCCCAAGATCTCGCACATCACCTTCATCGGCTCCCGCCCAGTCTGTCACAAGGTCGCAGAGTCAGCCGCGAAAGCCCTCATTCCTGTCGTCGCTGAGCTAGGTGGAAAGGATGCCTGCATCGTCCTGGACTCGGCCAAGGGCGACCTGCCGAGGATATGTGAGACGCTCCTCCGGGGCACCTTCCAGGCCGCAGGTCAGAATTGTATCGGAATCGAGCGCATTGTTGCTACGCCCGGTGTCTATGACAAGCTGGTCGAGCGCCTCGAGCCTCGCGTCAGGGCCATCCGTCTGGGCCAGGAGGCAGACATGGGCGCACTGATCTCGGATGCCTCCTTCGGCAGGCTAGAGGGCCTGGTCGAGGACGCAGTCAAGAACGGCGCGCGCCTGCTCGCGGGCGGCAAGCGCTATGCTCACCCCGGACACCCCAGTGGCCACTACTTCAGCCCGACCCTGCTCGTCGACGTGACCGCCAATATGGCCATCGCACACGAGGAATGCTTCGGCCCCGTGATGGTTCTCATGCGCGCTGCCTCCAACACCGCAGCCGACGTCCTCAGCGTGGCCAACGCGCCCGACTTTGGTCTTGGCGGCAGCGTTTTTGGGCGCGACTCGGACCCTGTCCTCCAGGCTGTTGTCAAAGGCCTGAGGTGCGGCATGGTGGCTATCAACGACTTTGCCGCCTTCTACGCCGTCCAGCTGCCGTTTGGCGGCGTCAGAGGCTCGGGTTATGGCCGTTTCGCCGGCGAGGAGGGACTAAGGGGTTTGTGCAATATCAAGGCTGTGTGTGCAGACCGGTGGGGGTGGGCAGGTGTTAGGACAAGTATCCCGCCACCGATTAGGTATCCGATTGATAGCCAGGACCGAAGCTGGAAGTTCGCAAAGGGCGTGGTGGAGACGGGTTACGGGTTGGGCACGGCGAGGAAGGTCGGTGGTGTGTTGGGAATCCTAAAGAACATGTGAGACACGGTCATTGGGTGCTGAGGACATGGGGTGATCTGCTCCTGAGGAGGCTGTCAAGTAGATATCAAGATAAAAGCAGCCGGGATTGTCGGAGCCCAAGGCAATGGATCACACATATATTTAATGCTAATATCTGAAACTAATCGTCAGAGACAATAGCGCGCTGGACAAAGTGTCAGTCCAACCCAAAGTCCGACCAAGGCTCATGTCCGAGACCGCCGACAGCAGCTCCCATCGCCGGTGATGACGGCAGATTATTACTCTCGGCGGCGCCTTCGAGAGGATACAGGAACATCTTGGCGCGCTGCCGCCAGACGTCCGCGTATCCAGCCTCCCGCACGTATGAACGGGGACTCTCAAGCTGCAGCGCCCATGGCATGCCCACGTGCCGGGCGTCCACAATGCGCCCGCCGTGCCGACCGAGCACGCCGCGCAGCTTTGAGGCGAGCGCGCCCAGGAGTGCCTCCTGGGCGGACCGCGGCTCGGAGGCTGGTATCAGTTGGGATACCTGCAGTAAGGATGTCTGGACGATGTAGCGGGGCCATTGGGCGTCAAACACGCCGAGGAAATCGAACAGGGCAAGAAGTCCCGCGGCCAGCTTGAGCCGCTCCATCGGTGCTGGGGCCGGTTCTGGTGGTGGTGATGATGTCGGCTCGCCTTGCCCGCTGGGGGGCTCTTGGTGGTCATCGCTCGGGTTTCGCGCCCCGGCGTTGGCGATGAGCTGCAGGATGTGCTGGAAGCCCTCCCGAGTGGACTCCCACGTCTGGTCCTCCTTGAGGCAGGCGCCGCCGCGCACAAGCCAGAACAGTCGCTGCATCTTCTCGACTCCCAGAGTGATGGCCCCATCCTCGGACTCGAACGGCCCGGAAAGTAGGGTCAGTGGGATCTTGGTGCCGGGGTGGATCTCGAGATGTGTCCCGAGCAGAGCACGCAGGCGGTCGCTCAGGAACCTGAGGCGTCTGCCGGGGAGTGCACTCGAGTCCGAGCTGGGCGGTAGTATATATCTCAGAAAGCACTCAAAGTCGAAGCCCAGTTTCTCGCGCATCGCCATGATGGAGGTGCTCTCGTCGTCGTCGTCGTCGTCAGAGGTGACATAGGCTCTGTCGTAGAGACTTCCTGCTCGAGGAGTGTCCGCCAAGCGCTCCGTTTTCAGTTGAGGAATGGTGAAATAAGCTCTCCCAGCGGCGTGTTGCCGGACCCAGACATCAAAAGACGACAGAATCATGGGGATCTTGGCCCAGGAGCAGGCGAGGATGGCAGACTTGAGGTAGAAATTAGTGACGTGAGTTCTCCTGATACGGCGCAAGCAGCAGAACCTGCTGGCCAAAAGCACTCAACTCACCTGAAAGTCATGATCGCCCTCAATCCTCCTCACATCCCACTGCCAACCGTCGTAGGACGACGTCTCGAACTTGTCGACGCCGTAATACCGGTCCCAGGTCGACCTAAAAGCCGCACCGACCATCTGATACTTGATAGAGTCGCTAGACAGCCGATGGTGCAAGTCGCGGCTGACGAGGGGCAGAGACAAATTCTGCGAAGCGACAAAAACACGCTCGAGAACCTCTTGAGGCAGCTGGGACAGGCGCGAGAGGCCATTCTTCAGCCTGGGGTCGCCATGCTTCGCTTGCTTCGCATGGTGTTTCCTGGCTCGCTTCGGTGCTGGTAGCCCCTGTGGGTCGGGTTCATCGAATCCGTCATCTTTGCGCTTCTTGTCAGGCTTGGGCTGCCCTCTCTTGCCACGGACTCTTATTGGTGTCAGCCTCATGGCCGTCCAGAGTTCTCTTCCCGAGAACTTTGCCTCTCAGGGGCGGCAATTAGATGGGGATATGAGGCCAGTCGTCCTTGTCGTCCTTGTCGTCCCAACACCTGCACTGCTCCAAACTCGGGTACGGGAGTGACCTCCATTGGGATTCATGATGCAGCTCCAATAATGAAAAGGGCCATCTTTCCCAGTGAAGGCACAAAGAGCGTGGAAGAAAAGGTAGTGCAGACTTTGACAAGGTACTTGCGATGGGCGACTCCCATAGAGACACACCCAGGGTGCACCGCCCCGGCGGTAGCGGCTCCTAATTTGCCAGGGGTGAGTCCTGTCTCGAGCGCTAGGCAGTGTGGGCAGTGGGGTGCTCACAGCGTGGAAGTTTTTAGCTCGCAGGATTGACGTAGTCGGAAAACCTCATTCTAAAAACTTCGGCACACCATGGCACGATCTCGTTGCCGTGACATCGACAGCGCCGAGTTGTTGGAATAATCTGACTCCTCCTTTCTACTACTTGCGGAAAGGGTCAGTCAAGATGCGCCCAACATTGCAGCCTGCGATCCCTTCTCGCAGGCTGCTCCGGTTCCTGCGCTTCCAGTCTGAAGGGATTCCATTCTTCAGTCCCACCCATGCGCGCACTCCCGGAACCAAGTGCCACGGCCTGCCTCCCCACGATCCTCGAGGCTCGGCGCACTCCACAGAACGGCGCGGTTGCGCACCACGGCTATTCTCAACCTCGAGGACCAACGCGTCTGAGGCCGCCCTCCACTCGGCTGTGTTCGACCTGGAGAGCATCCTCCCGAAATCTCTCAAGAAGGCTCGCTCGCGTGGCGCCGATCCCGTCGGGGAAAATGCCGCCACGAGGTCACGGCGGTGCCTCTCCACGGACGGGCCCACCGTGAAAGAGCGCAGCAAGACGTGGCAGCAGAGGCTTTGGGCGGACCCCACCGTCAAACCAGAGTTTCGGACCAGGGCCACGGACGATTTCGACACCTCCATCTTCACGTCGTCCATGACAGCCAGGAGGGCCAAGGCTGCTCTTGAACCTGTGCTGCGGTGCACAGAGGTGGACGAGAAGGGAGACGCCATCCTGACCGACGGCGCATTCAAGAAGAGTGAGCTCATTGCAAAGGTAAGGGCTGGGATAGACGCGCACCCACAGCCGAGAGCCCTCGAAGCGCAAGGATGCTTTGCTAACCATGCATTCCTCGGCACTCTAGTACGGTCTCATGCCCCGAGATCTGCGCAAGATCGATTCGTCCAACCTCCCGCACATCCTCGTCCGGCCGGCCGCGATTCTCCTCAATCTCCTACACCTTCGTGTACTCATCAAGCATGACCGCGTGTTGCTCTTCGACGTCTACGGCTCCCAGGCCTCCTCTGCGCAGTCAGAGTTCATGTACGAGCTGCAGGGCAAGCTGCGGCAGAAGCAGGCCCCCGGCACGGCAGGCGGTCTCCCATACGAATTCCGCGCACTCGAGGTGGTGCTCATGTCAGTGACCTCGGAGATCGAGAAGGAATTCGGCACCGTTCAGAAGCCTCTTATGCACCTGCTCGGCGACCTGGAGGAGGATGTCGACAGGGAGAAGCTGCGGTACCTGCTGGTGCTCTCGAAAAAGGTGAGCACCTTTGAACAGAAGGTCAGGCTGGTCCGGGATGCGATCGACGAGCTACTGGAGGCGGACGACGACCTGAGCCAGATGTACTTGACGGAGAAGACTCGTGACATCTCACGCGAGGTGGACGACCACACAGAGGTTGAGATGCTTTTGGAATCTTATCACAAAATATGTGACGAGGTTGTCCAGGAGGCGAGCAACCTGGTTTCTGGGATCAGGAACACGGAAGAAGTGTAGGTACTCTTGTGCCCTTGAAGCTTGGAACCAAGCTGACGTGATTGTCCAGCATCCGTGCTATTCTAGACGCCAACCGCAACGCCCTCATGCTCCTGGAACTCAAGTTCAGCGTCGGCACCTTGGCCCTGGCGATGGGCACCTTCTTCGCGGGCCTCTACGGCATGAACCTGGAGAACTTCATCGAGGAGACGAACTGGGGCTTTGCAGGCGTGACCGGCGCCTCGATCATCTTCAGTGCGCTCGTGGGTTGGTACGGCCTGATCAAACTGCGCAAGGTCCAGCGCGTGCGCATGCGCAACCGCAGGTCGCTGGTGAACAACCCTGACGGCCATGAGCCGTACGGGGCTATGCAGTGGTACAAGGATGACAGCCCCACAGCGCTGCTCGAGGCCAAACACCGTGAGAAGCTCAAGAGGATCGCCGCGATGAAGGAGCAGCGCCCCCAGGCCACGGGGCTCAAGAAGTGGCTGCAGAAGTTACAGTGAAGTACTTGGGAAGGGAGGGACTCACAGACCCGCAGACGTCCTGCGACGACTGAATAGGGTTGGCTGCAACCTCGATGATCGGAGGTGGAGCTGCCAGGTGGCAGATGCTGTTACAACATGTACGAACATCTGATGCTGTTCCTTTACGATAGCATCTCGAACTCACCTCATTTCATAGATGATACCCCTCCGAGTAATATTCATAAAGTATTGTTGATTACTTTCCACGACACACAATGCCCGAGGCTTGGGACACGCATGGCCTCCACAGCCTGCCTCCCCCGGCCCCCCGAATTGTGAACCCCGTCCCACCGCCGCTCCGCATTCTGGCTGTTCACCGAGCCAAAACCTGCGTCAGCCGGAAGACCTGCTCATCGTCTACGTGTTGTTGCGACTTGCCCCTCGAGATACTTATCCACTTCTTCTCTTCGCTCTTCTGCGCCGCCAGGACATCGCCAAAATCCACCCCGGGTATCAAAGGCATCTCACTCGAGTCCGGCCCGCTGATCTCCTGTGTCGGGGGTGGCACGGGGGCGCCGCTCCCACTGCTTGACCTCGACTCGACGAGCTCCAGTGTCAGGGGGTCTCTCCTCGAGAACGTCACGCTCACCTCCCCGGCCTCGAGCAGCGCGGGCACCGTCTCGGCGTCCTCGATGTCCAACTGCCGCAGCGCGGTGTGGTAGACGTGGCGCAGGACCTCGTCCTTGTGGCGCTTCGAGTAGGCGGCGTCGGCCTGCCTGCACAGGGCCATGGAGGGGTAGCTGGAGATGAGGACCAGCAGGCTCTCGTCGCTGGCGGACTGGAAGAGGAAGTGGTGGCTGCGCTTGGGCGGCGTGCTGAGGGCCATCTGGAGCCCGGAGCCGCACGAGGACCTCGGGCTCGGCGTGTACATGGCGCAGAGCTCTAGGATGTTGGTCCAAAGGGACAGGAAGGCCGGGTCGCGGGCTGAGTTGTCTGGCTTGAGGGTGAAGAACCATAATCTCGTGATTGCCATGGTGCGTGCACGGCTCGGGCGTTGGGGCTGTCGGTGGTGTCGTTTGCCGTTTGTGGTATTGGCTTTTTCCCGTGAGCCTGTTGTGGTGTTCCTTCCGGTGAAGCAGAGTGGAGATGGCCTGGATTTTGACAATTTCTTTTTCTGTCCTTCAATTGAATGGGAAAGGATTTGTCGTGGCGACGAATTTGGAATTTGACATGTCCGACCGGGCCCGTGGTTGTTTTGCGACTACCGGATACTGTTTGCTATATGAGGCAGTGATGGGAGGGGGCCAGGGACGAGGGGAGGGCCGTGCTACTGCAGGTCGTGCTGCCAGTAGACCTACAGCTCCCGCAGCTCTCTACCTAGGTGGCTAGGAAGGCAGATTTGCCGCTAACGACGTCACAGGCGGGCTAGTTGAGAGGCTAGGTCGGTCCCTTCTCACATCTCGCGGCCCTTCTCAGGGTCCAGACTCCACAGCTCCCGTGGACCCCTGAGGATCGGGCACCGCATGAGCACATATGATCCTGCACCCTCACCACCTGCTTAGCCCTAGGTAGGTAGGTGGTAGGTATCTAGGTACCTAAGGGCTAGCTACCTTTCGCAATTAAGTACTGAAGTATGGAATGAAAGACCAGGGCGGCTGGCAGGCAGCTCCCGTGGCTTTGTTGTCATGGACGCTGGGTTTCTCTGGCGTGGCGTTCCTCGGAATAAGTCCATCTCGTAGCGGAGTCAGTCAGAGGCATGATGTCACGGGCGTCGTCGGTCTGAGGTTGAAGCTTCTTCCCGCCGGTCTGCTCTTGGAGACGGTGACGCCGAGCAAAATGGCCGCTGTCGGGGGTCCAAACGCTGGCCGCATATTGAGTTGGACAAGAACCGTGGGCCCGGACCATCTGCCGTCTGCCATATGACGCTCGATGACACGGTCCACACTTTGCTGCTTGTGAGCCGATCAGCCAGCTAGCTCCATTGACCTCCGCACGATAATTCTACTCTGCGTCTTCCTCGGTGTCACCCTGTTGGAGGCTTGGTCAGCAGGCGACCCATCTGCCCATCAACTCTTGCCTGGAGCACTTCTAGCCGGCCTGCATTTCTCGAGTTGGCGACTGACACGGAGAGTCTCACCTGCAAGTGATACCATGGGGTTGGTTAGATTGTGAGTTGACTGCTATAGGACCGACACTTAGATGGGACGAGCACGAGCATTGCTTGGTTGCCCTCTACGTGGCCACGGCATCTATCGCCTTCCCACTCCCTCTCAACCCCCCAGAGGACAACCTCATACGAGACTACATACCAGCGGCAAGCAGACTACAGGAGCTTTGTTCTGACCTCGTATGACTTTGGAAAGACTTGGTGGTGGTGCGACAATATTGCATGTGATACTCTATTCACAGTGGTGTCTTGCCTCCCACCTGAGGCTTCCTACTACTGTGCCCTGGAAACGTCATTCGACCTTCATGAGTGTTCAGGCTGTTCCTCATCAGATGCGCCGGGCTGAGAGTCCGGGCTGTCTTGAGCCGACCCCCGCTAAATGCTCACGAGAGGCGCTCTGCCACGGGACTGCCCAAGACAACCGATGTCATAGTCTTGACACACCCTGCAAGCTGCTCAGCCTCGCGAATGGCTCAGTCATGCCACTGTCGGGGATAAGGAAGCAAGCAATCCGAATGTAGAGGTCTGTCTTGACTGTGATCGGGGCCGTACTCCTACATCTTGTCTCAGGGTGATGCGGCTCCACGATGTGTCGGGCTATCAGCTCCTTGGCTGAAGTCGTGATGGCTCGTTTTCCGCAGACCTGGGCAGCGCCAGCATTTCCAGCATTCGAAGGCAAGGTCGTCTTGCTCAATCTTGCGTCTTCTGCTGCACCTGGTTCAGTCGTTGACGACGTCCTCCCTGCACTTCACCTTGTCCACAACACGCTGCCAGTTCAGCAACCTCACATAGAGGCACTCCAAGGCAATCGTAAGAGCCACGCCGGAACCAAATCCGATCCACACCCCATCAATGCCAAGCGCCGGCGCGCCAAGCTCCAACCAGATGGCAAGTGGGACAGCCTCGAGGTAGTTGATTGACATGGCAAAATAGGCTGCGGCGCTCGTCTTGCCCAGGCCTCGCAGCAGGCCGTTGGTCCCGCAGACGACGGAGTCGATGATTTCAAAGACTGCAGCTAGCCACATGGAGCCGACGGCAAGCTCACGGATGGCCTGGTCCTTGCTGAACACGGACACTATCGGGTATCGGAAGAAGTAGAGGACTGCAGCATTGAAAAGGCCGACCAAGAGGAAGACGAAGAAGTACAGGGTGGTTGCACGCTTCGCAGTGTCCACAAACCCGCCGCCGATCAGGTGGCCGATTCGGGTAGATAGTGCCACGCTGATGGAGAATGGAATGTGCCAGACGACGACTATGGCTGTTGTCTGTGGCAGAGTCAGGGGGCTGAGGAGGCAGCATGGGGGGAGGGGATGGGGCATACCAATAGTGTCTGGGCCGCGAGATGGTCGGTACTCAGGTAGCTGGTGCTAAATGTCAAGATCTCGAAGGCGGCCCACTCCCCGATCAGGACGATGACGCCAGCGAAGGAGAGGGATACCATGGGCCCCCAGTTACGAAGGGCATCTCTCGAGAGGCCGCCCCAGCAGACATGAGACCACCTCCCGAATGGGGACATGATGTACATGAGCAAGAGGACAAACCTCAGGTTGTTGCTCAGGGCAGAGCCGAGGGCAGCGCCGGCCAGGCCCATCTGCATGGGGAAGGCGAGCCACCAGCTGAGGGCAGCATTTACCGGGGCGCATATGATCAGGACGGCCATGCCAACGTTGCAGTCGCCCTGGGCCTGCAAGAAGCGCTTGCCGGCCTCAAAGGCGCCGTAGCCGGGCAGGCCGACCAGGCTGTACTGCAGGAACACGCCTGCCTTGACGGCGAGGTGGTGCTGCTTGACGAAGAGGGGCAATATCCAGGGGGAGAAGATCCAGGCCAGCCCGACGGGGATCAGCGAGAGGGCCATGAGGGAGATCATGCGCTGGATGTGCAGCCCGACGCCGACCTTGTGGCCAGAGCCGTAGGCCTGGGCGCAGAGGGTGTCGAGGGCGGTGGCCATGCCCTCGAAAACAACCAGGCCGCAGACGTTCATGGTCATGCTCCCGATGGACGCGGCGGCGAGGTCGTCGGCGCCCAGGTGGCCGGCGATCATGATGGTGATGCAGAAGAAGCTGTACTGCAGGAGGTACGTGGCGATGAGCGGCAGCGAGTACTTGAGGAGCAGCGCCAGCTCGGAGCGCCAGGGGACGATGCCGCCGTCGCCGATGTGGTCGCCGGCACCGGCAGCGGAGGGGGCAGAGGCCGGGCGGTCAGACAGCAGGGGCGCGCGCTCGCCGGCGCGGTCGTGGCGGTCCATGGTGGCTTTCTCGGGTGTGGTGAGTCGACAGAACTCGGATGGGACTGCACTAATCCGACATCTGTCCGGGGTATGCTCCGTCAAGAGGCGCGCGGAGGGTTACCTGGGGATGAGAACGGGCCGAACAAGGGAAAATTATTCAGAAGTTGAACCACCACTTATTAAGTACTTTAGTGCCCAGGCAAGTACGGACTACAGTGGGCCCACAAGGCTCGGCACCCTCGGGGGGCACTGGCGCTCGGGGCCGGAGACGGTGGGCCGCCGTGACAAACCTGAACAGGGTTCCGGGCCTAGGCGGGCTTGGCGGGCTGGCGGGCTCGGTACAGCAGCAGTACATGCCTAGGAGAAGGGTAGGGCGGCCCTGAAATGACGTCGGTGAGTTTCACTCAGTCTTGTTGAGCCGAACAGTCGGTACACCCCGGTCCATGTTTGATTCATGTTATCAATCTCATCCACCGCCACAGGGCGCTTATTCATGGTCGTGCGTCTTGGGTAAGGCTCCCGCCCTATGGGCCACAGACGCATGCACAATCCGAAAGGGCGTCACTGCCTGGGTATTGAACCTACGCCTTTGGCCCTCTGCTATAAGATGGCATTCATGTTGCCGAGTCCCTCCGAAGCCTCAGCAGCAAGAGTGTCATGGCATCCTCACGCTCATCAATCTCCATCACCTACGTGCCCGCAGACTGCGGCTCAGTCTTCCCGGGGAAGTCCAAAGCACCACAGGCCTTCCGAGATGTTGGTATCGTGCAAAAGCTACGGGACGCCGGGATCCCTTCCATCTCGGAGAAACACGCCCTGGGAGAAGACATCGCATCATATAAACCAACAACCTTCGCGCCAGGCCACGTCCGCAACGAGGACCTGAACATATCAGTCTGCGAGCGCGTCCATCAAGCCATAGTGCAGAACCTCAGCGCCCCGTCCCCTGCCAAACCCCCCTTCCAGCTCGTCCTAGGCGGGGAGTGCGCCATGTCCCCGGCCATCATGTCCGCCTTCTGGCAACACGCAGCCCTGCAGTCGCCTCCCGCACGTGTTGGCCTCGTATACATCGACGCAGACACAGACATGGCCTCGCCCGCCGACCCAGACTCCACCGGAATCTTCGCTGGCATGAACCTGACCCACCTCATCCGGGGGCCCGGCGCCTTGCAGAGCATGGAGCAGTTCAGCCGGCCCGCCGGGGGTGGTCCCGTCTGCGACCCAAGCAACACGGTACTGTTCGGCACCAACATGACTTTCGCGGGCAACACCCCCGAGCATTTCGCCTATCTTTTCGACAATGGCTTCAAGGTCGTCAGCTCTGCCTCGGTGGCCCGGGCGCCCGAGGCCCGCGCGGCCGAGGCGCTGCGTTTCCTCGAGGACAGGGTCGACGTCGTCTTGGTACACCTCGACGTGGACTCGATCGACCCGCGAATGTTCCCCCTGGCGCATGTGCCAAACTTCACAGGCGTCTCAATGGAGTCGATGATGCGGGCCCTAAAGGTCTTTGTGGGCAGCGACAAGATTGGGGGCCTTACGATCGCCGAGGTCAACCCGGATCACGACCCGGGCCTGGAGATGTTGGGAAGGCTCACTGATCAGGTTGTGGGCATGTTGGCGTCGAGAAATGAGAGGACCGGGGCTCAATAAAAGAACTTCGGTTGCTCTATATCACCAATTCCATCTTACGCCAAAGCGTGAGAAGAAATACAGTGTTATTAGTGGTCATATGCATGAACTCAGCTGATAATATCTTTGTGAGAACTCTGCTGATATCTCCGCTACGCATTCCCAGTATCTCTCCCTGAACATCCTACCCAGGTATATGACACCCTCATTTAGGATTCTCGCCTATGTGACACCTTCCTACAGGATGATTTTCTATAGGGGAGCCTCTTGCAAAAGGTCATCACATAGGTTAGAGCTGCAGGAAGCCTGCTATGAAGTATTCGTACTGTTCAAAGTGCGAAACTACTATGGTAATAGTACATCTCATAGAATATAACATTGGGCTTGTTTCTATGCTATGCCACTCACTTCCCCACTGTTACTGCATCTTAGTAATGAATTCGAAGAACCACTTGATTCCGTAGTCCATACCTAGGTAAGTTGAAGGAACGTCGTGGTGAACGACCAAAAGTTGCAATTGGTTCGGCTGAGTCGATCACGGAAATTTTATAAAGAGCATTTGAAGTAAAACTAATTTGACTGACTCAAGGCTGCTAAGATTAATCCAGTGACTCTGTGTAAGTTGGAAGGACCCAGTGCCTTCATATCGGCGCCGTATGCATCTGGCCCAACAAGTGCATCCATTTCCTTGAGCGATATCTTACCACTATCGCACGGGTGCCGAAAGACTGAATTGTTTGGTATGGATGCATCCAATGCATTCAAAGAGTCTCTGATAAAATACAGAGACATGTTACGGGGTATTCCAAGATCTCTTTACCGAAGCGATGGCTTTGGAATGCAAATCCGCGAACCGGAGATGTTGGCACCCGATCGGGTATGTACTTTTGCCTATAGAGAAGAGGGTCAGCCTTTGGTAGGTACTTGGTGATCGTGGAATGACCGACAAAATACTAAGTGCAGGATGGGTCTCTGCAAATCGTCTATACCGCTCGTGACCTATGTGGCTCACCGTCAGATATCTCAATATCTGCCATTGCGCTGACATTCAAGTTTATCCATGCAAATCTTCTTAGTGTCAAGATGGAAACGGGTGCCAAGAGGCACGGCTTGAGCCTTGATCATTCGATTTGTGCCCCCAAATGTGACTTGGGGCTCATTGTAACGACACTTGGTTGCTACAATGATACTGTGATATGTGATTTTAATGACTTGATATTTCCCCACCGGCTGAGGTCGATTTCCCCCAATCAAAAATCCCCAGGAGTCATCACTCACTGCCTGAAAGGGAAATACGGAGAATCCCACGCCCGTCAGCCTATAAGTGGTCTGGGTGAAGCTTCAAACCTAGTTTTATCCACGGGGCGGTTGCCATCAGGATATATAGTTGAACTGATGTCTGAGTCTTTGGTGCCGGCGCAGTCATTCATATACCGACAACGAGTGAACAACACTTGAACCGGCATAAAAGAAAAATCAACGCCAACATGAAAACGTTCAAGGCACTGATAGGCCTAGCTTCGGTGGGACTCGTGACTGCTCAAACTGCGATCACTGTAAACATTGGAACGACATACCAGCAAATCGATGGATTTGGCTTTTCACAGGCTTTCGGCCGTGCCAAAGAGTTTCAGAACCTTGGGGATACAGCAGTCCGAAGGCAAGGACTAGATTACTTGTTCAACACCACCACGGGCGCCGGGTTTACCATCATTCGAAACCGGATAGGATCGGGCGGATCGGGCGATAGTATATTGCCCAATTCTCCGGGGTCTCCCGCAGGCAATCCTGCATATTCATGGAATAACGATGATTCCGGGCAGGTGTGGCTAAGCCAAGAAGCAATGAGGTATGGTGTGAAAACCATCTATGCCGACGCCTGGAGCGCGCCAGGTTTCATGAAGACCAACGGCGTCGAGACCAATGGGGGCTACCTTTGCGGGACGACTGGGCATTCTTGCAGCTCTGGAGACTGGAGACAGGCATACGCGAATTTTCTGGTCAAATACGTGCAGTATTACAAAGATGCAGGTATCCCAGTCACGCATCTTGGCTTTCTAAACGAGCCAGACTATACGTGAGTGTTTCGTTTCCATCAATGATGGGTGTCAAAACGAGGTACCCCTAGGAAAGAAGCAATCCGAATTCCCGACACTGCATCAATGATGTTAGCAGAAAATCAGTCACACAAGTCGGCACTAACCCACAGAGCAGAGTGAGCTACTCCTCAATGCTAATCAACGTCAACAACCCGGTTGAGGTCACGTCCTTCCTTCCCATTCTCTCCGCGACGCTTCAGTCAGCAGGCCTCGACACCCAAGTCAAGATTGCATGCTGCGATACAATCGGATGGGGAAACGCCAAGACAGTGGCTGGACGCCTCATCTCTGCCGGCGTGGAGAACTACCTCGGCCTTCTGACAAGCCATATGTACACCGGCGACCCAAACTCGGCCATCACTGGTACGAAGCTCCCAGTTTGGATGACAGAAGGGGCAGATCTAAGCAGCCCATGGGCGACAACATGGTACAATAATGGCGGGCTTGCCGAGGGACTCACATGGGCGAACAAGGTCGCTACTGGAATCCTAAACGCCAATCTGTCGGGATACATCTATTGGCAAGGTCTCGAAGTTAACCAAGGTCAAGCGTCTAGCTACCTCGTGTACGTCTTCTTCTTCGAATTGCTGGTCATCATGACTAGTGCTAATCTGTTCTTCCGCCCAGGGCCGTCCTCGACAGTAAGAACGCGATACCGTCCGGGAGGTTGTTTGCATTGACGATGTGGTCACGATTTGTTCGACCGGGAGCTGTCCGTGTTGGCACTTCGGGAACCATCTCGGGTGTAGCAATCGGCGCTTTTAAGAACGCAGATGGTTCCGTTGTCGTGATCTTTACAAACTCGGGCGGCTCAGCCCAGTCCTCCAAGATCTCTTTCAACGGATTCAGCCCCTCCGCTGCGTCAGCCTGGCTGACAGACAACTCGCACTCAGTTACTGCCACAGTTGTTACACTCTCTGGCGGCGCTGTGACCGTTCAAATTCCAGCTCGCTCTGTCGTCACGGTGAAATTGACGTGATAATGGGGCTTACAAGGAGGCTCGCAGACGAGATTGACATCCCGGGAGGCTTGATGTCGGTATCCTTGATTTCGAAGGCGGATGGGCGCCGATACAGCCACCAGGTCTTGCCTTTGTGTGTGTTTATCTCAAAGACGGTCTTGAGTGCTTACCACCGTATGAAGGCGCCATGTATGTCCTCGGACGTATACGGAATAGAAGCGAAACCACACAACTCTAATAATCGTGCAGAGAGAATACACTATGTAGGCAGGTAGCCTCAGCCTCGTGCCGCTCAGACAAGGATAGGAGGCATTTGGTGGCAAAAGACTTGGGCTTATTCACCTGAGGGTGTTGGAAAGGTGAAACAACAAAGTGATGACTTTTAGATTGATTTTCTCCTCCAATTAGGACTTTTAAAAATGGCTTCAAACAGGATGCCCGTGCGATCATGATCAGGGTGTCTTGCCAGGAGTTGTTTGTCTGGACTGGACTTGTCCGAGCTTCAGCACATCCAGATTACCTAATTTTCCCTCACAGCAAGAAAACTCGAGCTGCTATTCTGTTAGGTTTGAGTCTTTGGGCTCAGCTGCGCAAGTCTTGCAATTCGAATAAGCAGGCGGCAATCGAGGGCCAAACCAGGGCCGAAAAGCCCAGAAGTGCAGAAACTTCGAATTAGCTTTTCGTTGTTGAGGTCTGAAACTGTTGGAGACTTGCCGCTGCTCATACTTCGGACACGTTCCGGAGTAGTCCTTGCTCATCACATTCATTGCATTAACTGGTGTTAATACAGACGTACTTACTCTAGGACGGGCCTGGAGGGCGGATCTTTCGAGATGCCTAGACTAAGCTGCAAAACTCAGTACCACCAACATAAATGGACGAAATGATTGCACTACGTACATTGACGCCTGATCTTTGGCTCAAATACTCTGCAGCTTGATACTAGAACCTGCCACTGCAACCGGCAGCGGAGAAGGACGTTTCACTTCTTGTTTTCGACTTCGCTCGGACCACCCCACCCGCATCAGTGACGCAGCGAGAGGACTTCAATCGTCTCCAAACACCGCAGTTACAGTTTTGAAGCCACTTGGCAAATGTTTTTCTGCAAGTGACGTGGTTTATTTCAAGGCGCCATGGATAGCGTTCCTGCGGAAACAGGCAGCAGTAACCCATTCATTTGGCTGTCCACTCTCATAATGGCCTTGGACCTGTGAGTCTTGGTAAATCCTCCTGCAGAGCTCAGCCCGCGCACATGCTGATTGCAACACCAGCAATTTTCTCATCACATTTTTCTACAACCAGTTCCGGCGCCTTCCGAAACCAGAAAAGAGTTTCACCGGGCAGACAATCATCGTCACAGGCGCAAATGTCGGGCTAGGCCTCGAAGCAGCGCGGCATTTCGCCCGGCTTGATGCAGCTCGGGTGATCCTGGCATGTCGCGATACCGAGAAGGGCGAACGCGCCAGGGCCGACATTGAGCGTTCGACCGGGCGGGGCGATGTCGTGGAGGTCTGGGCCGTGGACCTTTGCAGCTTCGAGAGCGTCAAGCAATTCTGCCACCGTGCGGACCAGCTGCAGCGCCTGGACGTGGTCGTGGAAAATGCGTCGGTGGCCTTCGTCGGCCCACTTGGGAAGCTGGCGGAGGGGTTTGAAAGCACCATCACGGTGAATGTGCTTGCTACTTTCCTCATGGCGTTGCTGCTTCTGCCGACACTGAGGCGGACCGCGACCAAGTTCAATGTCCAACCCAATTTGGTGATTGTGTCGTCGGATGCACATTTCGCGGTATGTCATCGCCCGGTCAGCAGCCCACGAGGCTCTCGCAACTAGCACCACTTGCTGATTATCACCCCGCATGTGCAGGCAGGGTTCAGGGAAAGAACAGCTTCGACAATATTTGATGCCTTCAGGTCAGACTCGGTGGAACCTGACAGATATCAGACCTCCAAGCTTCTGCAGGTCTTCTTGACCCGGCAGCTCGCACAGGAGATGTCGAAACCCACCAGTAGCAGCAACGGCAAGGTCATCCTGAACACCCTGAACCCAGGTTTCTGCCGGACAGCACTGTTCCGTGACAACAAGTTCCCTGCGTCCATGTTCTTGATGTTCACGAGCCAGCTCCTCGGCCGGTCTGCCGAGGTGGGCTCGAGGGTTATCGTGGACGCTGCCGCGGCGGGGCCGGAAACGCACGGCAAGTGGCTGGACACGTTGGAAATCAGAGAGCCCAGTGCTTATGTGCGTGGCGAGGAGGGACAGGAGATGCAGCGACGGCTTTATGACGAGCTGGTGGAAATCCTCGACCGAGTTGAGCCCAACGTAGCGAGCAAGATCTAAGAGGCATAGCCAAGAGGCGCGAAGACATCACGGCAGACTTCACTCCCATTGGCTTGCTTTCCTTCTGCTTAGCCACGGGAAGCCGTCCTGCATAAGGGTTTTGCAGCAAGAGTTCTTCCCAAGCGAGGAATTTCTGTTGGGGGGTCCCCCCGTAACTTGGGGCACTTGGCACTTCACGGACGGTTGCTTCGGATTCGGGGGGACAACAGGGGAAAGGCTTGTTCTCCTTGGTCTTTTGAGACCAAATCAATACCTGCCTAGGTTAGCTAGGTACTTACTTACGTTAAGGTGCCGAGGTCATTAGAGAATGCGTTGGGCTTGGTATCGCACAAAACCAACAACCATGGGGCCAGCTCTCTTAATATACTGCCCCTCGTGACAGCTGGCTGCGCGTGGAAACTTGCGAGGATGAGTGGTGGTACCCGGCCAATAGAGGGCGAGGTGCAATAAAGTATATCAACAGCAGAATTGCTTAGCCCGTGTGGCCGCTCCCACTTCACTTGGACGAGTGTGGAGGGCGGCGTTGGAAATTGGGTCCGAAGTCAACTGGTCATTAAGAATGGGCGAGTGACTGACTGACTGCTCACGGGTGTTGAATTCAATCAAGACTTATATTTATGTGATGCAAGTGCACCGTGGGGGTTGGAAAGTGGGCTGTGATAAATGCCCAGGCGAGCTCAGCTCCCAGGCAGGGGTTCGGTCGAATGTCTCTACGCCGTCCAGTACCGGTACCAACAGACTGACCCCAGGACCGAACAATGAATGAGCTGTAGTGGGGTTGTGTTGTCTGCCTGCCGCCTTGACCCTACGCGACCCGCGGCGCGTCTTTCAGGAAGGCACTATAGCAACCGTCTCTTTCCCTCCCAGACACCAATTACTCCATGCCTTCTCAACTGGCCTCTCTTGCCACACCTTGCGTGTCTTGAGGTTCAGTCTAGTCTACCTAGGTGCCTAGGTATTCAGTAGGTCCTTCTCCTCCAGACGGGTCTTGTCGTGCCGTCTGCTCCGAGCAAACACTAAACAGTGCATCAGCCGCCTCCGTCCTGCCACCACATGCAGCGCCACTGAGCAAGTGACACCTGCGATTGCGGACTGCGACGGGGAGTGCGACTGGCACCGTCCAGCCCCCGCGTGCGTCTATTCTTCACGTCGCAGAACAAGTGAGTTCCTGCTGCACCTCGGGCCCAGTCGGCTGCAGCCTGGTCGCTTTGGGACACGTGCGGCCAAAAAAAAAGGAAGGAAAAAGATAACTGCTTACAGGTCTTGTGCAACGCAGGCATCCGTCCCACTGGCTTTCCATCGGGGTAATCGGTGGTCGCACGCACGCATACAACCCAGCAGAGCCGGCTGCGCATCCGTCTCACGCTTCCTACAAATATGGACAGAGCCTCATCCAGCCCGGCTGCGGCGACTCCGCCGGACTTGGACGGGCTCCTCGATGCCTTGACAATCTCGAGAACCATCCTTGCTTCCCTCCAAGAAGGGCCACAGGAGAGCGACACCCCAAGACAGATCACAGAAACCAAGAAAGAGATTGCCAAACTGAGGATCCAAGTCAGCAAGGCCCGAGGCAACTCTCAAGGTCCCACACGCCCGTCGTCGCCTCTTCCCACCCGCATCTGCTAACCCCGCGGCAGGTTCCAAGAGGGCAGCCAACTCCAGCGGCACCATGCAGCCGTATCGCTCGGATGAATATGCTGGTGCGTACTCTGGCAGGTCATACGCATGGCTGTCTCCTCCTCCCCTGCACCCAAGCCGGCAATGGCTCGCTTTCTCTCTTTCTATCATCCCGAGTTATGCTAATCCGGCTTCCTGTCCAGGGCCAAGTTCCTATTCCAACTCCGGAACTCTCACGCCTGCCAGCGCCTCCACAGCAGCCTCTGCCTTTGGACAGAAGAAACGAACCTTTGGTTCCCATCTCGATGACGATGCTTCCTCCGGTTCCCGTGTCAAGTCCCGAAGAACGACCCCGAGTCCCCAGCACACCGCGATTACTACTCCGTCTGTGGGAGACGACTTCTGGGCCGGCAACGGTGATGTTATTGACCTCACCGGGTATGTCTGGCGCACCATCCTGAGGTAGAATATACTACCAGCCTTGGAATGATATCTGACGCTCTTCTAGTGACGACGCCGACTTCGAGCAGCTCTTCAAGCAACAGAAGGCAGCTTTTGCGCGAATCGAACAAGCCAAGGCAGACGAGAGATTCGCCAGATCCCTTCAGCATGGTTTCCAGGACAACTCCTTCTCCGATTCTTCCCCGGCCTCCCCGGCACCTGCTGGACCTTCTGGACCCACTGCCTTCGACAGGATTCTAGGTCGTTCCTCACAACCGTCGCAGCCTCAGCATCAGCCCCAGCCTCTGTCGTCCCAAGAACGTGATCCATTCCGTCCGAACAATGAGTCCCCGGCTGGACACAGCCAGCCGTCGTCTCGTATGCCAGGGTCTTTCGGCTTTGATGACGACTTGGACGACTACTTTGACACTCCAGTACATCCTATACCTTCCCAGTCTGGCGGCGCTTACGGTTCCCCGAGTTATGGGCCGTCGAGCTCTTCTCTGCCGTCCATGGGTCCGCCGAATACCCATCCGACAATGGGTGTGTCTCCTTTTTCCAGCCCCTTGCCTGGCCTCCATTACACACCAAACTTTGCAGCCGCAGAGTCGGCTAGGCAGGCAACTCTTTCCCGTCAGCAACAAGGCTACCTTCCGTCTAGCGGATATGGACTCACGGGCAATGTTGTTGGCCTGCCTGTTTCCAACTCTGCTAACGGGTTTGCAGGTTATGCTGGTGACGTCTCCCCCATGGCGTCACTGGGTAACCGACCAGGAACCCTAAACTCAGGCGCCTACGCTCCCTTGCAGAACTGGGGTGCTAACACCAACCCCTATCCAGCTGTGTCGTCACAGGTTCCTGCCAGGGGAGGTTATTTGCCCGAGGTTATCAACCTGACCAACGACATCGACTGGGTCAACGGCCTCGACGCTTTGGGTAACCCGCTGAGTGCGAATCTCCGGTCATATTACGACGATCTACAAGATGACCCCAGAAAGACAGCCGAGGAGATCAAGGACCTCCTTGCCAACATCCGGCCCGATGAAGATATTCCCGAGGAAGATCGTATCGGTACCCCGGAGCAACTCAGATATGCTCTGTATGCCCATCAACAGCTGGCCCTCCAATGGATGATGGATAGCGAGAAGGGCAAGAACCAGGGTGGCATCCTGGCTGATGATGTAGGTCTACTATCCAACCCCCACATCAAGCCTTGCCCGAGCACATTCATCTCTGCCTCAGGTCGCCATCGTCAGGCTTGAGGCCAGAGCTAAACCAGACCTGCTCGACAAGACAAGCACCGGACTTGCTAATGCGGTAACAGATGGGCCTGGGAAAGACGATATCCGCACTTTCTCTGATGGTGAGCCGTCCTTCACCTGACAATAGGAACAAGACGAACCTCATCGTGGGGCCTATCGCTCTCCTGAAGCAGTGGGAGATCGAGATCAAGAAGGTAAGACTCTGTGATAAACTTGCATTTTATCTGTGCTGACAAATCCCATAGAAGCTCAAGCCTGAACACCGTCTTAGCGTCCTGCTTCTGCACAACAAGTCTATGAAATACGAGGACATTCGTAACTTCGACGTTGTCTTGACATCGTACGGCAAGGTAGGCGCTGAGCAGAAGCGGTTTGACAAGTGGGTGTCCCACCATCCTGGGGCCAGACCGGACCGTGACGCAGAGCTGGCCAAGAGTTGCCCGCTCCTGCACCCGAACAGCAAATTTTACCGAGTGATTCTCGACGAAGCTCAGTGCATCAAGAATGACAAGACTCTCCAGGCAAGGGGGTCGTGCTCCCTCAAAGGCACTTACCGTTGGTGTCTGACAGGCACCCCGATGATGAACGGTATCCATGAATTATTTTCTCTGATCAAGTTCCTGAAGATCAAACCTTACCATGAGCAGAAGGAATTCAACAAGACCTTTGGAAGTCTAACTCCTCGGACGGGTCGAGGCCGTTCTGCCGGAGAGTATGCCAAGACGAAAGCTATGGACGCCCTTCGCGTCCTACTAAAAGCTATCATGCTCCGACGGATGAAGTCTTCCACACTTGACGGGAAGCCGCTAGTGATATTGCCGCCCAAGACCGAGGCTGTCGCTCACGTTGAATTTTCTGAGGATGAGCGACAATTCTACACCGATTTGGAAAACAAGACAAGGATCACGTTCAACAAATATCTCCGTGCGGGTACCGTCGGAAAGAACTACAGCAACATCCTTGTTCTGCTCCTCCGTCTTCGCCAGGCCTGCTGCCATCCACACCTAAATCTCGACGTGGACTATGTCGGGAACAACGAGGTCACTGAGCAAGACATGAACGCCATGGCCAAGACCCTCGCCCCTGATGTAGTAGCCCGCCTCAAAGCGCAAAACGAGGAAGGGTTCAAGTGCCCCATTTGTCTGGACGCGGTCATTGATCCGACCATCGTTCTCCCATGTGGACACAATACATGTGCCGAGTGCTTTACCACGCTTGCCGAGAGGGCCCTTGACAACAACATCCGAGCTGGCGACGAAGGTAGTACCTTCAAGTGCCCGGAGTGCCGTGGAGCTGTTGACCCGAAGAAGGTTATCAACCTAACATCATTCAAGGCAGTTCACATGCCTGAGCCGACAGCTGTGAATGAGGATGACATTGAGACTGCCTCGGAAGCAAGCTCCACGGAAGATGACTCCTCTGAATCCGAGACCGATTCCGATGATGACTTGGATGACTCCGATGATGTTGACCGTAATGGCAACCTGAAGGACTTCATCGTTGATAATGACGACGAAGAAGATCCTGCTAAGGACAGTGACGACGACGACGACGACGACGATTCGCTCATTGGCCAAAGTGACAAGAATGCGGCGAAGACTCGCCGCAAAGCGAACAAGCCTAAGCGCAAATCCAAGGGCAAGGGCAAGGGCAAGGGCAAAAAGAAGGAGGAAGAAGTCAAACCTCATATGCTCAAGAGCTTGCGAACCGAGGCCAAGAAGAACAAATTTGAGCACAAGCGGTATATGAAATATCTGAAGAAGAACTGGATGCCATCTGCCAAAGTGTCGGAGTGCTGCAAGATTCTGGGAGACATCCGATCGAGCGGGGACAAGACCATTGTCTTCTCTCAGTTCACTTTCTTACTCGACCTACTTGAGATACCCATCAAGTACGAGCTTGGCCTCAATTATTGTAGATATGATGGAGGCATGTCACGTGTCCACCGGGACGCTGCTGCTCAGGACTTCCAGGACCCAAACTCGCGCACGAAGGTGATGTTGGTGTCTCTAAAGGCAGGGAATGCGGGCCTCAATCTCACAGCTGCCAATCACGTTATTGTGATGGACCCTTTCTGGAACCCATACATTGAGATGCAAGCTGTGGATCGCGCCTATCGGATAGGCCAGCAGAAGCCCGTCAAGGTCCATCGCCTCCTTGTCGAAGGAACCGTGGAGGATCGCATTGCCGATCTACAAGAACAGAAGCGGAAATTCGTCGATGCCGCTCTTGACGAGGGGGAAAGCAAGAATCTGGGCAGACTGTCGACTCGCGACCTGCAGCGACTTTTCAATGCAGATTAGAGGCACACGGGTGGACAGACGGATGACCTCGGCGTACTTTCACCGCGGTTCGGTCGAGATTGTTCTGATTTCCGTCTTTTTTCACGGAGGAGACTGGGAACTTGATACAATTAGCTTGGTTTACCCCCCACTTGTTGCTTTCACAAAGCATCGGCAGAAAGCCATGCTGACGTTGTTTACGTTGTCTTTCTCTCTCAATGGCTCAGATGGCCAAAGTTGAGAGTATAGTCTTTTTCTTTTTGGCTGGGGAGGGTTTCAGAACGTTTTATGATGGTCTTGTAGAGTAGGCTCGGTGCATATCGGAGGAGAAAAGTCTTGTCCTCGTGATGGGTTGGGGAACTGAGCTCAAGCATGGCGTCTAGGACTGAAAAGGGGTCCCGGTATCATTGCTTTACACACGTTGTGCTCTCAGGACGTGCCGCATTATTTCGAGCAACTCATGGGTTGCACAGATAGACATCCGTTGTCACGTTGAAAATAACGTCGGACTCTAAATACCTAACAACCCGTGCCTTTTCGCTTGATGAAATAAATTACACTTGAGCAGCAAAAGTGCCCAGGCGCCTTGGCCATGTCATCCCATGCTTTGCCTTGTTGAGCCGCCCTTCCTCGCGAGCCAGTCTAAACCATAACCGCATGGATAGATCCACTGGCACACCTGGGCAGCCAGCGATTGCCAAGTACTCGGGGTATAGCACGCACCTGGGCATGCTTGCCCCTGGGGCAAGAATCCAAGAATCCGAGCAGACATCCTATGAACGATCGAGTAATTACTCAAGTAGCCTAGGTATGGAAGACATTCATTTTGCCAAGCTGACTAATGAGGTAACTGCCTAGGTAGGCTCAGTCGGCCGGCGATATTAAATCATGCACATCCAGCCAGGCAAAGACACGAGTGAGGCTGTGCTGTGATTCCACTTTCACTTTCCAGGTGCCCCTGGTTGTTATCGAGAGGCTCACCGTACCTTTGCTCGTCCCATAGCGTCATTGAAGCCTTGCGCGGCAGCCCCGTGTTCATTTGCTGGAGCGTGTACCGAGGCGCAGCGGCGTTGTATTGGCAGGGGACACGGCAATTTACGGTAGCTATCCTGAAGTCCTCTGTCTCATTTACCAGACTGCCTAGCATTTTCGAGCTTAGCAGATTCGAGGGCGAACACCGTAGGATGAGGCTTCACGGCAGCTGGGCAGTCTCCTAGCTTGATGATGGTTGGCTGAATATTCCCGGGTACCGGCGTTCCTGGAGACACGCGGTCTAGGCCGGGGCCGGGGGCTCCCAGCTGATCCGGCGCCAAGCTCGGTACTCGTCCGCGATCACTAGTGTAATCTGTACCTGGGGAGAGTCGACGGGCTGGGTCCAAGGCCGGGTCTAAATCAGCCCTCTTACGAGAGCAATGCTCTACGAGACCAGTGCTTTACGAGGAGCCCAGAGGTCTAGAGCGAGCGCTTTATATCTACAAGAGACGCGCTGGTGAAGAAATGTTTGGTACGGGCCGTCGGTGATGCTTTTGGAAGTGGATTCATGCGGATCTCTCAGCAGGGCCTTAATTTCTCGGCACGCTCCGAGGCCCCCAAAAAGCCCAGGTTAGGATCTCGTTCCGTGTTTCGCGTTTCACGCCGACGACAATGAGATTGACTCCTGTTTATGGCAACGGCCCCATGCTTGTCTTGAGTGCCGTGTTTAATTTATGACTGGCCGAGTTCCCTCCATCGCAGCCAGCATTTGGTGCTGCTCCTCTTCCCCCCATTCGTGCCCGTTTGTTTGGCGATCTAGTCTGCTGATCCCTTCGGGATATTCATTCGCTTCATATTAACCCCGGGCCGGCTCCCAAGATGTACCACTCACTGATCCTTTCATTTTCTCTCGTCCCCATCTTGGGACTGGCTTTGCCGACAACAGTGCCATCGACAGGCACGGACACAGCGCCGACGGACAGCATCGTGTCCCTGAGCACGCAGCAAGCACCCAAAATAAACAGTCTCTCCAACATAACAAACCAATTTGACACAATCAACTACTTCCCCGACCCGGAGGTCAGCTGCTCGGGGAGGCACCTCTACGATGAGACCAGCAGCTGGAGTGCAGACTTGACGGCGGCAGTCACCAGCACGACGAAAGACGGGATATTCGGGAGCTGTGATGCGGGATCAGAAGTTGACGGCAGTGGTAATCTAGCATGGAAGAGTGGGAAAGTCCAAGTATATTATTGCAATCATGGCTTTACGCCCAACCCATGCAGTGTCAACGAGTACTGGAGGGCAGACGATCTCATTAATGCCAAATGCGGCCCAGATGGAGGGGGTTGGGTAAAAGTGAGTGGTTTCAACCTTTTCTGTACACATGAGAGGCTCTATGCGGTCCCTTCATACGGTGTTAAATGCACAAAGACCCAGCTTTGGCTAACCGACACACAATCTAGATACCCGATTGGGGCAAGACTATCGGTCGTGATCCCACAAAATCGGACGGGAGCTTCAGATCAGAATGCGGAGCAAGTCTGCATGGTGTTAAGGCGAACGTGGTTTCAAATTCTACGAGAACTTAATCTCTCTTACTAATTCATCCACCGCTCGAGACGGGCGCGGATGACGGTCCATCTGGGACCGGCCTTGGATAGCTATCATCAAATCTACACCCGGACGTATGTTCCGATAATCCAACTACTGCTTCCGAGGCTGAGAATTAAAGGCATACTACAGTACTACAGCTGATATCTCCTTGAGTTTGCTTGAATGGTTCTATCACCAGACCAAGGTCATGCTTATGCATGAGACTCTAAAATTGTGCAGCAGACATGGACTACTTAGTGCATGAACCACTGTATGAAGGCGCCATGTATGTCTTCCGACGTATACGGAATAGAAACGAAACCAGTTAGTGCATGGACCAGACCAGATCGAGTGCGTCCAAGATCGGGTCTGGTGGAGTGCTGGGCGACATACGCCGTTCAATGGTTGAGAAGAAGAGATGAACCACATCGCCAACAGAGGGCTCATTAGGGACCAGAATTTGACCGTCAGGGGATTGCCCACAGCCCGGGTCAACTGGTGCCCGGGTGATCGCCTGTGTCGTGAAGTTTTGGCTCAATCACGTCTCTTTGTGGCAGGAGGCGAAGGGAAAACGGAGATGATCATGGTGCTTCTGTTTCTCATCCCATCACAACTCAGAGCCTTGTCTACTCACCACGATCTGGTTCCTCGCAACCTGATTTTCGACACCCAAGGATCACTCTGGCTTCAAATGTTGTCGACTGGGACTACAGAGGGTAGAACACACCATATTTTGAATACGCTGCCATGCACAATTGCTTCACGCCGGAAGACTAGTGTCGATTTGCTAAGTACCGGTGGAGCTTGTTCGCTTGCATTGCGACTGGGCGATATGAAGCGGAACGACGAATGTTAGTCGGGGCCCAACGCAAGGCCATTCGGTTTCCCACTGCACGGAGATCTCAAGTGCTAGTACCTATCCAAGCCGGGGCAACCCCCTCTGCCTGAACGCTGTGGGAAAATCGATCAGCGCGCTTTGTGAGAATTTGCCCAATCATCGTTGTGCGGGTGCAAATTTTCGACAAACACCTATGATTGCCGTGTGAGAAGGAGCCGTGGGCTCGTCGACCTTACATGCAAATCGCTGTGGTTCTCTGTTTCTAGTGCTAATTATGATGTTTGTTGATACCTACATACTTGAACGTCGGAGACGGAAGCGGTCATCACTGGTGTGCCGCAATTTTCCTGTTCTGAACAAAAGGGAGGACGGGAACGATCTCGACGAAGGAACAATACATGACGGGAAACCTAATCTGTTATAGACAAAGGGCCCGTTTTCGCAATTGTTATCGACTTGGAACAATGTCCTTGTCGAACCTAAAGGTCGGCATACCATCAAAGCATTGTGGTAGCATTTTATACAGTCCTTGCTATCTAACCCACTTGGGATCAATAGGATCATATCTTCAATCACTTCTGCTCCCTGCCACGTCAGTCTCTGAGGCATCTTTTGAGTTGAGACCAGAATACCCCGGTGGAAGGAGCCTCGATCATACAGAACAGTTTCTTTGCGAACTTACAGACATTTACAGACCCACACTTCAATTGGCTGCAGCCCTGAACACACTTGTTACGCTACTCTCACGTAGCTTCTGTACAATGGTCATGTACGCATCGCACGCCCTTCCTTCCCGAATCTTTCCAGATCATGATTTGGAGAGGTTTGTTAGGATCCAAGATCTCAAGGTTGCCCATGGAGGGGAGGAAACGGAGTACGAGCGGGCCATTCGCGAGCTTCGAGAGGGCGAAAAAAGGCCTGGGAGCAACTGGACGCTATTTGTCTTTCCCCGGGTCACTGGCCTGGGAAAACATATAAACAGCATTTTCTATGGGATAGGAACAATGCGGGAGGCCAGGGCTTACATCGAGCACCCCCTACTTGGGCCAAGACTACACAATGCCACGGAGGCTGTTCTCGAATGTGGGGAAGACGACCTTGACGCACTTTTCGGAAATTCCGAGGAAGCTAAGCGATTCAAATCGTCTATGACACTCTTTGCGCAAGCCTGCTTGGGAACTCAAGATGAGTTATTTCTGCGGGTGCTCTTAAAGTTCTGGGGAGGCCTCCGTGACGAGAAGACAGTGGAAATAATGGGATCGTGGTAGATGTTAAAGAGACCACATGGGGCCCTCATGAAGGACATCATAGCTAGGAGAAAGCAGTATATATGATACTGGAATCAAGAGCAATGGATATTATTGGCCGCATAAGGGTCTAAGTAAGAAAGTCCTCAGAAACACATGCCACCACAAGTTAAGCAATCATACGAGCATTGTATGACATCTGTACTGTCTATTTAAGATCAGAGTAACCTTCATAGTGTACGGATAAACAATAATCTCAAGGATCTATAAGCTTTACTCAGGTGTACGCTGCGCGGCCTCAGTTTCTCTATAATCTTCAAGAGACAATCCCTTAAAACCATCCAATTCATGTGGCCTCCTAGAGACAACCTCCTTGAGATTGACTGCTGAACAGCCAGCACACCAGGGAAAGGTAAGACAAGAGCCACCATGTGAAATCATGTGAGCCTTTGAAGATGTGTTGGTGTCATGGGATTAGTGCAAGTGAAGTTTTCAGACGAGCAAAATATACATCTTGGTTTATTTTATCACACATTTGTAGCGCTAGTTATCCCATGATACTGAGCTGTTCTTCGTGTCTTCGGAGTTCCAAGGTTGTATATGTATTCCTCAGACCTGCATTCTACCACAGTAATGCTTAGTAAACATTTGAGTTGTTCAGCTTGATCCTCCGAATCCCTTTATGTGGTTGCTGTGGTAGTTTTGACGCATTTATTTCAGCTTTTCTGTGCATAGGATTCCACACTTAGCGAGGCATACACTTGGAAGACAGGTTTCGCAAAGTCTCCATGCCAAATACAGTATTACTAACATAGAATCTGTTCAAAAATATGAGAATCAAGAATGCCCAGGTGGTTCACCCCGCGGAGGGCTCACAGCCAGCACTTGAGCAGCAACGGGCACGAGCTTGTGGTGCGAGATGCAAGGTAGATTGCGCCATCCCCGACAGCCAGCCGATTTCAAATCCACGGTACAAAATTGGGGAACAGCTCACCCGCAAGTTCTCATGACTGAATCACCCTGCAAGGTCCAATAATGTCTCAGTCTCAGCCCCAGTCCTGTTAGTTATGGCTTTTCTGGGGCTTGTCAGTTTATTTGCTGGCCTCCTGCATCACGACATATTCGCCAATAGCTCGCTCCGCTTGCTTCATGGCGAAGACTAGAATGTTTTAAAAGCCTTTCAGCTGCTCCTGGAACCCTTTCAGATACCCAGCTACTCGATGAAGTGTCGCTCGTGTCCCGTGGTGTCCCTGTGTCCACGCTCCATTTAACGCCGGGCACCCCCCACATTTGTATATCATACGCGCCATCCGTGCCTCCGATTGCGAATTTCGCGAGCGGCTGTACTGTACTTTGCCCGCACTAGCCCCTATGAGCTTGAATCCATACAACGGGGTAAAGCTACATGGAATTCGATGCACACTCCTTGCCTAGGCCGAGAAGAGTTTGCCTCATCCTTACAATCCGGCTCCGCTCTCCCTCCTGGATCTCCGGAGAGATAACCGGGTGGGATGTCAGGCCGTACATATAAGGGCGCTAGCCCGTCCATTTTCTTAGATGATTCACCGGACGTCTATATGCCGCTGCTTTCAGGGACCATGGCGACCGAAGACAAATCTCAGCACGACGTGCGCGCTTCTTCGGCAGATTCCCCTCGCCGAGGAGAATCTGCTCTCAGCGACGACTCGTCAGGGAAGAAGGCACCATGGTGGTCTTACTTTTGGGTGAGGCGGAGATACCAACGAATCTGTGAGAGACGCACACTAATCGCTATCGCAGGATTATGAACCGACGAGGACTGCAGAGGAACGGAAATTGTGAGCATCACTTTTCTCTCGTGCTGTCACGGATTCCCGTCTTATACATGCCAGGGTTTGTAGCAAGACTAAGTTAACATCACACTCAGCGTGAAGAAACTAGATGTTTCCCTCCTTACGATCCTTTGCTTCGGATACTTCATCAAGAACTTAGACCAGACGAACATTACCAATGCATACATATCAGGGTTAGTACATTCACTTACTTTTACGGATTTCCAACAATACTTTATTTTAGTATATGTGGCAGGTTGCTAACACTTACTAGAATGAAAGAAGACCTTTCCATGGACTCGAACCAATTGAACTTGATAGATGTGGCGTGGACTACAGGCTATGTCATCGGGCAACTCCCGTCCCAGTTCATCCTGACCAAAGTTCGGCCCTCAATTTGGATCCCAAGCTGTGAGCTTGTATGGACAATCTTGACGTTCTGCCTTGCTGCTACGAACAACAGCAATCAAGTCATTGCTATTCGATTCCTGGTCGGCCTCGTCGAGAGTATCTTCTATCCCGCCGCACATTTCTTGATCGGCAGCTGGTACAAGCCGAGCGAGCTCGGGAAACGCGCCTGTATTTTCCATGCGTCCTCGGCGGCGGCAGGGATGTTCTCCGGATACCTTCAAGCAGCCGTTTACACTGGCTTGAACGGAACTCTAAACTTAGCTGGTTGGAAGTGGCTTTTCCTCATGGACGGCTTCATCAGTCTTCCAATTTGTCTTGCGGGCTACTTCATGATTCCCGACCTGCCAGAGAACACTCGTGCGTTCTACCTGACAGACGATGACGCTGTGCTCGCCCGGAAGCGGATGGATTCCATTGGCCGTGCTCCACGCCGGAAGCTGGGCTGGTCAATATTGAAGAGAGTCTTCACACGCTGGCATGTGTGGGGCTTGACGCTCCTCTACATTGTCTTTATCAACACGGGGCCATCTTCGAGCGTGAACCCGCTATCTCTGTGGCTGAAGGCCACAGGATGGCCCGTGACGTCTGTTGTAAGTAATCCGAGTTGTTGACGATCTGCCGTGTCGTTAAAGTACGTATGAATACTGACATCAGTCCCGCAGAACATCGTAAGCAGCTTCCAGATACATTTCTGCCCTTTTAGGAACAAACACATCCTATTCTCAACCTATATAACAAAGAAGCTAGGGGCTATAGGTTACGAGATATGCTTTGGCCACTCGAGCACCTTGTGGCCTAGTCTTTGCTCTATTGATATAAAAAATTATTGTCTGGTTATTTGATGACTAACTCTGAATGCTGCAGATACCCACAGCACAGTCTGCTGTTCAACTCGTGTCGACTGTCAGCTTCTCCATCCTATCGGACTACCTGCGCTCCAGACCAGCAGTGATGAGCATATCCACGTTCTTCGGATTCTTCACGTCATTGTTGCTCGCTATTTGGTCAATCCCGGCAGGTCTCAAATGGTTCTCGTTCTTCGCGTCAAGAATTTCCGTTGCATATGGACCATTGTCCATGACCTGGGCAAACGAAATATGTGGTGCAGATGCCGAGGAGAGAGCAGTGGTACTGGGAATCATGAATGCCGCGGGGTACGCATTCAATGCTTGGCTCCCGCTGCTGACTTACCCCGTGTTGGATGCTCCGAGGTTTAGGAAGGGATTCATCTACACGACCATCACATTTGTGGCGCAAGCAGTAATCACTTGGACGATTTGGTGGCTATCTCGGCGGGACAGGAAAAAGGAGGAAAAGTCCGCAATTGACGCAGCTGGTGTTACCGAAGAACTATAGACCCGAAATTAGATTGAATACTGTGATTATATTAGCTTCCACCGAGCATGCATCTATTTCTCCCAAACTAGTGCCGCCTGAGCGGGAGTAATCGGAAGTCATGACGAGATTATGAGTAAAAACACTTAGTTTAGCCACTTGAGCACAGTCCGGCGCCTCTCACTTGATTGCCCAGGTGGCCTTGCCCGGCTCCCTTGTTCCAGATGTCGCGCGCCAGCCGCCCTCCAAGGCTACGCTGTTCCTCTCATGAGCTCATCAGTATTCCCATCAAGCCGGCGCTCTGCAGGCAATGGGCCGTTTCAAAACATGCAGATCACACGTGCCTCATACGAGATGGGGAACACGCCTCATGGTGACGAGGCTCTCAAAGAAGGCCTGCAAAGGCGGACAGTAGACACATCCACTATTCGAAATATCTCACTTATCTAACCCTTTTCATCCTGCCCATGACAAGCAGAGCACAGCATCGACTGGGTGGACTTGGTCAGACCATGCACTTGGCAGTAGATTATTGATACTAATCTGATGTGTCGTCTGTGGGTTGACGCCAGCAGCACTGAGAGCATTGCATCGCCTGGGTAACCTTTGTTACACCATGGACCTGGCAGGCTATATGCAAGCCGTGAGTGGTCTGTGGCTCGGAGCAAAATATGCAGACCTTTCCCCATGGGGTGTCTGTGGTTTGAGCCTGGCCGTGTACGTGGCATTCAACGCGTAGGGGGTCTGATGATTCCAAGTTTGACATGCTGCGAATTCCAAGTTTGACATGCTGCGAACCCTGGATTTGACGTGAGGTAATTATGGAGCTTGTCCCCCCGTTTATCGTAGGCAGGTCGTAGGCAGTTTCAGTCTGTTCTGTTTTGTGAATGTGTTGCAGTGCATATGATCGAAGAGACTGAATGAGCTCTAGAGGGTTCGGAGACGACCAGACGACTTGACGACCAGAATTAGCCTTTATAACAAAGCTTGTATCGTATTATAACTATTGTTATCGGCATTGTGTTCTTTCCAAGCGCTGGGTCTTGAGTGCTTACCACCGTATGAAGGCGCCATGTATGTCCTCGGACGTATACGGAATAGAAGCGAAACCACATAACAAAGCTTGTGGACTAGTGACGCTGTACTGGTGGTGAATACCACGCTCTGAGCTGATTTCAGGCACGCCATTACGCTGGAAGTAACAGGCGTGTTTTCAGGCGTTGTATTTGACGTGTGAATTGCTGGAACCGCTTTCCCGACAACGGCCGGACATGACACAGGTATTAGAAGCGTTAGTTGATGACAAAGGATCAAGATCAAAGCCTGCAAGTGTTGAATATATGATGAGACACCTCAGTCTCCAAGAATGCCGCTACCAGGTTGCATGTGAGATGAATGAGTGATAGAAGCAGCGTGTGGGAGCAAGCTAAGTACTGGTGCTTTGGCATTGTTCAAACCACAAATCCATAGTGTTTGGGGAAGCTTGTCGTCTAACCATCACGCTTCAACCAAGCCTCCTTGATGAGGTCCGCAGCTTTTTCGCCGATTCCGTACGCCGGCATCTGTGGGTGTCCTCCATTCAAAGTAGGCATTATGCTGACATCTGCGACACGCAGATTTGTCACACCTCTGACCCTGAGCTTTTCATCCACCACTGCATTTGCGTCGTCTCGTCTCCCCATAGCACATGTTCCCGCAGGATGGTAACCTAAATGGCACAAGTGTTACACCACAGCCACAGATGAATAGGATGACAACAGGGACGAAGACGCGAGATAGGGTCTTACATGTGGTAGCATTGTCCTTCACGTATGGGATCCACTCCTCCCTACTCGTGTAAGTGTGGTGCGTGAGCTCGGGTGGCCACGAGCCGCGAATAACATCTTTCGTCCCTTTTCCTCCCATTATGATCTCGTTTGCGAACCGACAAGCTTCTGCGAGGACCTCGACGTCCAACGGGTCCTTGAGATACCCACAATCTACCTTGGGCCCATCTAGGGGGTTTGTGCTCTGCAGTTGCACCGTTCCCCTGGACCGCGGCGCGAAGAGCTCCGCGATCATGGCGAAAGCATGTTTGTGGTCGATAGGAAATTTGTCATATTGCTTGGGCCCACCATAACACTCTGTATGGAAGAACTCGATGTTTGGCTGCTTCGCTGTCAACCCCATTGGATCACGGCCGGGCATCCTGGGAGCGGAGTTCCATAATTGAGAGTCGGCAAGCCTGTCGTCCAGCCGGGCGAACCCGAAGGAGCCAAACGGGAAGCTGGACAGGAACCCAGCCTTGCTCTCTTTCCAGACCTTGTATGACTTGGTGATGGCATCATCGTGGTACGCCAGGTGGTCGTTGGTCAGGCCGGGCTTGTTCACCTCGTAAAACATGAAGACAATGAGATGGTCCATGAGGTTTCTGCCCACGCCGGCGAGATCAACAACGACGGGGATGTGAAGAGCAACGAGGTCATCCTTGGCTCCTATTCCAGACCTCTAGTTTTACGTTAGCGCAATACTCCTTATAGTCAAGGCTTAATACAGCTTTGTTTGCTGGCTTTACTTATGGCCAAGCTGGAAGCACTTGTTCTGGCTACGCACCTGCAAAATGTTGGGGCTGCAGTAAGCACCGCCACTGATGATGACCTCCTTGGTTGCGGTTATATCGAATGGCACGCCGCCTGCGCTCACCGCCCGCACACCAGTGGCCACCACTTCACCCTTGGTGTCTTTGAAGAGTACTTTGTCGACATAAGTCTCCGTAAGTATGACAATATTGTCCCTGCGGCGAGCCTTGGTGACGAAATCGGCCCCAGTTGTGCGGACACCCTCATGAACAGTTCGCGGGGCATGTCCGCAGCCGTGAGGATTTTCGCCGTGCGAAAACATGTCATCGTCAAGTGGGAGGCCTTTAGATATCATGGACTCGAGCACGAGCTTTGAGATAGGTGCCAAGTCGTGTGGCTCAGTGTGGAGCGGCCCTTGGAACCCGTGAGACTTGCTGTGAGCCTTGAACCAATCTTTGTTGTGGAACGTCTCGGCCTTGGAGAGCGCCGACGTCAATACTTGCTTAGGAAAATATTCATGTATTGGCGGCAAAGCATGATGAGAAAGAATTACTCGCCTTCTGCATGTACCCGAAGAACTCTTCGCCGCCCCATCCGTCCAGGCCCCAATCGTCGTAGTCCTGCTTGGAGCCTTTGATGCAAAGAGTTCCGTTGATGCCCGAGGAGCCGCCTAGAAACTTGCCCCGGCTCAGCTTCACCTGCCGATTGTTGATTCCCGTACCTTTTTCCGATACAATGTTCCAGTCCTCCGGCCCGTCGAGGTTCTTGGCCCAGCTGCACAAGAACATTGAACCTCAGCCTACTGTTTCAACAAGGCAATCTAGGGATACGCGTGGGACACTCACGCTCCGGCCATGTGTGTGTTCTCCAAGTTCTCATTGTCTCGTCCAGCCTCGATTATGAGAACACGAACGGTTGGGTCCTCTGCCAGCCTTCCTGCAACCACGCAGCCGGCGGTGCCCCCGCTGATGACCTTGTCAGTGCCTTCCGCAGTAACAAGCTCAGCTCATATGAATGATGACTTACCCACAGACGATGAAGTCAAAAGTGGTACCGTAGTCTAGGTGAGAGCCCATTATCACGAGGTGAGGGGCTACTGATTTCTAACAAGACGGTTGACTTGGACCAGTGCTGAAGGTACTAAGTAGCCTCGGCGGTATCAAGTCAGGAATAGGGGGATGCCACGTTTGAGCCGTGCTCAGTTTTTATTTGATTTCAGCTGATAAAGTCCGGCCAGATGATCATCACGACGGACGCTCTAACCAATATTAATGAATTGGCAGATGTGACAACTTTTCAAACTCGCACCCATTTTGGTCACCCCCTCACGGGCCAGAGGTAAAGCCGCTCGGCTCTGTGTCCCGGTCGACAGGGTACTTAAGTAAGTAGCCAGCTCTCCAACTCACGAGAGCACTAGAGTGCTGCTCCGGCTTTGAGGAGCGGCAATGCGTTCCGCCCAAGGACCTTGGAGAACGGCTGCGGACCTCGGGAGACGAATGCGCTCGCCTGGGCATATTGGAACTTCTCATTAACTTTTTGTGAGGGCCAACGTGACAACCGAGAGAAGGTCCACCAATCACGGCTTGGTTGGTGAAGAGCTCAAGGCTTTATAAACATTCTGGCCTAGGCATGACTATTTCCGGTCCACCTGAACCAACAGCAGTAAGTATGTCAGGTAGGCGAGTGTGACCCTTGACGGATTGTGACAAAAACAAAGGTACAGGTAGGTGACCGAGGACGGACGCTAAGAGGGGTTGGGCCACCGTCTCTTAAAAGTTGTGTGGGATCCCTCTACCTAGTTAGAGTTGTAAAAGAGACAAGCGTCTGATTGAAAAGATGGCAATCATGAAATCTGGACGGCCACTATGGTATCAGCTGGCTCGTCCTGGGCCCACTAAACGCTTGCCCGCCTGTCCGCCTGTCCGCCTGCCCGCCTGTCCTCAGACAACAACGGTTGCCTTGATTTGCAGGACACCAAATAACCCGGGCAGCCAGGGGTTCTCAGCCTGGCGGTGACGATGGGGTTTAAGAGCCGGGAACTATTATAGCTCCCTAGGCGCTATTGAGATGAAGGCTGGAAGGGTTCCCGTAATCCGGAATCGAGGTGGTATCGTGGCAGTCGAGCCCTGATTTTGTGAGATGGGGTGAATCGCGAGTGAGACGCTGCGGCCGTGACTGTCTGGTTCTCCAGTTGTCCCAGCCACTCTTCGGGCGCAGGTTGGCAGGCAACAGGGTGCAGGCTGCAGCCAGCAGCCAGCAGCGATGGGAGAGTCTCTACTGCACGATGACGTCACACATCAAGGCTTGCACGCTGGAGAGACTGGTTCATGATGTGTGCTTAAGTAAGTCTTGACCGACACCAAGTGGACAAGAAATCAGAAGGAGGACAGTGCCCAGCACGCTGTTTAAGGTTTGGTTTGTGTTGGGCATCGCTGGCCTGGTTCCTGCCCCCGCCCTCGATCGAGTCCGGAACACTTGAAGCAGGCAACGCGGGGCTGAGAGAGGGCGGCCCCACTTAACCGTTCTTGTATTTGGAAACGGTGGTCCCGGAGCCGCACGGTTCAGCTCTAAATACAGCAGGGCGGGCGGGCAGGCGGGCGGGCGGCGGGCCTGGTGGATGGATGGTGGCTGGTGGGCTGGCCTGGCAGCCTGGTCCCCAAGGACAAGACCTACCTCTTCCGAGATCCTGCCCTGCAGTGCAAGAACGGGGCACAAGTGACCTGAAACTGCGCAGCCTTATTTTGGGAGCTCGCAGCTCGCTCGTGGATCGGCTGCACTCGGTGCAGGATCAGCTGTCAAATGCTCGCACACCATCAAACCATCAGGCCGTCGTCGGGGCCACTGATGACACGAGGCAGGCAGACCCTTGCCATCGCAGCAGAGTGTGCTTAATGTGCTGCGTGCCCAAGGCAGCTTGCAGCCCAGCCAAGCGGGTGGGTTCCAAGCTTTGTCCCCAAGGTGTGTCTGTCCCCAAGGTTTGTCCTCCCGCTTCCCGAGGGGCAGAAGCTCCAGGGAGCCTGAGGGAGGAGGAGAGAGGCGAGAGAGGGACTAGACCGCCGGCGACCACGCCTCGGACGGACGAACCAGATGGCGAGGGTGGGCTTGCAGCTTGACCTGGTACATAGCTCGCTGTAGGATGACGACGCTGGGCCTGCTTGTCTGCTTGTATCGTACCCAGGTCCTCCGTAACGTGCCGTTCCCAAACCTACCCTACCCTACCCTACCCTACCCTACCCTAGGCACTGGTAGCCACCATCACTAAATACATCACCAGGTTGCCTGTCTGACAGGCGCGCCAGCCACAACATCCCGGATTGGCAAGCCTGTTCAGGCCAACACTTGGGAGGGGTCCACGGGTTGTGACACAGTCAGTCAGTCAGTCAGTCACACAGGCACACAAGACATAGATAGACACAGAAACAGGCCCTGCCAGGCCCATCCCATCATCCCCTCCCGCCCGTCCTCCATCCCTCCTGATCCGATCCTCACCCCTTGGATCCCTTGCTCCTCTTCTGCTACACTTGTTTCTACCTCGTGCCCATCATCGTCCCAAGGTTTTCTTGGCCAGCTCACCATTCCCGTCTGGGGGGCTCAGTGCCTGCGTGTTTTCCGCATAGTTCCTCGTGCTTGCAGTCGTCGAGCAGGCCAGGCCAGACAAGACCAGACACGGCTATCCTGCAAACCGGGTGGTCTAGCCCGCTGCATACCGTCGTCATACATCACCGCTGCTGACCTGGAAGGCGAGGGCAACCGCAACAAGCAACCGCAGCAAGCAACAGCAACAGCAACAGCAATCCACCTCTCCACCACACCGAGCGGCCCTGTACATCGCAGCCGCTGCGACCCCACCCCCCACCTCTAGGCCAGCCTCCTCGACGCCAGGCCTGACAAGCACAACCCGGCCAGCTACCCGAACAAGAATCAACCAGGATACCAACCAGGATCCCACCAAGGCCACGCGGGAGACCGGTACACGGTAATTCTCGCGCAACATCCGCTGTCTAGTGTCTAGTGCCTAGTGCCTAGTGTCTTGTGCCATATACCCTACCGTCCGCCCTGGTCTGCTCACACACCTGCCGGCCTTGTTCCCTCACCTCTTCTCCTCCTCCGCCTGTCCCCCTCACCCCTCAGAAATATATACCTCCTCCCAGGCACGGGAAAAGACCCCTCCCGGTGGCCTACTCTGTCTGACCCTGTCTTGGACCTGCCCTGGTCTGGCATCTGGCCAAACCCGACCCAGGTCCCACACACCTGCTGCCGCAGAGAGCAGCCTCACAAGGTGGGTAGGTTACTGTTTCAACATCTGGCTCCAATCCAAAGGGCCAGGGCGCTAAACTCTCCTTCCCAGTGCCCGCCTCCGAATCTCAGCCCTCCATCCGAACCCGCCCGCCCTGCGTCGATCTCCCGTTCTTGCAACCAAGCACCCGACCTCCCACCCAGACAGCAGCCACCATGCCTGAGACCTTCCGCCGCTACGAGGAGCGTGACGTCTATTACGATGACGACCCGCCAAGAGGGCCGCCCATGCGCAGAGGACCTCCTCCCCCGCGCGAGCGCGAGGAAGAGATCTACTACAGGGAGGAGAGACGATCACGTACCCCTCCTCCTCCCATGACCCGGCGCAGCGATGTTCAGGTTGCCGTTCGGGAAGAGGTAGACCGCGAGTCGAGGGTCCCTCACTTCATGCGCGAGGAAGCCCGTCGGCCAGCCGAGGCTGGTCCTCTGGTCCTGCGCCAACGCGACGTCGAAACCGTCGAGCGAGCTAGGCCCCGGCCGAGGTCCCCCTCTCCAGTTGTGAGGGAGCGCATCGTCACCAAGACGAGGGCGAGGAGCGTGAGCCCTGGGCCCCCACCCCCGCCTCCGCCAGAGATCCGTGAGAGGGAGGAGATCCGCACCCGGGTTGTTGATCATTCCCGGGAGCGGATACGGAGCCCCAGCAGGGGGCCGGCCATGGATAGAGTGCGCATGGGCACCCGGATCATCGAGCGGCCAGACCGTTCGCCCAGCCCTCCGCCGGTCATGGAACGCACGCGCACCAGGGTCATTGAGAGGGAGCGGTCACTCTCGCCGCGGCCGCTTCCGCCACCCGAGGTTGAGAGAAGCAGGCTCAGGATTATCGAACGGGAACGTGAGCGGGCCCCCACGCCCAGTCCAAGCCCCTCGCCACCTCCACCAGAGCCTCAGGTAATCCGGGGTCCTACCATTGAGAGGGAGGTCATTACCCATTATCGAGACATCGATCACGGTAAGTGCCTGGCTTTGTGCCGTTCCGCATCCCAGTCAGCCAACCGTGGCAGAGCTACTTGCCGCGGAATCGAAGAGAGTTTCGGCTGACATGGGATTCAGGCCTGGTCGTCGCGCGACCTCCTTCTCCTCCGCCACCACCTCGTCGAGTGGAGAAGCGGGAAACAGACATTGACATCTACCACGGTCGTGGTGAGACCGAGATAGACATCACCAAGACGCGATCCCACTCACACTCGCGTGCACGTTCGATGTCCCGGGAACGGCCGAGGGTCTCGTACGACCCGCCTCCTGTCCGCGATCACTCATACTATCACGAAGACGAGATCATGATCTCAAGTGGACGCGATAAGCTGAAGGTCGACATTGAGCATGAGCATCGGAGCTCGTCCGCTCGGCCTCGCTCGCGGTCAGCCGCACCCGGTTATGATGACGAGGCGGACATGATCAGGGGCAGGATTGACTCGCGAGGCCGCATGGGCGAGGCCTGGGGCGGAGCCACCAAGGACTGGGTGGTTGTTGACGTGCCACCCGGTACCGAGAGAGTGCGCATGGACGGCGTCGGTGGTGGCGCTGCCGAGCTGACCTGGCAGCGGTATAATGGTGCCCGCAAGTCAAAGTTCATCCCTGAGCGTTCCAGTGAAAGTGCACTGGTGCCCTTGTCACCGCCTACCTCGTCATCCACAACCGTCATATCTGACCGTGAGGCGTACGCTCCTCCGCGCGGTGACAGGGAGCGTGATCGATTGAGTGTGCAAATTTACGACAAGGAACGAGAAGTCGAGGTTGAGAAAGTCAGTGATAGGCGCATCAGCCTACGGCCTACACCCCCGCCGCCTGCCCCCATGCCGAAGCCCAGAGACATGTGGACTGAGGTCACGAAGGACCTCGTGGTCAGAGAAGCCATCGATGAGCTTGGTTATGACTATGAAGAGACCGAGCAATTCTTCTATGTCATGCAGTATCTGAAATATGTAAGTCGGGCCCTGTAGCTTCCGCAGATATCGGGCGCAGAACGCTGACTCGAGGTGCTCGATTAGGAGGACGTCCTCGAATTGGTCGAGATATCGGACCGCATCCGCGCTCGGAGAAAAGACCGCATTCGAGAGATCCAGTACGAGCGCGAAGTCCGCGACGATTGGGAGCGCGACCGCCGCCATCACCGCCATCGTCCCAGGTGGGATGATGAGCGCGAGAGGGTTGTTGAGCGCGAGGTCGTTTACGACACGAGCCGCCCTCGCAGGTATTGATTTACTTCGACGAATGGACGCATTCTCCTCCATCGGATGTTCACGCAGCCTTATGAGAAACTGAAAGCGATACACTTCCGTAGTGTGGACCGGCGCAGTCCGTCAGATATTCTTTAACCCCTTTTGGACACGATCACTCCCCTCCGCACCCGAGACTTGGAATATTTGCATATCATTATATAGAGAGCGGCGGGCTACTTGACGGCTCCAATCTATTTTGCCGTGCTCGTATTTCTGGTTTTGCTTTTCAGCCTGGATACCCTGACATCGGCATTTTACATCTGCAGATTGCCTTGGCTACAGAACGACTCCGTTGATCTAACTGGTTGATCAACAGTACGTATTTGTTGACTTGGTTGCAAAGCGCGCAACATAGCGGAACGAAGACACGAAATATGGTGGTCGACGTCGAAGCGACGGCGGGGATGCTGGGACGCAGACCGGGACAAGATGAAAGAGACGACGGCATTTGTTTTTTTTGCTATACATCATGATCATTCCCTTGCATGGAGCAGTCTCTGTGCGCACCGTTCCCCTTCATCCGGGTGTTTGACGATTTGACGATCAAGAAAAAGTTGAGGGAGCCTTATTAGCAAGCAGGAAGAACTGAGCAAGAGTCGGACTTGATTTTCCTCTCTTTTTAGGCTGGGCGTTCATGTACAGTGGTCTATTTTCTCATGAAATCTACGAAGTTTATGATCAGAAATTGCCTGTGTTGCCGTGCGGTGCCCACCAAAGAACCCAAGCCGAGACTTCGGCGCCCCTTGGCAATGTTTGACTGACTACCATAGCGCTCCCTAGGGGGTTTTTGAATACGGTCTCTAGACCGTCCCTTCCGCTTCAAAACGGTACCCTAGGCAGTCCCTGGTACCTTAGAACTGTTTCCTTACTAATACTCTCCAGCGACGGCTATAAGGTACATCAGTACTTTTCTTCAAGACTAGATTTTCTTCAAAACCAAAGGGTCCCTTCAAGACCTTCCCTTTCCTCTTAAAACCACCCCTTAGAAGCCTAGAATACGGGGGGAAGGAGCCCAACCAGGGGCCACGATACGTAAGTAAGCAAGCAGAGGGCCAGCTAGGGGCTATTCTAAAGGGAAGACTACTAGAGGAATGGGAGAGGAATTCTCTCTCGGCTAGTCTTCACGCCGAAGCAAAAGGGTGACATTAAGGAATTCTGAAGACTAGTACCTTTTGAAGACTTAATCTCTCTTGAAGACCTTCTTCTTACGTAGAGACTGCTAAGGAAGGAAGGAACCGTTGGCAGTTGTAGCCGTCGCCAGAGAGTATTGGTTAGCAGACGGTTTCCAAAAACCCCCAGGTGCGCGGTACGGTACTTAAGTACTCATCCCTCTCACTCCATCACTTCAGCACGAGAAGACCGAAGGGGTATCGCTATCCAGGTAGTTTACAGCCACTGCGGGACCACCCCCCCCCCCGGTGTCTCCTCCCGCTTCAAATAGGTGTTCGTTGCGTCTACAGGCTCCTGGCCGATAGCCTACGCCTAAGAAGCCAGGGGAAAATAGACGCACCCACAACCTCTAGCTACGAGTTTGACATTATATGGCTGACCTAGCTAATTGACCAGAAGTGCCGCCCCGAGGCTTATCTTGCGTGCTTGATTTTACTGGACAATCTGGAGCGTTCACATTTAGATATGCAATCTGGACAATCACTCTTTGTCTTCTTTGTATATGGAAGTGTGGTTGCCTATTAGGCAATACTGTATGTGGCTCTATAATTAGAGCATTTCCTCTCTTTGAGAGGAATCAAGAGTTTAGCCAAGTAGGCAAGCCAATGAAGGTTGTCTCCTAATTACCTATCACAGCCACAACTGAATCCTTGCTCAGTTGTCCGCTATAAGGTCCTTGCTTCCCAACTTGTTCACATACATATTCAACCTCCAGGGTTCCAACAGAATAATTTCTTGATGACCTATCTCCTAACCTCCTACCTCATCTTATATGCCCTTGATGTTAGTTGTGATTCTATTTGTGGATCAATAAAAACAGTTGTTTCTGATACGTCAGTACCGAATGCTGAATTTAGTTTCGCTTCTATTCCGCATACGCCCGAAGAAGTACATGGCACCTTAAAAGAGTGGTAAACGCTCAAGATCTAGCGATTACGAATGCTGAAAGGATCCTCAATTGGTCTGTCCTTTCGTAGCAGTATTTCTTCCTGCTTCTCCGATCCTCTTACCTTGAAGGCGACCTGGACCATGTCGCCTAGACCGTTGGAGTCTCTACAGATTTGACTCGATAAGTAGCACAAAGTAAAGGTCCCATCCACGCACTCCTGCCTCTGATGTCGACAAGGTGGCCACCACTGGCATCAGAGTTGACGGAGGCGCTAGTCACCATATTGGCCCCTGGGTAATCGGCATTTGCCTGACTATACCGCGCAACTGACGCCTAGATGAGTTCGCAGAAGGAGAAGACCTTCTCTGTGGCATTCGTTGAAAAGCTATGTTTCTTGATTCAAACTATTGTTTGGTGGGCTTGTTGACTCCTCTTTCGTGCCGACACTCTGGATCCGGTTCAGCAGTGCTGCGTACATGGCCCATCGTTTGCATGAGAAGGACAAAAACAACAAGCGAGCAAAGATATCCCGGGATATGCACCAGAGAACAGAGATCCAAGTATGAGCCCAAGCAATTTTGTGGGGAGCTACAGCAACATAAGCGTCGCCAAAGTCATGAAAGTTGCTTGTTCCCACAGCCACCACACTCTAGCAGGTTGGGCCCGATGGTTACTTGCTTGTCCATGATACGAGGGATTCCATGAGTGTGTGGTTTCGTTTTTAATCCCCATACATGTAAAATGTACGTGGCGCCTTCATACAGTGGTAAACGCTCAAGACCCAGCGTTTGAAGAAATACAGTGCCAATAACAGTGGAAAGAGAATACAGTACGTCTGTGGGCACGTGGCTGAGCCTCGTACCGCACAGACAAGGCTGGAAGGCATCGCTCCCGACGGCGCCGCACTAGAACTTGACGATGAGAGTTAGTAGGTGTTGTGTAGGATTCCATGAGGAACTTGCCAATCGATACTAAAGAATGGCATGCCGTCCCATCATCGTCAAGGACCCGGGAGTACTCCAGCCCTATACAATACACCTCAGGCATATGACGAGTAGCAGTCGCTGTCGCGATTAGGCAGAGGAGGTTGAGAGATTATCGGCATGAGCTCAAGCCATCGATACTAAAGAACTCGACCCAATTCGGGTTGATCGAAAAACACCCCGATCCACAGTCAACGCCGCTCAAAGTGACCTATGAACACCATGATATCTGCAAGGGAACGCCGCCCCTTTAAAACCCTATACGCCTTGCACCAGCCCTGGGCCATATTGTGAAGCCCTACCAAGACACAGACCCGCCCAATGAGTAGCAAAGAAGGCACATAATAGGAAGTAAAACTGTAAACAAAGACTGTCTCAAGCACCCTCGCTCTTCTCACTCCCATCCGCACCAGTAATCTTCTCCCATGCCTCACCGGCCTTACCGGTCGTCCACTTCCAGGCCTTGCCGAATTCATCAGTAGCCCAGCCCCAGAACTTTTTAGCAGAATCGCCGATTGATCCATTTTCATCCTGGCCTTCGTCATGGCCAGATCCCTCCGGGACGTCGACTCCAACCGGAGCAGACGCCTCGCCGGTGACCACTGGATCGACGCCCAGAGCCTTTGACGGCGACGCGGAGGAAGCTGGCGGTGTCGAACTTGTAGTCGGCTCCACGGTGTAGCTAGTCACCGGGTCCGACGGGACTTCAATGGCCGGAACCTCTTCGTGCACGCCGATTGGTCTCAGGGGTAGGCGTAGGGTACCGTTGTTGGGGGCGGGCTCAAGACCTAGGGAATCGCAAAGAATGTTGTACACCTCGATATTCTGGAAAGCTTCAAGCTTGCTGCCAGGCGCATGGGGGAAAGCAGGACCCCGTGCGATGAATATCGCCCGCATGAGGGGATGCTCGTGATCGTAACCATGCAAGCCCTTGGGGCTGTAGTCGATGTCCTTTGCCTTTGCCTCCTCTATATTGAATTCGTCTTTTGTCACAATGGCCCATCCGGCTCTGGGAATGATCCAAAGCGGCGCAATGCGATCGTTCTGGGAGAAATGGTATCGTTCCGGCATGTTGACGTCTCGTAGGTAGACGTCGAAATTCGGGTTGGTCTTGGCCTTGTCCGCGAGTGCGTCGTACATTTCTTCCACATCGGCCGAACTCTTTGGCCGTAAGCCAACAAGTGGCCAGCCATCAATATAGTCAACCTGGCTGAGGTCCACGAGGTCGTCCATCTGGATCATCCGGGAGACGTCCGTGGTGGCCATGCCGTGATCGGACACGACAATGACATTGACAATATTGGTCAGATTCCTTGCCTCGAGGCCGAGGAAAATCCCGTCCATCATCTTGTCCGCCTCCTGAATGGTGGACCGAATTTCGGTGCTGTTGGGACCGAATTTGTGGCCGTCACCATCAACATCAGGGACATATGCTGCGATAAGCTGAGGCCGCATCTCGGTAGGATTCACGTCTGGCTTCTCCATTCCTGGTCGATCGAGGAACTCAAATATTCTGTTGACCTTGTTGGAAAGCTTCTCCTTGCCGTTGTACTTGTCAATGAATGCGGGTTCGACACCGCCGAGGTGAGCCTCGCTGCCCGGCCACATGTGAATAGCGCTGCGGACACCTTGTTTCTCTGCGGTGACCCAGAAGGGCTCGCCGTTCCACCATTTCGGCTGCATGGAAACCTTAGTATTGGTGTAGAAGAATTCCTCCTTCAGTTCAGGGTCCCAAAAACTGTTACCAACCACACCGTGGGCCTCAGGGTAGAGCCCGGTGGCCAAAGTGAAGTGGTTTGGGAAAGTGACGCTCGGGAAAGATGGGTTCATGTAAAGCGGGGAGACTCCCTCCTGGACGAAGGCGTTGAGCCTAGGCGTGATGTTCCGCTGGAGGAAATCCGCCCTGAAGCCGTCTAAGCTGATGATGATCGTGGTCGGTGCGAACAGGGCGGTGCCGTTGCTGACGAGGGCCTGCTGTTTCACGGCTGGTCGTGATCTGACAGACAGCCGCCATGCAACAATGGACAGCACTGCGAAAGCGACTGCGATCACCGCGTACACCACGGTCCACCGGCGACGGTGCCTCTTCCGCTGTGACTTGGCATCCGCCAGGTGAAGCAGTCCCCGCCGGTCGAGCTCGTCGCTGTCCTCGCGGTCGCTGCTACCTGTCGAGCTGGTCTCCTTCATGTGGCCCTCCTCCATCTCGTGCATGAGCTCGCCGTCCTCGCCGTCCTGTGCTTTCTCCAGCAGTCGCTCCTTCTTCTGTCTCCTCCTCTCGCGTCTTTGTCTCCTGGCCTCGCCCCTTAGGTCTTCAAAGGACTCTTCCTCGATGACTCCCCTGTCGGCGGGGCTGGTAGAGCGGCTCTTCTCGCTCCTGGTCTTGGAGAACAGGCGCATTGGTAGGGGCAAGGACAGGTTGGAGCCCCTGCGCTGGCCGGACCCGCTGCGTTCGCGCTGGAGTTCCTGGCGCCGTCGGGCCTCGATGACCAGCTGGTCCATCTCCTCCTCCTCCAGAAGCACTATGCGATCATGGGCGCGCAACTCACGGCTGTTGCGGGCTCTGGCCTGGCGCTCGTCATCTTCGGAGTCGCTCTCCTGGTCACTGCGGATCGAGGAGGCGTCGGGGTCGTAGCTCTTGGCGGAGAGCAGAGAGCTGTTGGGCGACTTGGGCCGGGTCAAGGGCTGAAGGAGAGGCATGGTGGGCGTGTGTGGGTGCGTGCGTGGCCGTCGCCAGCAAGTGGTGCAAGAGAAAGACAGACTCAGAAGATCAAAAAGCTCATATGTTGTGGCATGTCGGTGCGACAAGCTCCCAAGGTTTGATGATCATTGTTGTCGAGGATGATTTGCCCCTTTCCAGAGTCTTCCGACACTGGTCGCATATGCAGAAGGTTCGGCGGTGGGTCTGCGGGACCTAATGCGCTTGGCGTTTGATGCCGCGTCGAAACGCCAGGGGGGTTGCATTTAGACGCCCTGGAGGCCCAGGCTCCTTCTTGTACTGTGTACTAGGTACCTACTTACCTAGGTAAGTAGTCTACCCCGTCGAAACACTGCACAAGCCCAAACTTTACTATTATTGCGCGCTGCTGGCCAAACGGTGGTCTGGTGCGCTCAACTAAAATAACTGACAAGGCGCGTTCAGCGTGGCCACACGACGCCGGAAACGTTCCTAGTTCATCATTTCTCGACTCCAGCGCCCGGCATGGAGACAAGGACCCATCGTCCCCACCTGTCAGCCCTCCCATGTCACATCGTCGAGGTTTCGTTGGAGGCTTGTTTGGTCATTGGGTGGGTCGGTCGTGTAATTCAGTGAGAATGTGGCAGCTGCGATATGGCCCGGTCCATTGGACCCTGCGCGAGCCAATGTCTCAATTCGGAACACAGGAACCGCTTTCTATGGGCGCAGACGTCGCCATAGCAGCCATAGTCAACAACCGGGCAGCGCCACCGGGGCCTGGACCCAGCATCCTGGGAAGACGTCGAGTTGCACAAGATGCAATAATGATCCCTTGGCGTGTCTTCATTTGTGACGGCTCCCAGCCGCAAGATGACTCGAGTGGGTGTCTGATGTTGCCGGAGAGTGCTTTCGTATGTTGTGTGTCCTGGTTCTAGGCTTCCTCTGCCGTCTTCTTCTCCCTGCCACCTCCGCGTCCTTCGCCCGGGACGAGCACCTCTTTCAGTGGTAGTAATGGGCGGCAATTCAAACACTTGTTCGAGATGGTATCTAGCCCCTTGACGACGTCCAGGCCGCCTGGCAGTCGCCATTTTGCCCATGTTGAATCCTTCCCTTCTGTGCTCTCATCGAGATGGAGAACAAACAGTTGGACTTTGAGAGACGACGTTGTCCGGAGGTTTTCGGCCTCGGCGCCAAAGCCGGACAAGGAGGAGACAGACGAGCATATAAAGTGAGCGGCCCATCTGTTGCAACCCGCGGCGGGCAGCCTTTTTCTAACCCCGGCTCGCAAGATGTGCCGTCGACGCCTACAACGATGCCGTTCTGCAGCTGAAGCAGGTTCTGAAGACCGATGATCTCGATGATATCCTGTCACCATCTTCGACAGTCACAGAGCTACACAAAGTTGCCATAGGCATCCAAAGGGCCCAGACAAACGTTCTCGACCAACGCCAGATCGCGAGATTCGTCGACACGTTGGGCCACTACTCGGGAGTCTTTGACGTCCTGTCACAATGCGCTTTCGGATACATGACGCTGATATGGGGGAGCCTCAAATTTGTTTTGCTCATGGCAAAAAGTCACTACGACACCTTATACAAGTTCACCGACGTCATGACCGAGATTGGCATAAACTTGCCTGTAGTAGAGCTGTACAGGCAGATATTTCCCACGACGCGAATTCTGCAATTCGTGTCCCAGCTCTATGCGGCCATAGTCGAGTTCTTGCAAGAATTCATCATCTACCTCAAGCAAAAGAACTACCGCAAGTTCTTTAGCAGCTTCTTGAAGCCTTTTGACCTCCAGTTCGGCCGCCTGGTGTCGAGGATCCAGTCCTTCGCCCACGCCATCGACAAGGACGTACACGCGAACGCCATCCTCTTACAAGTGACCCAGGCGCAGAGCCTGGCAAGACACCGGGTCGACTTGTCTGTCCGACGAACATACAACGAAGGTTGCCTAAATGATGTTCCAGATATCGCCGTGTCGCCGTACCTCCTCGACCTGAAAAAGGTCCTCTTCCACGGCTTCGAGATCGAGGCGTCCTACCATGAGGAGCTGGCAGCCACTTTTCAGATGACCTCGTCACCGGCATGGGCCAGGTGGCTGTCAATCGAGCAGCAGTACGTGCCAAGCAAGTTCTCGCACAAGACAAATCTGATCCAGGCCGAGTGCGACGCCCCGGATGCCGCAACCTGCATGCAATGGGTCACGCAAGTGCGGGCCGAGACCCCTCACATCGTGTCAGTGTTCCTGCTATGGGCCCGTGGGATGACAGCCCAGAGCGCCGTCGCGTCCATCGTGTTCCAGATGGTCCAGCAGCGGCCCACGGTCCTCCAGCGGGCCGGGCTGAGCTTGAGGACATTCTCCGCGGCCAGCGCGTCGCTGCCCAAATTGTGGGAGCTTTTTCTCACCCTCGTGCGGAACCAGGGAGGGCTGATGATTTACATTTCCATCGGTTCTGTCGGGCAGGAGGAGTTCAGCATAGTGGCCTGGTTTGTGGACCTTTGCCAGAAGTGGTCCGGTCCGCCGCTGAACGTGGTGATCATCCACCCGTTTGACGAGAACTTTGTCCACGTGGAAGAGTGCGTCGATCTTGACGACAAGTACGATGTACATCCTTCTCTCACCACCACCGACGCACTCTACCACGTTGTTCTCCTGGAGTTGGAGGTCCAGGAAGCCCTCAGCGAGACAGTGCAGCTCGTCTTGTGGGAGGCTCTATGGCGCGAGGTTCGCTACGCAGTCATCGGTATCGCCGTCACCCAGACAGTAGAACAAATCATCGTGGCTGCGAAGGAGCTGGCCGAGGAACGGGGCTGCACCGAGGGTGTGATGACCCTCTGGATGTGGGCCGTGACCAAATGGACAAAGGACAACCGGGCATTCCGTAAGCAGCTTCTTCAAGACTCATTCTTTGCCCCTTCAAGAACAAACATGCCCCATTCCCAGCCTATGCACCAAGGACTTCACGGGCTGCAGGTTTTGCGACAGGCTATGACCACCGTGTTGCCTGCTCCTCCTCACATCCGCATTAAGCTCCTTCCTTGGTTCATTGATGGCTGACTCTGGCGCTGGAAAGATATCTTGAGGGAGCAGATCCAGCGTCATCTTAATTTTGTAGACATGCACCTCCCGCCAGTCGTGAGGACGAGACTGGAGAGGTTGATCAGCTCTACTACCGGGTCGCGGCTCAGCGCGCGGGAGAGGAGACAGCTGACGAAGGAGCTGCGGCAGGGGGGCCCGAAGCCACTGGACGACTCGCAGAGGAATGTCATATGGGAGAAGATCGAGAGCACCATGAAGCCCGGGACAATGGGCACTTATAACGCGTCCGTCAGAGAGTTGATGATGGGGGTGCTTGAGGTATTTCTGGATGATCCCCCGGAGCGGGAGAGCGACGCAAGGCGATGCGTCAAAGAGTTAATGCGCGATGTGTTTGGCTGGAATCAGACGTGGAGGGCTGCCTTCCTAGGTGAAGACAGCCCTATCCTCGAGGGTATGGTCACAGCAATAGGTACAGGATTCGGTGATGTTCTGGATGCAATCATTTCTGAGGTTGGCAACTAGCCACTGTATTCAGATGCGGTCGGCATAAGAAGCGAGGCGCAGGTAATAAGCTTGGTATTGAACTCTCCTAATCAGACCTGGCCCGCCTGTGTTTCTTGAGATCCAGGGTTCCCAAACGCCCGCTTCGTACCAAAAAAGCCAACCAAAATAAGTGCTCAACACCAACAGTAGTAATCGTTGTCTTCCCAAACCGTATTGTCGGTACTCCTGCCCTCCTTCCACCTCAAGCTCGGGATCGAGCCCTCGTATCGCTCATCGAAGATGACGTCGACGTCATCCTCGTGATAATTATGGAATCCCTTGACCCCCCGCGTCACAGTCGGCTCCGGGTTCCAAATGAGAACTTTTTTGATCTTCCACTCGATCGCTTCCGCGGCCGCCGCCCGCAACAGTTCCAGAACATCGACGATCTTATTTTCCTCCATGATCTTCAGACCCGTCTCCGGGTCGTGGTCCAGCGTTACGATGCGCATGATCTTGAGCTTACCCTCGCGCCAGTCGTGGTCCCAGTACATCCAGGAATTGCCGCTGTTGGTGATGGCGCCCCGGTGCTTGACCTCGCGCTTGTGAAGGACACCGGCCATGAACTGCTCCCGAGCCAGCTGCCATGCGATCTGTGGATAGCTGGGGGAGAAGGCCACGTGTGTCTTCTTGTGGTCGGCTGCGAGGGTCTGGAATTTGGCCTTGACTGCGGCCACGTCCTTGTCGCACAAGGGCTTCAGCTCATCCTCAGCGAGGTACCTTGTGGCCGGATGCTCTGGAAGCTTGAAGTCGTCTGATTCCAAGTAGATGGTGGCCTGGTCTGAAGGGAAGACGGCCCAGCCAAGGTTGGCATAGTAGATTTTCCCGATATCGCTGTACAGCGCGGAACATTCACTGTCTGCATCCATATGCTCCTGCAGCTTCTCCAGCATATATGCGGCCATCCCCAAGCGCCGGTATTTTGGGTTCGTGTACACACTCGCAATGGCGTAGGCTTTTGCTTCTATGAAGCCATCGTTGATGCCTGTGCCATGTCCGGCGATGAAGACGGCCTTTTCGACCGACTCGCACGAAGCGACAATATGAGTAGGGTCGTCCTTGTGAGATAGGACCCAATAGGTACAACGTCCGTCCTTGGACAGTGCCTGCTGTGACAGGTGTGTCTCGCGGGCTACATAGTCGTCAATGCTCATGGGTGCAGCCCAGGCCTCACCGTTGAGACGCCATGCGAGCTTCTGGACGTCACCGTCGGCTTGGGTGAAAACGACATCTCGGGTGCTGATGTTTTGATCGTCAAGAAAGGGATCGCCCATTTTGACCGATGCGTATCTTGCAGGTATGCGAGGAGGTTCTCCTGATAAAGCAGGCAAAAAAAAAAAACCCCCAAAAAAAAACCGAGAAGAAAAAAACGAGGGGCGTGACAAGAGGTGATGAGACTCTCTCGGTGGTGCCTCGCCCGGCCGAGCCCCTTTATAGGCAGCTGAAAAACGAGCCAAAACAGACCCAGATTGGAAGCCGGGAATTGTGGGTTGTCAGACGTCTTGGCCGGAATGAAGTGGAAATCTCACGGGCAACAGTTCAGGCAGTGTCGCGTGAAGTGATTGTACGCAACGGACCGAGAAATCGCCTTGACATGCACATACGTCAGGGCCAAATCGAAAAGCAATTGCTATCGTGGGCGCTGCGGGACCCGAAGACGGATGGGGCGAAGCTCACGCCCAGACGTACAGAGGGGCGGGCTGGGCAATCCTCAGCCAGCCTCTCTGCAGCTCAGAGCATGCCGGCGTCCCGAGGACAGTCAGTCAGTTGGGCTGCTGGCTGTGTGTGCTCTGACACCCTGAGACTCCGGGTGCTGGGGGCCGGGCCGCAGCCACTCTGCCACGGGGCGAGCTTCCATGTGTGTTGCTTGAGCATGCCCACTTGTCAAGCCGCGGTGCAGGGTTCGGCCACGCATCTCAAATTGCGCAAGAAGTGCCCCTGCACCAACTAGCCATCCTGCCATCATCTACCTGCAGACAGTCGTTTTGCTGTTCTGTTTCTGTCTGGGTCAAGGAGGCCAAGGTGTCTCGGGCATGGAGGCGTCCTGTCTGCAACAAATGCTCTGGGAAGTCGGCAAAGAAATGGTCCCACATGCATGCGGAACCACCTTGTGGCAACGGTAATACAGCAAGTACCGAGTCGAAGAGAGTACTCCGTAGAAGACAGCATCTCATGAGCATGCCGTCTCCTGCAACTGAAAGGCGTTGTCTACCTACCTCGGTACCTAGGTGGTCTAGGTACTTGGGTAGGTACTTACTTACCCAGGTTCTTAAGTATATACATCGCCTGCAGCCCGAAAGCAAGGACCAGCGAACCCTCGATATTGCTGGTGAGCCGGCAGCGGGCGGGCGAGTCATCAATCATCAGTGCTCAATCTCGAATTGGTTTATTAATTGCCTGTCTGCCCGTTGGCAGCGTGCACTTGGTACGGCGTACAATGTCACAAGTAGCCTCTAGTGTCAGGCTCGAGGCCCCTGCCAAATGCTAAATAAGCGGCAGCTAGAATGCAGCTCCGGACTGGCGGCTCGCACTTTCGCCCCGGAAGGAGCGAAAACTTTTCGCCGTGGTGCACGGGCTTCTCGACACAAATCGCCTCGCAAAATCAATCCACCCTACTGCTAACAGCGGATCGCCAACGCCGACAGGGGAATTTTGATACGACCAACTCACCTCACAACCTCCAGCACTCGACATCAGTACGTGACACTGCTCTTCTCTCCTGTGTGCCGACGACCCTGCCGAACTGTCCTTCTAATCCGCATACCCCCCCCCGCAAACAGAACTTCGTCGAAAATGGGTGACGCGACCATCTCTGCTCCCAAGTGGCGCCTCGTTGAGGTCGGCCGTGTCGTCCTGATCCAGGAGGGCCCTTCCGCTGGCCGCCTGGCCACCATTGTCGAGATCATCGACCACAAGCGCGTACGTTGCCGCTCCTGCGATTGAGAAGGCTGGCTGTGGAGAGAAAGACGGACACTTTTGATTGACACTCGATGATATCACAGGCCCTGGTTGACGGCCCCGCCTCCGATGCCGCCCTCGCTGTTCCCCGACAAGCCGTTTCCTTCTCCAACGTCCTGCTCTCCGACCTCGTGGTTGCCAACCTGCCCCGGGGCGCCAGGACGCCAACCGTCAAGAAGTTCTGGGAGAAGGCCGAGATCGACAGCAAGTGGAAGGCGTCCAACTGGGCCAAGACCAAGGCCCAGCAGGCCAAGCGATCGGCCCTGACCGACTTCGACCGCTTCAAGGTCCTGCGCCTCAAGAAGCAGCGACGATTCGAGGAGCGCAAGGCCATCGCCAAGGTCAAGGCCTCCGCGTAAGCGAACCCCCCCACCTCGGCAAACGACAGACATCGAAGAGTTCGGGTTTCGCGCGTCAGGGCAAGCAAGTGAGGGATCGGTTCGGCGGTGATGGCGGTCGTGTGCACTGCGCGGCCGGCTGGGCGATGGTGGATGGTGTTCTACTAGAGGTGTGACGGTATTCTGGACGGCACTGCATGAACACAACAACCAACACGACAGCATTTTGGGCCGCTGGGTTTTCTTTGCTGCGTTTAACGGATCATATCACCTTCAAAAAGGCAAAGGTGGCCGGCGTCAATGATAGGGAAATTCAGAAACCGAAGAATCAAGACCACTCGTCATGGTCCAAACCAAATTATTGTGATACCAACCAACCAAAGTTTCTACAGTTGTAATCAAAGTGAGGAAGCGTCGTGCCGAACAAATGGGTTTCGGCCCGCATCAGGAAACAGGATCTACGCACTCTGCCGAAATGGTCCCCCCGGCCCACCTGGTACGTGTTGTTACTTTGACGATGTCATGGGGAGGGACATGCCACCAGAGACGAGTGCGACCAACATGCTGCAGCAGTCACCAAGGAAGAAGGGAAGGAAGCATTCCTAAGTAGATGTGTGATTCTATATAATCCACAGGTGATTATAGTGTAATGTGAGCGAGTCTAAAATGCTCATTTTCACGAGTGCCCGAATTACCGTGTCGGCTACAAAGCGGTGTTCAAATGTACGTGGGTATGTGTGTATGTCTGGGCACCTGCCAAACCCGTCATTGTTCTACGCAGTGCAGCCAGTACGAGAGCTGCCCCCCAAAGAGGTCGGCTGCTGAATCGGGTTAGCGTGGCTAGGGCTTCGTGGGCGGAATTGCCAGGGACATTTTGAGAGCTCTGCAACAACCAAACCCCCTCAGTCAGCCAGTCCATCACCTTCCCGCCACTCTAACGACGAGCCACCTTGACCTTTTGGGGTAGATATTGTTGCAGGTGAGTCTACGGAGTCTCAATTACATGCCGTGCAATTTTGGCCGCCGCAGGAGCAGGCGGCGCCCGAGAATCAACATTTGAAAATTGCCGCCTGCCCAGCGGCTTTCTGCATTGTGTGGGGTTCTGCCGGATTGAAAATTGTGGAAGAAGCTACGCTCCAGGCGCCAGCTCTCAATCGGACCAAGCAGCTCCAGCTCGACCAGGCCTTTGACTGAGCTGACCAACCTTCCCCGAACTCGCAGAAGCAGAAGACAGTCGCGAAAATGGCCAACCCCAGAGTCGAGGAACTCCCGGACGAGGAGCCTACCAAGAACGTCTCCGTCGAGGAGGGTGCCGACGATGACAGCTCCGACTCTGAGATCGAGGCTGGCGACTCCAGCCTCCCAGCCGGCTCTTCCGCCGTCATCCACTCTCGCAACGAGAAGAAGGCTCGCAAGGCCATGGAGAAGCTGCACCTGACCCGCATCCAGGGCATCACCCGTGTCACCCTCCGCCGACCAAAGAACGTGAGTCAACCAACACCTGGGCTTGGAGAGAGGCGGGGGGCGGAAGTGGAGGAGTTCGCGGGGCAAAGTAAACTGCCATGCGCAAAAAGACCAGCTGTGCCCTCGCGTTATTGGAATAGGCCGCCCGCAAGCACGGGATGCGCAGAGAACCGGAGATGGCTGACCGCGCATCGTTACAGATCCTCTTCGTGATCAACAACCCCGAGGTGTACAAGTCTCCTAACAGCAACACGTACATGTGAGTGTGCCCCACAAAACCTGATGCCCCTGGCCCAACCCAACACTAATGCCAACTTCCCTCAGTGTCTTCGGCGAGGCCAAGATCGAGGACCTCAACGCCTCCGCCCAGGCCGCCGCCGCCCAGCAGCTCGCCCAGGCCGAGCACGACCACGCCGGCCACGACCACGGCGAGGCCAGCAAGGCCGTCGAGGGCGGCGAGGCCAAGAAGGAGGAGGAGGAGGAGGATGATGGTGAGGAGGTTGACGCCGAGGGTATCGAGGACAAGGACATCGAGCTTGTCATGACCCAGGCCAACGTATCACGGAAGAAGGCTATCAAGGCTCTGAAGGAGAACGACAACGACATTGTCAACTCCATCATGGCCTTGAGCATCTAAGACCCGACCGCCCATTCTTACTCTCCAAGTCCTTTTGGTATTACACGAGATGCATGGTAGCGCTAAGGGTTCTCGTGGTTTGATGGACTCGGGGCCTGAAGGGGCCGATCAAGAGCACGTCAGATTAGTCGGAGTTGATTATCGGGTTTCATGCACTCAAAAATGAAAACACCATGCACTTGACCAATTCATCTTGAGAACCTAACGATGGTCTGGTTGTCTTGGAACCTGCCGTCACTTGGGACTGTCGGAACGGATCTGCTTTAATGGAGGCAATGACGAAGGCGCGTGATGCAAACTCCGGGGTTGGCGCCAGCTACGAGGAATGATCTCAAAAATGAGTACTCATGGGAGATCATCCTTTGAGAGATTGTCCCAGGTAACTCATTCTAACAAGAGGGTGCGTGAATCGGAGCAGTGACAAAAGTCCAACCCGCCACCGGGTGATTCTCCATGCAACGGCTAGTCATAAACATGCAGAAAAGCAGAAGTGAAACGTTATAGATCAAGAGTTTCGTATCGAATATTCCTCGCCATTTCTTACAAGGTAAACCCGTAAGAGTGCTTGTTGTCTGCAAAGTCGTTTCTCGGCGGAGGAAACCGGGGGGAGTCCAGTCACGTGATTTGAGCGTCCGCCCAGCCGGACCGAAACCGTCATCGTCAACCTCCGTCCGCATAGAACCGCGTTGCTTCAAACTCTCCACTCCCTTGATTCCACATATCAACCGCAAAGATGGCCGCAGTAAGTAATTGTCCCCTCAATTGACTCGCACAGATGCTTCCCTGCCGTCGCCGGCCACCCTTCCGGCTGCCAATCCCGAGCATGCACGTCGTCCGCAGCACCGAAAGATCCTGAGCTAATTTCTCCCGCCCTCTCCCGCGCAGCGATCCGCAGCCCTGAAGCTCGACTGGGCCAAAGTGACGACCTCGCTGGGCCTGCGCGGCCAGACGGTCGCGTCCCTGCAGGCGTTCAAGTCGCGCAACGACAACGCGAAGCGCAAGGTGCAGCAGCTGTCCGAGCTCCCCACGGCCGTCGACTTCGCCCAGTACCGCTCCACCCTCAAGAACCAGGCCGTCGTCGACGAGATCGAGAAGCGCTTCAAGGCCTTCAAGCCCGCCACCTACGACATCTCCCGCCAGCTCAAGGCCATCGAGACCTTCGAGGCCGAGGCCGTCAAGAACGCCCAGGCCACCAAGGAGAAGGTCGACCTCGAGCTCCAGGACCTCACCAAGACGCTGCAGAACATCGAGCAGGCCAGGCCCTTCGAGGACCTCACTGTGGTATGTACACGGCTGGGAGCTAGTAACGGGGGGTACCTGTGGAAGTCAAAGATGCTGATGGGTTTCTACAGGACGACGTTGCCGCCGCCGAGCCCTCGATCGACGAGAAGACCTCCAAGCTGGTTTCCAGGGGCCGCTGGGGCGTCCCCGGATACAAGGTCCGTGTCCCCTTTTGTACAGCCCCACGATCCATCTTTTCTGACGCAGGCCACAGGAAAAATTCGGCGACCTCTCCGTGCTGTAGAGAACAACATGGGCAGCACCTTCCCTTTGTGTACGCTAGCATTGTAGATATCGGGATCGGAGAGGGCGGAGAAGTGAGATGGACGGCATGCTCAAGAATACAAGTCATTCATCGGATTTTCTGCACCTACTTGCATTGATGATTTGGTCTGTCCCCATCCTCGAGGCCACTGGCTTAATGCTCGACCGGCCTGGGGTTTGGACCGTGTCTTATCTCGAGAGGCGTATGCAAATGCTCACCACCAGCCGTTCCAACTCCGGGTCTGGGCTATCCAAGCCAGCCCTTCAAGCATCGCTTGGTCCGCCTCAAACGCCCTCTGCAGGTGCGGTGCCTTTAGCCAAAAGGTATGCGGCCAACCCCGAACAACATTGGTCCTGACTTCGACCCCGGCGTTCCTCAAGACCGTTGCATAGCACGCGCCGTCCGAGTACAAAACGTCATTTGTACACATCTGGATCCATGTGCGCGGCATTCCCTTCAATCCTTCTTCGTCAACTTCAAGCGGCATCCTATCTAAGCCGTCCCGGGGCACCTCCCTCTTCATAACCCCTAGGAGGCTGGTGTCGAAGCTCCTTTCCCAAGCGCTGGTGTGCAAGTGCCGGATACCTTCAGGCACGTACTCCTTCCCGCTGAATGCGTCGCTGGTTACCGGGCAGCGCAGGACGACACCTTGGAAACTCGTCTTGGATACGTGCTGAGTCACCAGCGCGGCAAGCTGGCCTCCGCTCGACGATCCCACGACGAGGATCCTGGCACGTGGGTACCTCCCTACGACAAAGTTGAACGCGTCGACGCAGTCCTGCACGATGGTGGTTGCTGGATGCTGGGGCAGAAGCCGGTAGCCGACTGAATAGAGCTGTAGCCCAGGGAGGAAGGCCTCCGATTCCTTGATGATGCGCCGGCAGGACAGGTCCTCACTGTCGGCCTCGCCGACCACGAGACCACCGCCGTGGTAGTAGATGACAACCCATAGACACGCCGACTCATCTTCGCTGCTCCGAGCGTACTGCAACAGGGGGATAGCGAAACCGTCCAGCGTCGAGGGCACGTAAGTGGTCCTGGTCCCGATCCCCTGTGCGAGGTGATGATCTCTTGCTCCGGGAGCTGTCATGGCGTTGTTGCGCTCACGGCACTGCGCTGCGTAGATCTGCTGTCTGACGGAAGGCTCCATGGCTGGTTTTGGTGCCAGGAGGTCGGCCTCCTTTTCGTGACGGAGCCATGCTGTGTCAAGCGGTGGTGCTTTGTACAGAACTGGCGGGTCTTCTTCCATTTTCTGTCTCGTTCACCGTCCAAGACTGGACAAAGTGCTGGCAATCAACTCCCAATACTCAACAAGCTAAAAAAACCCAATACCTGTACAAGCTGAGGTAGACTGATTAGACACTGTACATATGTACTTGCTCGAACGACACCAAACTTGGTCGAGTCGCCCTTCTTATTCACGTTCGAATGCAGGTGTTGACTGCACATCATCTGGTCGGCCTCCCAAGACAGCTGATTTTCCACGCTGCGAGCCATCTGAGCTATGGTATTTTCCCACCAATCAAGAGCCACTTGTGTACACTAGGTTCGAACAGTAATGAGCCGTTAAAAAGGCAGCCGTGTGTCGGTGTGGGTGCACATGTGAACTTTCAAGATAGTTCCGGGTCGTGCTTACCTAGGTATACAAACAGTACCTAGGTACCTAGTCTTATACTAGTATGCAAAGCGTCCAGTCAAGAGTCAAACCAGACCCGCTTCTCTCGATCTCTCCTTGCAACATGACGGACGACAACCGATCAGGAGGAGAGCTTCCAAACTCCAGACACACGGGGTGGTTTCTGCGCACATTCCAGACTTGACTCGGAATCTATCTGCCTGGGTAGGTAGGCTGCACACACAGTTAATTGAGGTTGAGAAGCCCACCTTGGCAATCTGAATTGAGATGGCCGACTACATCCTTCCACACCCACAGTGTTGCTGATAGAGTGTTTTCCTGCATCGCCCCCTTGAACGAGTGTTTCCGAATCTTGGTGTACCACGAGCTACCTGGTTATCGGAACTCCGGGGAGCGAAGCCCTCTGCGAAAAGCGGGTTGCGCATTGCACGATCCCCTCCCCCAAGAACTTTTAGTGTGTCGCCTCTGCGACACCTCGGCAGTGACGTCGCGGGACCCATGATAAAGGCCAGGGGGTTAAAGTTCGGCCTGTCCCAAGCTGTTATACCGTATCTACTTAAGTGGTTACACGTTGTGGAAGTCCCCCACCTCAGAAGACGTGTATTATGATTCCGCATTCCACCACTTCCAAAGTTCCACACCATCAGCCCTCAATCGCACCAAAACCCGTCTCCCAGCACTTGAGATCCGAAGCCAACATGGTTAAAGCCAGCTGCGTGTGCGGAGACTCCGCGTATGACTTTACTGGTAAATACCAGGCCTTTGTGAGTCTCAGGATCTCAAACATCTTGATTGAAGAAGCCATCACCTGACCTGCTTGGTCCAGATTGCCTGCCACTGTATACCTTGCCGCAAGGTCACCGGCGCTGATCGGTCGCTGAATCTGGTTGTGCACAAGGACGAGGTGACAGTCACCTCAGGCACAGACAGACTGGTCTCTAGACGGGCTGACAGTGGCAAGGATTTAACTTATCACCAGTGCAAGAATGTGGGCCGGGATGAAATTGGTATCTCTTCCAGCAAATAGACTGACAAAGCAGGTTATTAGTGTGGGAACACCATGTTTGCGATATCTGCAAACGCCCCTGAGATGTACTTTTTAAAGGCCGGTCTTATCGATGACAACGACTTCCTGAATGCGCTCGGACCGCCCAAGACGGAAATCTATTGCAAATATCTGCTGGACTGGGAGAAGACCTTTGACGGGGCGCAAGTGACGCAGAACTAGTTACTACTAGAAACCGGTGGGAATGTGTACGAGCGCAGTAGTATCCTCAAGCCTGTTGGCATGCTGGTTTATCTCTCGCCCGCAAAATAAAGGTATCTGCGCTCTCAGAAAGAAGAAGCCATGATAGGCCTAACGCCTCCGATGTTAATCACACTTTGTTGCAGCGTTCATCACCAGCCTGAAACCTTTTGCGAGATGTCCAGATGTCATCCGACGGCCATCCAGGCACTAGAGGGGGATCTAAGAACCCATTTCTTCGTCTTCTTGCGTTTCTCCCTCTGCCGCGCCCGTGGGCCCAGCCTCATCTCTTGACATTCTCGATCTAGGTGTGTTCCCACCTTCCCCAAGCGGAGGAGGGTTGGGATTTTCGATGCGCCGGTCATGAGGGTCCGCAGTCTGCGGCTCAACAGGGCGTCCATAGACAGCGCCTCTAAACGCCGTATAGCCTTGAGCCCTATAAAATGCTACCAACCTCCTTTCTACCACCCCTCTGACCCTCGCTTCATATGCGTCCTCATCCTCGTATCCCACTCGGGAATCCCTCCTTCGAGCAACCGTCCTTCGAGGAACTTTTTCGAACCACATTTTGACCTGATTTGCCAACGCGTCAGCGGACAAGGACCTGGACTCGCTTGCATAGTTACATTACTAAGGAAAGATGTAGGTTTCTCAATAAGGACACAGGTATTTGGTTCGCGATTGTCAAATACACATCTTCCAACATAGGGAGTGTTTGATTACCATCTCACGGTCGCTGAACAGCCCAGGTGTTAAAGTGAAGGTCACCCGTCCTCCAATGTTGTATCGGCTCAGTACTCCACCCATCGAAAGTCTATAGGCTGCCAGTCAGACCACCGGCATGTATTTCAACAGAGCCGCTCCAGGGCTGTCCGAGCTGATGCCGGGCAATGGATGATGTTGAGCAAGACGGACCTATAGAATAAATTCAAGGCTCGGGGGCCTATCCCGTTACCAGAGTACTATCACACACATTTGTTATTAATACAGAGATGATGATATGGGATAAAAGTTCTGATATCATAACACATACGTCAGAGTCAATCCAAAAGGCGGGTATGTAGACAAGCTCTGTTCCCGTGGGGCCAAGGTCACCGTAAATTGAGGTTCCATCCCCTCTTGGTTCGCTGAAATCCTTGTTTATGAATGATTGGTGTACGCTCCCGTCACTTGCATACAAAGCCTGCAATCCCCGTGCGGTCTCCTCAGTGTTGTCGGCGTACTCGCGTCGGGGGTCCAGCAAGTTTAACCAGTCATTAGTTCGCCCTGGGCCTGCCTGGGCAGCGGGCCTCCTACCAGGGACGTTAGTCATGCTACGGTGCTGTAGTCTAGAACAGTCCAAAACATCGAAGACGGGGATCTGCGGTCGCTTACAATATTAGCCAGGATTCTATATATCCGATAAAGACCTCTTCTTCTCGACCTGGGATTTCGAGATACATCTCTCCGTAATACTATTGCGTTTCCAATCAGTCGTTTTTTGTCTGTGAGGAATCAACCGTGAGAGCAGAGGTATGCACGGTCACCAGAAGGCTGAGCGCCAGAGCCATTAATAGGAGAAAGCTCTTGAGGCCATAGTCGAACAGAGAGGAGGCCGAGATGTTGCAAGTTACTCACACCCAACCGTGGCCCGCCATCTGAGTCTGTGAACACCTGCAAGGACATGCGAAGGGTACCTGTTGGGTTACCGTCATGCCGCGATAACTGGACTTCCACCGTCCCCTGCGCCTCTTCCAAAACTTGACCTTGGTTACGAGCATCACTTCTTTTTGATACCCGACGGCATCGAGTGGGTCTCCGCGGACTCGGAGTTCTAGGATTCCCAGCAGGGCTTCTAGCTGAAGAGGTTCGCCCACAGTCGGGAGGACAATTGCAATCTTGCAAATTTTCGAGTATTGTGGATAATATTTGAAGCCTATTGTAAAGTCCCTCATTGATTCTGGAATACGATCTCTCAGATTGTCTTTGCGAACGTTGGCTGCCGGGTTCTTGAATCCGTGGCCCCATTTTAATGAGGCATGCCTTCCAAGGTTTGGTAACGACCTTATCTGAACACTCTTCCTTGCGAAGTCTCTTAAAAATAAAGGTATAGGACTTATTTCCAATCAGATGCATATAATGACAGGTGAGTAGGTTGAGAATAAGCATGTGTAACCATGCAGCGTGCAACCTTGATAGACTCACTGGCCTAATTAGGTAGACTAACATGCGATTCGTCTGAACAAAGCAAAAGTTCATGGAGTGAAAGCTTGGGGCGACGGAACCGCCGAGGACAAAGCCAGATAGACACCTGGGCAGATAGTCTTCTGACATTGGATTAGCCGAAGGCAGATCAACCGCAACAAAGGGAGCCAAGGTCCACTCACCCAGCAATTATATCCACTCACCCAGTCTTTTTCAACCACTCACCCAGTACAAGATTTTACATACAGGACCCATATAAAACTATATACCTAACCAGGATTCTCTAAATTTTCAATACTCAAGGTATAAGCTCCTTCTAACCCCCTTCTAGACCCCTTCTAGCCCCCTTCTAGCACACTTTTTAAGACCCCTTCTAGCACACCTTCTAACACACCTTCTAGGTACTTCTAGCTTATATATTTTTAGGTATTAACTAATTATTTAAGTACTAACTAAGTGTTTAAATACTAACTAAATATTAAAAGATTAGATATTTAAAAGGTTAAAAAGTTAAAAAGAGTATTAAAAAATTAGAAAGAGTATAATTTTTACTTTTATTTTCTTTTCTTTTAACTTTTTAATATTTAATTAATATTTAAATATTTAGTTAATACTTAAATATATATAAGTTAAAAGGTTTAAAAAGTATATTAAAAAGTATATTAAAAAGTATATTAAAAAGTATATTAAAAAGTATATTAAAAAGAGTTTAAAAGAAGTTTATATTTAAAATACTAAAAATTAAAAAAGAAAATTATATTATAAAGTCTTTTAATATTAATTTAAAAGGTACTTATAAATATAAGGGAGTTACTTAAAAAAAAAATAGTACTAGATAAGTAATTAGTAGGAACTAGGTAAGTAAATATAATTATTAGGTGAGTAGATATTAGCTCTAACAAAGGTATTCAAATATACTATACAAGAAAATAAATTCATCCGCGCTCTGCAGCACATTCTGCGCCTTATAATATGCCTCATAGAATTCGAAATATTCGGGAGAATGGTAATTCTCATTCAGTCAAGCGCCAGGAGGTGGGATTTTGGGCAAGATTGATCTTGATACTGTCGAGGCTTTTGTATCGCCGGACCAACGTCTCAGAAGGTGCGTAATTTGTGAAATGACTTCATAACGGACTGAATTATCGGGAGTGATGCATCATAGCCTTGTCTATGCGGCACGAGGCTGAGGCTACGTGCCCACGTATTGTGTTCTCTCTGCACTGTCATCGGCATTGTCGGCATTGCGTTTTCTTCTTAACACTAGGCCTTTGGTGTGGGTTGTAAAGGGGAGAGAATAGTCTATTAGGTTTCTCTAAGAAAGGGCTCCATAGACTACCTTTTAAGCCCGTGGATTGGCTGACTAAGCCAAGCCTTGCCTGACCCCTACGTGCCCGTAGCAGCCTTAAGCGTTTACCACTATATAAAGGCAGCATATACATTTTATATATATAGGAATTAGGAACGAAACCACCTTAAGCTATGGTAAATAAAGATAAATAACGCTAAGGCTTTAACCACACTATAATTTTCTTTTATATTATATAACTACTTATTTCTTCCTTTTAAAGCTTATATATAAAATTTTTAATAACTTTATATATATTCTTATAATTTTTTTATAAAGGAACTTTAATTTTTTTTTCTTTTTATATTTATTATACTTTTTTATATTATTAAAAAAGTAATTATTATTAATAATAAAAGTATAAACTTTAAAAAAAATAAACTTATTATATTCTTTTTTATTTTTATAAATTACTTTTAACTCTTTTAATATAAAGTTAAAAGATTTATTAATTATAATTTTATAATTAGTTTTTATTTAATTATATTATATTATTATAATCTTATTTAATTTAATTTAAACTTTTTTAAGTTTCTTTAATTTTTTATTTTTAAAAGTTAAAGCTTTATATTTTTAAACTTAAGTTTAAAATTTTATAAATTTTAATATATTTTAAATTAAACTTATAATTTCTTAACTTTTTAAAAATATATTAATTATTTTAAATATTAATAACTTTTTTAAAATAAAATTTATTTTATATAATTATAAACTTAATTATTAATAACTATTTTTCTTTTATTTATAATAAAGTTATTAGAATTATAAACCTAAATATTATATATAATAATAAAAGTATAATTACCTTACCTAATTATTTCTTAGTTTATATAATAAACTAAGTAACTACTTTTAAGTAGTTTTATTTATAAAGTAAATAAATAAGTATTTACTTAAATAGAGCTAGAACCCTAATTAAAGGAATAATAGCTTTATCTTTACTTATTTTAACTAACTTATATGCTATAGTTAGGTATAGTATATATATATATATATAAAGAGGGATAATATCTTTTATTTTTTAGATAGTTTAAGTAGAAACTATTTATATAAGTAGCCTATTAACTAGCCTCCTTACTTATTAGCTAGCTTATAATCCTTAATATAAGTATATATAGTACTTATATTATATTATAATAACTATTTAGTCTAAAAATAACTATTATTTATAGTAGAAAATAAAAATAATAATATATATAAGAGTTAAACTTATAATTATTTAATTTTATTTTTAAATTTAAAGTAATATATTATATTATTCTACTATTAAATAAAAGTATTTTTAACTTATTATAATTATTATTAAAAGAGGTTAGTTTAAATATCTAATATTAGTTTATTAATTTATAAAGTTAGAATAAATATACTTATTTATTTATAAAAATATTTTAATTATTATAAGATAAGTATTCTAGAATTATTAGTTTAAATATTTAAATAATTATTTTTAAATATATATATATAACTTTTAAGTTATTATTTATAAGATATTATAGATAAATAATTAAATAGATAGTACTAATTAGATTTAAAATAGTTACTTAAGAAAATAAAAGTAAAAACTATTTTAAGTTAAAAATAAAAACTAGTTAAGATTAAATTCTAAAACTAGTTTAAGTTAGACTTTAAAACTTAAAAGGTTTTATTATAAGAATTAAAAGATTAATTTAATAATTAGTTTAATTAAGATTATAAAATAATTTTATATTAGTTATTATTATTAAGAGTAAAAAAGAGGTATAATTTTTATAAATATAGAAACTATTTAAAAGTAAAGTAACTTTTATAATTTAACTTTTAGTATTAATATTTATTATAAAATTAATAATATAATATTTAAGTTTATAAGGGTTTAAGATTAAATAAGATAGTTTAAAATAGTTTTATTTTAATTTAGTATTTAAAGGTTATTATATTAATAATATTTTTATTTTTATTCTTATTTTATTATTACTTTAATTTTTATAAGGTTATTAGGTTGTTATATAACTTATTTAGGTTATTATTTTAGCTTTTTCTAGGTTTTTATTCTAGTTATCTAACTACTTTAGGTTATACTTTCTTAATAACTTTATTTTATACTTCCTTAATTACTTTTATTTTAATAAAAACCTTTATTATAACTTTATTAAATAATAGATTAATAGTATTAAATAAGTCTAGCTTATTATTATAATACTACTAGTAATTTTTAACTAGTATTCTAATATTATATAACTATTATTTACTTTATTATATATTATATTTATAATTAAAACTTATTTATTTTATAAAATATTTAAACTACTTTTAAATATATCCTTTTCTTATATAATATATAAATAATAGTTAAACTTTTAATTCTTATTAATACCCTTTTAAATATTATTCTAGTTTATAATAACTAGTTTAAAAGTTAAAACCTTATAATAAAAGAGGTCCTCCTTTATAAAGTTAGAAATAAGTATAGAATTAATATTATTAGGTATATATTAAACTAAAAGGAAAGTCTAACTTATATATTAATAGGTTAACCTTTTATTTAATCTTTTAAGGTTTATAATATTATTAGGAGTACTTATATAGTAGTTAATTAGGTAAGTAGTAATTATAATAAAGATAAAAATATATTTTATTATTTTTATTAAACTTTATTATATAATAGTATTAATTATATTATTTTTAATTTTTATTATTATAAAGTTAATAGTTAGTTTAGTGTTTTTTAAATATAATTATATAGAAATTATATTTTAGTAAAGGAATATTACTAATTATAATTAGTAATTTAAATAATTCTTAAATCTTAAACTTAAATAATATTTTATAAAATAAGTATTAAATAAGTATAGAATAATTATTATTTAGATTTTATTATAAAGTTAGTATAATATTTATTTATAATTAATTTAGGTAGATAAAGTAATAGTATTTAATTATAATTTTTATAATTTAATTTTTCTATTTAAAGAGATTATTTATTTAAGAGTAATAGGTAGTAAATATAAGGATTTTTATACTTATAATAGCTTATATACTTTATTAAAAGGTAGAGATAAACCTTTTATTATAATTATAAATTATTTTTAAAAATAAATTAGTTAACTATTAGAAATATTCTAATAACTATTTTAACCTATTATTTAATAGTATATATTATATATTTAGGATTAATAAACTTTTCTTAATAAATTTATAAGTAATTATAAGGAGTTAGTTAAAGTTTAGTTTCTAAAAATTACTTATAATATACCTTTTAATAGTATTTTAGGAGCTTTTAAATAAAGTTTATAATAATAAATTTTATAAAAATATTTTTATAAGAATTAGTTCTATTTAATTAAAAGATAACTATTTATTTATTTAGTTAATTTAATAAGTTTAATAAAACTTTATATACTTTTAAACTTTTTTATTTTATAA